TTTCGAAGCCGTCAGTGTTGCACAATAATTTAAATCTTCCAATATCTTTTGCAGCTGTTACCTCGAGCTCAAAACAATAAATGTTCTCTGTTTTGAAAAACTTCTGGGGAAGACATCAGCATCTACGAGGATAGGTAGTCATAATTTGTTTTAGTATTGCTTCTGATTATTTGAGAAACTATTTTATGGGTCACCTTGCTTAGAAAACTCGGAAATCGTAATCTTTTTGTCCCAAATAGAATTAAAGTGCAGCACAGCTGTAAGCATGTATATATATATTTATACATTTTTTTACATTTTGCAATCACTTTGTTCGCAGTATGGACCTATTTTTTTAGTTTATCGCCACGCAGCAGCTTCTTCGGTTTTAAATATAACAAATGAGTGGCTGATATCTCAAGATGAAGACCTGGTATCATTCATGGTAAAAATACCTCATGACATAATAAAGTTTAACATCTTAGTAAATTCCTCTATTCTTCTCTGTGCTCACTCGTACGCCCGCCTATGTATTATTATCTATGAAACACCTCTTATCTCAAGATGAAGGCTACAAAGATGGGTTGTAAAAATATTCTATGACATTGAGAAATTTAGTACCTTGGTGGAATACTTTCTCCGCAGTACGTAGTAAACGCTTCTGTGGATGTTTTTCAGAGAGTTCCAGTTTATAAAATGGCTGCCTTCGTTCAACTCGCAGTATTTGGTGTTGTTCTTGACCTTGTAGTTTATCGACAAACATCGACAGTCGTTGATACACCACAGATAACACTGCTGTGGGTTTAAAGTGACAGAGTTGTGGAAGACATGGCCAACAAGCTCTTTATCATGTTCGGCGTCTTGTTGCTCATCAAAAGAGATCTTTTCACACTTTCCAGTGGAGCAGAAGCCTTTCACTTGAAAAGCTGAAATGAGTATACAAAAAAACTTTGCAACCATCATTTCTATCGTTTTCACACCCCACCTGGGGAAGCGATGTTTCTCATAATGGCCTTTCTTGAGCAGATTACTTATTTAAGATATCGCTCATCCCTATGCGTCAATCAACGTGTAAGAAACCAATCAAATGAGTTCACAGAAAATAACTTCCCAATATGAATTTTCAAGGTTCAGAAAAGTAACAAAAACAAGTGATAAAATGAATGTTTCCAATTATGGCACACAAATAACATGATCCAGATGTTCTACTTAAGACATTACTTCACATTTTTTTTCCTTCCAAAACTGCGCACATGTCGTCGAAAACACATGTGGGATACCATAAGTTAGTTTTTCTGGGTTTTTGCGGATAGTGTTTACTCTTAAATCTAGCACATTGATAATGACTATATCAACCCCTTGTAAAATTCAGTTCTGTTTCTGATTTCCATCCAGTTAAACCATACTGACGGCACTTTTATTCGCATCAAATTTTAAATATTTTTTGAAAATAGAAGAAAGGAGAAACACTCGACTTGCACTCGTGTTTCTCCCTAACCTTCGTTCATGCTCAAGCCGCTTCCTACGTGCTTTACAACACAACTTGCTGATCATAGAAAAGGCTTCTTTATTTGTTTTTAAATAACACACAGGTAGAACTGCGTGCGGAATGCAAAACAGGGTGATTACGTTGAATGCTTAATACCTTTTATAATTTATTTTCACTTCAATGTTGGCAAAACAAACAAGACAATATCTACATATGAATTTGAATGATTAACTATTGATATCTTGACGCCAAATAAATGATAACCTTCACAGTGTGAGGAGAATTCAGTTGTTTTATTCAGTCTGCCAGCAAGGACTTGCGGAATAATATCACTTTTGAAATCATTGTTTTGCTCATGTCAGAGATTAAAATACGGCAAGACATTGAGAAAACAAAAGGATAAAATGCGGTTGATTTTGATATCGAGTAATGTCCGACTACATCTACTAAATAAAAAGCAGGCGATAGAGTTAGTTACAAATAGCATTTTGACGAAATATTCAGAAACAGAATTTTTCTGTATTACACAACCAATCCACAATTGCTCGATTTTGTTGTACAGAAAAGAAATTTAATATTCAATCGGTTCTTAGAGTTGAGATTTTCGCTAAGTGTTCGAAAAAAAGAGAATATGGTAAATTTTATTGTGACACATTCGACTAACAAATTGACATTGTCTCAATAGACCCATATCATTGACCTTACATACTCGCTCTAAATCAAAACAAAATTGCATATTTTATATATATATATATATATCATCAGTTGGCAAAGATCACTATCATATTCGTGAACTTAAGATCACTGCAGCTTGAGACAGAAATTAACCTGAGTACTATTATCAAATTGAAGCATTACTGCTATGACGCTTGAGTCTGGATAGTCATGTATAACAACAAGATTTTTTTGTTGACAGAATTATTCGAAGCATTCATTAGTAACGAAAGCTTCTATGAAGAGAGACGAACTTAACATACGAAGCAAAAATTCAAAATGATAAAGGCATTTCCTATTTGAGGGCACTTAATTTTCACATCCTCGTTATTTTCTGTAGACGAGAAAGAACAGGACATAGTTCTTTATGGCTTTAAAATCTTAGAAACATGACTTGAAAAAGATGTTTGTCGGACAAACTGAGAACAATTCTATCAGGTTCCATGCGAACCCAGGCTCATAGTCAAAATCACAGAATACTTGGAAAGTTTGGTTTCTGTCATCAAAGACGGTGTACAATCCAGAGGCGGTGAACCTGGCTGCTTTGTAATCCTGACAGCTTCTTCTCAGCTGAATCTCGCAGTGTTTACCAACAAACGGTACAGGGTAGGAACAGTTGTGCTGAACACTTGTTGGCTCACAGATCTTATTACAGGTTCCTCCATTGAGACACGGGTTGTTCCTGCAGCAGGCATTGGTACACGCGACGTCATCAGCACATGGAACGGTGTGGTTAGGAGTCTTATAATCATGATCCTAATTTGAGTTTAACAGAAAAGTGTTGCATTAACTTAGCTTTTTCTTTTATAAGTTTGCAAGCAATCACGGTTGCTCCCGAAATCTCTAATGCCTCGCTCTGACAGGCTATTTTTTATACCGACCATGCCATAATGGTCCATTAAAATTGCCCCTTTTTCAATATTTAAACAAGCGAGATCACCCAATGTCAAATATTTGCTAAAATTGATCAGTGAGTCTTAGATTTTCTTATACCTCTTCTTTAGTTTGATCAATTTCGTTTGGTGAAAACAATCATATGTTTTACCCCGAAATCGGGAAAAGAAGTTTTTTTTCCATTTTCGTGACACATTTTTTATAGTGTCTCTACGAAATAAATCCTATTAGATTTCTGAACTGCGAATGATATTCAAGCTATCCTCGTTATTGAGCAGCTCTCGCACATGCCAGGAACAGTTCTTTATTTGAATGTTTCTCAGTTAGTTGTCTGATTCTATTTTTGTATTTCATTATTCGAAAGATTCATCTCTTTTCGTAAAAAGAACTTTGACGGTTTGACATTTTCGACAGCTTTGGTCTTTGTCAACCAATCAGATAATTAGAACCATTCTACCAAGGATTCTGATTGGCTTATTTCAGTATGTTTTATGAGAGTTTAAAACATACTGACGAAACTTTATTCGCATTGAAAATAGAATTGCAAAAGGAATTTGACTCAAGAAGAAGGGAGGAACACTCGACTAGGTCTCGTGTTTCTCCTTACACTTCATTCGTGCTCACCCGCTTCCTAAGTACTTTATACCAGAACTTACTGAACACAGCCGAGGCTTCTTTATTTGTTTAAAAAGAACACACTGGTAGAACTGTGTGCGGAATGCAAAACAGGGTAATTTTATTGACTGCGTAATACCTTTCATAATTTGGTTTCCCTTCAATGCTGGCAAAAAAAAAACAAGACAATATCTACATATGAGTTTGAATGATTCATTATTGATATCCTGACGCCAAATAAATGATAACCTTCTTCATACAAGTTCACCACATGCAATATCAGTTTAAAGTGTGAGGAGAATTCAGCTGTTTTATTCATGAAGCAAACTTGTTACGCTCACTGTCCACTAGCAAGAAGTTGCGAAATGACATCACACTTTTGAAATCATTTCTTTGTTCATATCAGAGATTAAAATACAGAAAGACGTTGAGAATACAAAATGCAGGAATGCTATCAACAGGGAACCCCTCTGGAGAACGAACAGAAGGAACTAAAAATTGGTTTATATAAAAAAAATCAAAGATTCTTGTTTTTTCGCTTTTTGTAATCGGGATATCATGGGTAGTTACATTTTTAATTCAAATTAAGGAAAGGTAAATGGGTTTTGAAAAGTAACGACATTACATTTCATACGGGTGCATATCATTACAAAAATAGGTTGATTTTTGACGTTAATGTCCAACAACAGCTGCTAAATGAAAAGCAGGCGATAGAGTTAATTACAAATAGCATTTTGACGAAATATTCAGCAACAGAATTTCTGTATTAGACAACCAGTCCATGATTGCTCGATTTTGTTGAACAGAAAAAAAATATGATACTTAATCGGTTCCTAGTGTTGAGATTTTCGCTAAGTGTTTAGAAAGAAAAAAAACAGGGATGTGGCAAATAATCTCTAAGCTATTCATGGTCAATAACTAAGGTAAAATTGATAATAATTACGGTTGCAATTTCCTTCGACAATTTATTCTCACCGTGGCACCCACCACCTTGAATAGATTTTACAGAAAATGGATATGAAGTGTTAATAAAAAAAAAAAAGGAACCCATGGCTCCAGCTGCAACTTTTGGTGTAAAGTTTACGGCCGGCGTATTCATATGAATAGATTTTCAGGGAGAACAGAGGGGGGGGGAGGGGGGGGTCAGTCGTCACCAACAGAGTATTGAGGGGGGACTATAGGAAATTGACTGCCAATGAGGCGGGATCATTAGAATATTATAGAGACTTTGGAGGATTAGATAAATCTTTATTGTGACACAACTAACAAATTGACATTGTCTCAATAGACCCATATTATTGACCTTACATACTCGCTCTTATTTAAATCAAAACAAAGTTGCATATGTAAAAGCATAACTAAAAAATCTCGCAAACATGTTTCAAACCTGCAAACTGCTCATTCAGCGAAGACGTTGTGTAATAATACTTTAAGGAGATACAGAAACCATATAATTTTCATCTTCACGTACTGTTAAAACGGACTGTTATATTTGCATGCATCTAGTAACACAGAAATTAAACGTTGATTTTTAACATTCTTTTTGAAGCCTGCAAAATACAAGTAAACTTGCAAACTACTCAACTGGTGTGTTGTAAAACTGATCACATTTCAAAGGTAGCCATGTCTAAATAATTTTTAAGCTGGACCAACTCCTTGAGCGAAAACTGCAGGTGTGTTCTTATATGAGGAAATTACTTGCCTCCAATCCAAATCTGGGTGGTGTCATTCTCGCTTGAAGTACAACGAAATTTAGGATTTATTTCATCGTACCAACCAGAGTTGTCCTCAAAATTTAAAGCTGCATCTATTTTGCTTCCATCGAAATCACAGCCATCCTGTAAATAACTATCGATATGGAGAGGATAATCTCCTTTCTTATACCATGTCCGTGCGGTACAATTCACACACTCATTTCCTCTGATGTTCACATATTCGTAGGGTCGACAGACATCTTTCACCGTGGGTACGTCTCTGATGATATCAAAATCTTTAAGCGAGGCTCTCAGGTAATCTGTATATACGATACCCTCTGTGTTGTATCGGCAAGTAGCTCTCCAGTGAGTTGAGTGATCTCTGAGCCAAAGGAGGTAGGGTCGTTTCACGAGGTACGCCTGCCAATTTGGGGCATCACCACTGATGGCTTGGTAATCATCGTAAAACACGATATTCTTCTGTAGACAGAAAATGTCAACTTCAGTTGATAAAGATCACTTTGACATCCGAGAATTTAGGATCATTACTACTTTCGACAGTTAAGCTGAACTTTTGATTAAGTGCTCTTGTCAATATGAAGCATCAATGCTGATGACGCTTGAGTCTCGATAGTCATTATGTATAAACAAGACTTCTTTTGTTGACAGAATTATTCGAAGCATTCATTAGTGACGATTCTAAGGAAGAGAGACGAACTTAACTTACAATGAAAAAAATTCAAAATGAAGGCATTTCTTTTTGAGGGCACTTAATTCTCACATCTTCGTTGTTTCTGTAGACGAGAACGAACAGGATATAGGTCTTCATGGTTTAAAATCTTATGAAAATTACCTGAAAAAGATGTTTGTTGGACCGGTAGAACGATTCGATCAGGTTCCATGCGAACCCAGGCTCTGAATCAAAATCGCAGAATACTTGGAAAGTTTGGTTTCTGTCATCAGTGACGGTGTACAATCCAGAGGCGGTGAACCTGGCTGCTTTATAATCCTGACAGCTTCTTCTCAGCTGAATCTCGCAGTGTTTACCAACAAACGGTAAAGGACAGGAACAGTTGTACCGAACACTTGTGGGCTCACAGACCTCAGTGCAGGTTCCTCCATTGAGACACGGATTGTTCCTGCAGCAGCCATTGGTACACGTGACATCATCAGTACATGGAACGATGTGGTTAGAAGCCTTGTATCCAAAAATTGATAACACAATAAAGCGTTTTTATTATTATGATCCTACTTTGTGTTTGTGCATTGACTAAGCTTTTTCTTTCTATCAAGTTTGCAAGCAATCACGGTTGCCCCCGAAATCTCCAATGCCTTGCTCTGATAGGAAATTTTTTTATACCGATCGTGCCATAGTGGTCCTTTGAAATTACCCCTTTTTCAATATTTGAACAAGCGAGATCATCCAATGTCAAATATTTGCTATTTAAACAAGCGAGATCACCTAGTCTTTGATTTTCTTATGTCTCTACTTTACTCAGGTCAATCTAGTTTGGTAAAAACTATTGCATGTTTTACCAATGAATCGGAAAACGATTTTTCCATTCTTGTGACAATTTTTTTAAAACATATTTTCTCTACGGAATAAATTCAATTTTATTTTAGACCCATTTAAGTTATCCTCTCTTGAGAGAAGCTCTTGCACCTGCAGGATAAGTTCTTTATATGAATATTTCTTCGTCAGTTGTCTGATTCTATTTTTGTATTTCATCATTCGAAAGATTCGTATCTCTTCATAAAAATAAAAGGAAAAAAGAATGTTTTTAATTTCCAGACCCGAATAAAAGAGGACCTTGAAACAGGGACTGGGAAGTTTTAGTTTTGCACAATAATATTTATCTCTCAACATCTTTTGCAGCTGTTAACTCGAGCTCGAAACAATCGATGTTCACTGTTTTAAAACACTTTTAGGGAAGACTTCAGTATCCACAAGGATAGGTAGTCACAAATTGTTTTAGTACTGCTTTTGATTAGTTGAGAAACTCTTCTGTGGATCAACTCCTAATCTTATCGTTAAATAGATTATCAAACAACTTCCTCGAAAACTATCACACTTTGGTACACCTACTCAGCCATTATCTATTCAACATACTTTGCAAATAGACCTAAAGGGGAGCACAGCTCTAATCATGTAATTATCTAATAATACATTTATTCCATTATGCACTTTAGACACGTACGCAGTGCAGACTTATTTTTATAATTCATCGTTAGGCAGAAGCTTCATCGGTTTTAAAAACAATGAATGCCTAATATCTTAAGATGAAGATCCGGAATCATTCATAGTAAAAATATGATATGACATAATAAAGTTTAATACCTTATTAAATTCCTCCCTTCCAAGTTTGTAATAAATGGATCCTGGATCGTTTATCAAAGACATATTGTTTGTAAAATGGCTGCCTTCGTTTAACTCGCAGTATTTGGTGTTGTTCTTGACCTTGTAGTTTATCGACAGACACCGACAGTCGTTGATACACCACAGATAGCACTGCTGTGGGTTTGAAGTGACAGACTTGTGGAAGACATGGCCGACAAACTCTTTGTCATGATCGGCGTCTTTTTGCTCATTAAAAGAGATCTTTTCACATTTTCCGGTGGAGCAGTAGCCCTTAACTTTAAAAGCTGAAATAAGTATACAAAAAAACTTTGCAACCATCATTTTTATCGTTTTCACACCCCAGCTGGGGAAACGATGTTTCTCAAAATGTCCTTCTTGAGCAGATTACTTATTTAAGATATCGCCCATCCCTATGTGTCAATCAACGTGTAAGAAACCAATCAAATGAGTTTAAAGAAAATAACTTCACAAGATGAATATTCAAGGTTCGGAAAAGTAACAAAAACAAGTGTTAAAATCGACGTGCGTGATATTTTCCGATTGTGGCGCGCAAAAAACTTGATGCAGATGTTCAACATAAGACCACCTCCCACGCACACGGACATAACTTTAAATTTCTTACTTTCAAAACTGCGAACGTGTTGTCTAAAACACACGTGGGATAACCTAGGCTAGTTTTTATGGGTTTTGCAGTTAGTGCTTACGCTTAAATTTAGAACATATATAGACATCGATAAACCCCATGTAAAATTCAGTTTTTCAGGTGTCTGTTTCTGATTTTCATCCAGTTAAACCTGATTTGACGAAACACGCTTTGCTGATGGAAATGGGATTTTAGCCTGATTCTCTGACTCTGATTTTTATCCAGCTCTGAGACGCACGCTATTACCTACAGTATCGGCAGATACGAAGGGGGCATGCTCAAACCTTTGTTTCCATTGCGGAAACACAACTGCTAACACTTGTTTCCGTAAACAGAATCATGACGTTTTAGTGATGACATTTAATGATGAAAAATATAGGGTCATATAACCAAACTGGTATAACTGTTAAATTTTATTCAAATCATGATGGTGTCGGAGTGACTGAGATCATGTTGAGGTCCATCGCGGCTAGCTCATCATGGCGATATCTGGTCATCGTTGGGAAACAAGCATCAGAAATTACATCGTCCGCCCTTTAAGTGAACAACTAGGAGCTTGCTCTGATATCCTTTCCGATTTGTTGAATGGAAGGCTAAATCAGTCACAACAGCTGAGTTTACCGGTGATCTCACTCTGGTAACCGGAGCAATCTTCATGTTCCTGTGAATTCAGCTGTCGCTTATTCATATAACACATGCCTTGAGCAATTTGTTTCTCTTATTGTCTTCTAAAAAAAACTTGCGTGCTTTTATGAGCCACAGTTCGGTTGGATTTCACTGAATATTTCAATTTTAGATTCTCTATTAAAACTAAAAACAACGTCAAGCACAAGAGTTGAATTTGACCTGCCGAACTATTTCAGTTTGTGAGCTATTGCAGAACTTGGATGGTTTGACATTGATATTTGGCGTTGATCTTATTAAACCAATCAGATAATTAGAACCATTCTAACAAGGATTCTGATTGCCTTATTTTAGTATGTTTTATGAGAATTTAAAACATACTGACGACACCTTGTTTGCATCAAACATTGCATATTATTTTGAAAATAGAAAATTATGCGTGATGAATTTGACCCATGAAGAAGTGAGAAACACTCGAGGTCTCGTGTTTCTCCTTACATTTCTTTCGTGCTCAAGCCGCTTCCTACGTGCTTTACTAGAGAACGTACTGAGCACAGTCAAGGCTTCTTTATTCTTTTGAAAATAACACACTGGTAGATCTGCGTGCAGAAAGCAAAACAAGGTGATTTTATTGAATGCTTAATTTGGTTTCCTTCAATGTTGGCAAAGACAATATCTACATATGAGTTTGAATGATTAATTATTGATATCCTGACGTCAAATAAATGATAACCTTCTTCAAACAAGTTCACCACATGCAATATCAGTTTAAAGTGTGAGGAGAATTCAGCTGTTTTATTCAAGAAGCAAACTTGCTACGCTCACTGCCTACTAGCAAGAATTTGCGGAACAATATCACTCTTTTGAAATCATTGCTTTGGACTACCAGAGATCTAAAGACAGCAAGACATTGAGAATACAAAGGATAAAATGCGGGAAAGCTATTGGCAAGGAACCCCTCCGGAGAACGAACAGAAGTAAGGAAGAAAAAATGGTTCATAGAAAAAATCCAAAGAGCCTTGTTTTTTTGCACTTTGTAATCGGAATATCGTGCACACTTTATACGATATTAATCGAAAGGGAAAATTTGACGGGTCTTTAAAAGTAACGCCGACTCATTACGTTGCACTAAGGTGCACATAGTTACAAAAAAAAAAGTTGATTTTTGACATCGATTTTTGTCCAACTACAGCTGCAGAAAGAAAAACAGGCGATAAAATGAATTACAAATAGCAGTTGACGAAATATTCAGCGTCGACAGAATGTCTGTATGAGACAACCAATCCATGATTGCTCGATTTTGTTGAACAGAAAAAAAAATATAATATTCAATCGGTTCCTAGAGTTGAGAATTTCTTTTTGCGTTTAGAAAAAGATTATGGTAAATAAACTCCAATCTAATCAAGGGTAATATCTGAGGCAAAATTGATAAACCTGCAAACTGCTTCTACAGCTAAGACGTTGTATAATAATACTTTTAGGAGATACGATAAAAAAAGGAATTTTCATCTTTACGTACGGTTAAAATGGACTGTTATACTTGCATGCATCTAGTTGCACAGAAATTAAACGAGGATCTCTAACAGTCTTTTTCGAGCCTGTAAACTGCTTATTTCCAAAACTACTTAGCTGGTGATCAAGTGTAATAAAAATAATAAATAAAAATAATAAAGTGTAATAAAACTAATCATGTTTGTAAATACAGTAAGAGAGATGGTAAGTATCGAGCTCGGTAAAGAAATAGAGAAAGATGTTTTTCGTCTTGTCACGAGCGTGGGAGAAAGAAAAATTCTGAGTCCCCATGAGGAATCGGATTCCGCGCTCCGATGCTCTACCACTGAGCCACAGAGACCCTCGGGTGAGCGAGGTCTATTAGAAATCGAAATTTCCCGGATGTTCAGATATTCGTAAGGTCAACAGACATCTATCGCCGTGGGTACCTCTCTGATGATATTAAAATCTTCAAGCGAGGCTCTCAGCTTATCTGTTTATACGGTGCCATCAGTGTTGTATCGGCAAGTAAGGTTGATCAAAATCTGTGGGAACATAATGTATTAATCAGTTCTTGAATATGAGTCGGTAAAACAAAAGAAGGTAGTAAACAAACCAAAAACAACAATCGCCAATTTGCCCACAACACGAGGTCCTCGGGCGCACTGAAATGCAAATTTCTCTTCTCCCTCATCTTGTTGTCACGAATGAATTTTTCATGGAGCTCAGCTCATAATCCGTAGAGACATTTTCCAGGGAACACCTGGAGAATTAAAAACATACATGACAGAAATTCATGATCATGTACAGCGTCCACTGAGTAGTTTTTCCCCCACGTTATGGGAAAGATTGCAAAACTATTCAAAATGTCGAAATTGTGCATATTTTTGATTACTATAAAATCTGCTGAAAAGTTTCCGCTTATTAGAGGTTAATACAGATCGCAGAACGTATTGCTACGTATTGATACGCAATTCGGCTAACGCATATGAAATTTAATTGCAGCTAGACTCACCAATCAGTTACGTCTGGACTGAAACAGGCAAAAGAACGAAACGAGAAGAGTAGAGGATAAACTCAAGTTAGAGAAATTACGGCAAAAAAATTAAATCACGCTGCCAGGCGGAATTTCGCCATCAAATTTTTCGTTAGGTGATATTTTAGAAAGTGCTTTTACCACTGAATCATATTTTTTATTTTCCTTTATTAATTTAACGCTGGATCCAGGGTAGGTTCTTTGCTCTGTGCCTTGCTTCAGGCTTGGAGCTTTTTTGATGCATTACAAAAAAGAGGGAAGAATGTTTACATATTCTCCAGGTTATCTGCTTATCAAACTTATCCTTCGATGTGTTAACATTTCGCACTAAGAATGATAACAAAAAAATGATCATATAAGAGGTGAAATTATCTTTAGTCTTGGCTAAGCTACGCCGCCAACAAAAAAAATATTCGTTATTATTTTGCAATATGTTTTCACACTCTCTAAACAGATGTCTTGAACCGTGGCAAAAAAAATAATAAAATGCTGAGGAAAGACCACGAGTGTTGTGAAAGATCTTTCAAGTGTAGAAGATAGCAGTGTGGATCAGCTTTGTGTGCTACATTTCCATAATTGTTTTTTCCTCATGGAGTGCAAAAATATTTACTAGTTTCTTTGCCGTTTTTATGGATGTAGAACTTGAACACCCACTAATTCGAACCATTTTTCGTTTCTCTTGGGAATTCGAGTCAGTGGGGTTCTGTTTTCTCATTTCCCTTTCTTATGGCTGTATATTTATCAAAGTCCGTTGCGGTCATAGTGCAGCCGTCCAGGGGGGGAGAAAATTAACGAGTACCTTGCATGTTTCTTGTTACTTGCGGATCTTTATTAACCTAGTTTCCTTTGGTAGTGTACTGTAAGTGGATACTTTTTGCAAGTCAGACTAGCTATCTCACAAATTAAGAAATCCTTACTTCCATAGTAGATTGAAATGAGCAGGAATATTTTATACAATTTAAGTTGATTTTATAGATCGTGATCCTGATATGAAAATAATTTTGTTATGAGAAACTTTCTCAACTACGGAGATAGACTGATAAATTTATAGATTGAAATAAAGTGAGACCTTAACTCGCCATTTACGGCCTAATGGCCTTGAAACGAGTAATGAGCTATTTTTCGATTCCAACATCGCACGACTTCGAATGCAAAACATTTAGAGCAACCGCAATAAAATGCTTCTCAGTGTAACGGGTACCTGGGTACACGCAGTCATGCTTCTAGTTACGGGAGATGATTTTAATTAATCGTATCTCAAGCTCGGTGTTCGAGTGAGTTAAAGTCCTAATATCAATTCCATCATCTTATCAAAATTAGCGACTTAAATTTTCAGTTTTATTCCGATTATTAGGGAGTTTTGGATCCACGTTGGCTTTTGAATACGCGTGACTGCAAACGCTCAGGAGTCACGTAACCAGACTCCAGCGGTCACGTTCGCCATTTGCCGTCCTCGCTTAAACTTCGGGCAAGGCAGTTTCAGGTACTTGAACTTCCTCGACACTTTTTTTCTTCCTGTTCGAAAGTTTTCACGTATGTCCCAGAAATATATGTGAAGTCTTTTGTTTATAACCAATCCGATTGGAACATTAGGAAACCAATCTTTTAGCCACATTTTGTGCAGACATGGACGCATAAAAAAAAAATGCTTTCTGTATTTCGTCTTCACGGCCTACAGATCGACTTTCGTAACTTGAGAGACTCAAGCAACCGAGGCATCAACTTTAAAATTAAAAGCCGTCCCAATCGTTTTATGTTTTAATAATTGCGCTAATTACTTGATTATGCAAATCGTGATGTTGACAATATGAACCAGACTGGATGGCTTCCGGGTTGAAGCCACTTCTCTAATAGTATTACTTTTGGGGACGCCAAGGGAAATTTAAGTAGCTTCTTGTTGTCGTGAAAACTGACGATATCTCTGTGGCTACTACTGGCTATTACAACAGCGATAGATAATAAGTTTTACATCTGCTCTGTCATTTTTATTTATACAATTTATGTGCATTTGCAGTTGTGCTGACGATTTAAGATCGAAATGGGGAAGAATTGACGGGTGCAGTTTCAACGCTACTTTGTTTGGCCCGTGTCTTTTCAAAACGGTTTGCAAGAGTAGTATTGGATGCTTTGTACCGGAGACTTGTATGGGAGAAGGCACAATACCGTACACGCTCCTGTTCTTTGTTTCGTCGTCGTCGGTTTTCAATTAAACTTTGATTGCCAAAGTACCCTTTCATGGTATTTATTCTAGCAAGTCAACAATCGAAAGAAAAGTGACTTCTAGCGTAGTAAATAAGTTTTTAATCAGAATTTAGTTAGTCACCCTTTTCATAGCCTCCCTGAAAGACCTTAAATTATGAATCCTTCCAGGACAGGTGTTGGAAAAAATATAAATCTGTGAAACGTGATAATACATGCGAAATTAAGAGATCCTCGCAGCTAAGAACACTACTGAAACGAGAAAAAAATTCAGGCCCGAACGGGATTTGACCCCATGACCTCTACGGTACCGGTACAACGCTCTACCAACTGAGCGAGCTTGCTGGTTAGCTGCAGTTTACAATGCAACACAACTTACAATAATTACCTATCAGGATTACATACAGCATCTTATGGTCGATGGCGGATGGGTACTGTGTGATAGTGTGTCATAGCGAAGGATTATGTAGATATCATAATGTTATTGCCGGGGATTTTCAGCGATTGTATAAATCACCGACCAACCTTCCTAACAACGCAAAACAGATCCACAGCAGTTGAATTTTAGTTTACAGCAGCCCGGCCATGAAGATACTTCTACAGATCAGACGTAAGCGGCTTAAAATCTTAGCCCTGAAACTTCTGGGTCAATTGAAAAATGAAATTGTACGTACAGGATCAAAATTAGCTCAGCCGACGTTTTGTATCAGGTTTACAGTCAGCACAGTGATTTGCTTTCGATCAAGAACTGGGTCAGTGATATCACCCGGTTTTGAGACTTGTTGTCGGTTTAGCAGCAAGATAAGAAATGCTTTTTCGTTGATTATTATTTCCTTTTCTAAGATACTTTGTGTAAAGTATTTGGTCATCCATATTACTTTAATTCATAATCGAATGATATTAGCTGTCCGAGCCGTAGATAGTTTTGTCTATACCATGACGTCGGCATAAAACGTGTCGTCACGGTCCGATATTTAAAAACTTAGGCTTGCCCCACATTTCAGATCACCCTTTACATTCAGAAATGTCATGACAAAAGAAAGACACTTTTTGGAGAACACTGTTATGTTTTTCACACCTCACCTAAGCAGATCATTTTTTTAAAGGTATCTCTCCACCAAATTATTTCTTTAAGTTGCTTTCCTTTTATAAGCCGCCAATTCAGGTGCGAGAATTAAATCAATCAGTTCATTCCAGATGTCTGAGCCAAACAGACATGTAGAGCTCGAAAACGTAATAAAATAATTAATTATTGTTTGTTAATTATTCATCATACACAAAGGATGGCGCAAAAAAATATCTTGTTTAGGTGGTTATATCCACTGAAGCTAAAATAAAAAAAAAAGGAGATGAAATGATCCTGCAGATGGGTGTTAATTAACGGCAGGAAATTCTTTTTATTTCATCTTAAAGAGCTGAAATGCTTTTTTCAACAAACTCACATTTTACTTTTTCAAATGAAGTTTAATGGAACTAAGCAGTTACAATGATAACATTATCATAATTATACATTTTACGTTATCATGTTTGAATTAAAAAAACAACAGCAGAATAAGAAACATTTATGAGACAATGTGCTTAACATGTGAAATTGGTTGTACTATACAGAATATTGAATATTAAGTCAATAAAGGATGAATAAGCGATGAATATTAATTGGAGGGTAAAATTGGTGTCCACCCGAAACTGGGCAGTCTATTTTTATATCATTAGTTTGAAGAAGGAAGCTTATGATCCAGAAAGTAGTAAAATAAATCACGCTTTGAAAAGATCACGGAAAGTTTTGATTTATCATACATGCTTGGATGTGTCTAACATCTTTTTCAATTGCAAAAGCTATTTAACTAAAAGTTAATAATTCTTAGATGAACCTCGTAATGGGCCTCGCTCATCATAGAGTATCTGTAGCTAAGTGGTAAAGCATCGGAGCGAGGGATCCGAAAGGTCTGAGGTTCGATTCAGTTGAATTTTTTTTTGTTTCACACTCGTGCCAAGACGGAAAACATGTTTCTCTATTTCTTTACCGAGCTCAAAGATTACCATCTCTCTTAATCTATTTATAATAATTCTTATAACAACTTCAAAAAGGATTCTTATTTATGGCATAAAAGTAAGAAAAAAAAGGATTGTGCAAGATAAAGACAAAGCGTAAGGTATTGGGTCAACTTAGAAGATTATTTGATTGAAACCAGTTGATGTATAGCTATAAACTAGCTCTACATCTTGCACATAGTTTATGTAAAGGAGTGGCTTTAAACACATCCATACTCTGCGATGAGAATTACGTGTTTACTGGCGTTGAATCAATAACGGTAACTTGTCGACACTCAAAGATAGACTAAATGATATTCTAACATAAAACTTTCTTTTACGTAAAACGAAAAAAGAATTTTTATTCTCATTCTTTTTTGGCAGCTTTTAAGGTTAGTCTTCACAGTTACAGCAGGGAAGAAGATTATAATGGAACTCTTTGTCAGAATTCAACTTCTGTAATACCTTGATACATTATTTTCAACTAAACATTATTAAATAAGCCAACATTGACAACTGATTATAATCAAGAAATGACAAACCTTTCAGGTATAACATTTGCATTTCTCAGATCATCTATTGTAAATCTCATTTACAAAAACGCGAAAAAGTCAATGATACTATACTTCCCTTTTTTGTTTCAACGAGTTACCTTCTGGTTTAAGTTTGTTTTTGTAAAGCAGCGTAGAAAGACGGCCTCTTCTCACCCTTAAAAGCCAAAAGCTATTTTTATTAAAACAATTGTAAGACAAATTCGTAATTCAAGAAAATGTTCAAGTGCGCTCGAAGCACTCAATTTTAAAGACTGAATTAATGAATATATTAGAGATCAGTCATTATTTATTGCCTGGGTGGAAGGGCAGAAGGAATTTATTTGGGGGTATTACAGAGGAGGGGGTCAGTCGTCGCTAACAGAGTATTGAGTGGAGACTACAGAAAATTGATTGCCAATGAGGCGGGATCATTTGAATATTACAGAGCCTTTGGAGGATCAGGTAACTTTTATTGTGAAATATTTAGATCTCTCAACACTCCCCCCCCCCTCCCCTCCCCCGCTCAGGTGATAAATAGTGACCAGTTTCTCATGATACAACAATTGATTGTAGTTATTCGTTAGTAAACAGTTCAGTTACGGAAATTGACATCGTCTCAACAGACCCCCTCGCTCTTATTTAGATCAAAACAAAGTTGCATATGTATTAACAGAGCTAAAAAATCTCGCAAACATGTTTCAAACCTACAAACTGCTCATTTAGCTGTGATGTAAAGTAATAATACTTTAAGGAGATACAGAAACCATGTAATTTTCATATTTAAAGTGAAAAGGGACTGTTATATTTACGTGCATCAGAAATCAGACGAGGATTATTACTCAGGTTTTTTCGAGCCTGTAAACTGCTTACTTGCAAAACTACTCAGCTGGTGATCAGGCGTGTAGTAAAACTGATCACATTTTAAAGGTAACCATGTCTAAATGATTTTTAAGATGTCCAACTTCTTTCAACGAACACTACAGGTGTATTCTTATATGAGGAAATTACTTGCCTCCAATCCAAATCTGGGTGGTGTCATTCTCGCTTGAAGTACAACGGAATTTAGGATTTATATAACCATCATAATAAAGACCAAAGTTGTCCTCGCTATACACAGCCGCGTCTGTTCTGCTTCCATTGAAATCACAGCCATCCTGGTAATAACTATCAATATGGAGAGGATAATCTCCTTTTTTGTACCATGTCTTCGTTGTGCAATTCACACACTCATTTCCCCGTATGTTCACATATTCGTAAGGTCGACAGACATTAACCACCGTGGGTACGTCTCTGATGAAATCAAAATTTTCAAGCGAGGCTCTCGCGTAATCTGTATATACGATGCCATCTGTGTTGTATCGGCAGGTAGCTCTCCAGTGAGTCGAGTGATTTCTAAGCCAAAGGAGGTACGGTCGTTTGATGAGGTAGGCCTGCCAATTTGGGGCATCACCGCTGATGGCTGGGTAGTCCTCGTAAAACACGATGTCTTCCTGAAGACAGAGAGTAGAAAGTGAAGGTCGTGTCATGGTGGTAGACAGGCCAAAAAGAAATGTCATTTGAGAACATTTAGCGGGAAAATCACGGAAACTAATTAAAAAAGCAACAACAATATGTCCAATCTCGGTGCACATTACGAGGAAAATTCTCCACCCCCTTTACGTTTCTTTGATAAGAATTAATCGAAGGGATACGCCTTCTGACAAGGATGTTTTGAGAAAATTACCCGGAGAGGTTTTGAGACAAACTACATGATGGGATCAGGTTCAAAGCAAACTCGTGCTCTGAATCATAATCACGGAACACTTGGAAATTTCGACTGTTGTCATTGATAACTGTGTACTATCCAAACAAGTTAGACTCATTGCTATGTAATCTTGACAGTTTTTTGTGGATTCTTACAGTATCTTCCACCATATTAAAGTCAAAAGTATCCTTCCTTATCTTGTTAATCGCAACCTATTTACAATCTCATCTGCTTATTTCAATAAATTATTCAGGGGGGAACGAATGCTGCTTCACGATGAACCTGCCGCGAATCATTTAACAGAAGGATGTCGATCATTTTAATCTGAGTGGCAATAACGGTGAAAATACAAAGAGATACCAAATTACCTGGAATTGACCTTTGTTTGACAGACTGAATGATTCAATCAGGTTCCAAGCGAACCCAGGCTCTGAATTGAAATCACAGAACACTTGGAAGGTTTGTATGTTGTTAACACTGACTGTGTACAATCCAGAAGAGTTGGACCCGGCTGCTTTGTGGTCCTGACAGCTCTTCAGCTGAGTCTCACAGTGTTTTCCAGAAAACGCTACTGGACAGGAACAGTTGTACCGAACACTTGTGGGCTCACAGATCTCAGTGCAGGTTCCTCCATTGAGGCACGGACTGCTTCTGCAGCAGCCATTAGTACATGTGACGTCACCAACGCAAGACGTTTCTCTCTGTAGAAACCAAATCAGAAGAATCGCACCACATACACACTCCATTCCCACAGCACATGATAACCCTTTTCAAAAGATGTTACGTTGGATAAACATATTACACGGTGACGAGAGGATATGAATTATATGTTCGAGTGGCAAGGAAAATATCTCACGAGTGAGTGGAACGAAGGAGTGAGATGTTATTCGTGCTACGAAAACACGAAATTTATATATCTTTGAGCGAACGTGTAATTTTATTTTTATTTTCTAGACAATGAATACACTGGATACCAATAGAAACAGACTACCCAGTGCCCACATAATTAAAAGGTTTATATCAGTTACACCGCCAGTGCAGCTGTTAGTTGATTCTACGATAGTTTCTGTTTCTTGGTAAAACATCCACGTCCAAGTAATAACCTAAAATATAACACTTGTATTCCGCTGGAAAGACTTGACACTTTCAGTTCAAATCCCCCACTCCACCTAGGGAAGGTTCAACCAGTCCCGAGGTTGCCCAAAGTTTCCCAAGGGGATGATGAAGCTTCGAATTGGTTGGCACACTACGCAACAAATTGATAATAATGCAAGTAATATTTTGTTTGTTCGCAGAGAGGTATTTTTTAAGAAATCGATTTTATTCATCAACCAACATTCTTTAAATTACATTTTAGGAATGCATTTGGAAATGCTACAACAATACGTGTATTTTCACTTACCTTTTGGTGAAAAAACCTTCGCATGTTGTAATAACGGGATCCTGCAGAACGTTTAAGAAAGCTGTCGTGGGTGAAATGGCTTGCATCGTTCAACTCGCAGTATTTGGCGTCGTTCATTTCCTTGTAGTTGAACGACAAACATCTACAGTCGTCTTTACACAACAAGTAGCACTGAACTGGGCTTGAAGTAACAGAGTTGTGGAAAACATGGCCAACAAGCTCTTTTTCTTGCACTGCATCTCCATAAACATCGAAGGGATATGTTTGACAAAATCCCGTATTGCAGTTACTTTTTGCTTCTGTAAATGTCCAAAAAATCTGTAAAAGGATAAGGAAATGAATCAAAGACATAGTTACGTTCCTTCTTGTGTTTAGAACTGACTTTACTGTTTGTTTCGTTCAACTAGTGTCGAGCGTGCTTTTATAGACAGTTTAAGCGAGTTTGTTCCACATGCTGCGAAATTTTATAAATTGTACGGGAAATTAAATTCGATCTTTTGTTTGTCTTGGAATTTTCACCTGTCGTCTTCCTAAGATGTTTGATTATTTCACTTTAGAATATAAACAAACTCTCTAATATTTCACATTTACCAGAGTAAACTTATTTCAAAAATGGATACTAAAAGGGGGCTTCACAGCATCTACATAGTAAAACACTGGCTAACTCCGGGTATCATCTCCTTAGCTTGCTCGGGATATCATGTCAAGCACTTTCTTTTACTCTTCCTTTCTCTCCATCTATCTCTCTCTAGCAATGTTTATTTTTTTTAGAAAGAAAGTGCTATTCACGTAATGTTGTTAAAATTGAAAGGTCAACTATGTATGTGAACACTGGCAGAAAAATTTAACAAACCGTCAGTGCATGTTGAACTTTCAGCGAGATATCTCTTAAAAGCAAAGGCTAACGAGTAATGTTTTTAACATACTAGTCAAGTTTACCTCAGTTACATTATGAATTTAATTCCTAAATTTTAATTAAATTCGAGCAGTTATGAGAAGAACCAATGATTAAAAATATCCGTCCAGCAGCGGTCTTTATTGTCAGTGACATTGATAAAGGATGGAATCAATAAAACATTGGTCAAGATTGGGGAGCAAATAAGACATTTTAGGAAGATGATGTTTGTATAACAAGTTGCACCTGCTTTACAAACAGCACGCGAATCAAACCAATCTTCTCAGGAATGTTACCGATCGGGACGATTTGAGTAATCTTACGGTAACCGGGTCTTAACTGTTCCTAAGTTCAATAAGACATCCTTCACTTTTACCCGACGAAATGTCAATGGAGTCGGTGATCACATTAAAGAAACACTAATCAAAAAGTTAAAAAAAGAAACCATGGATCATCCAATCATTGCCAATTTTATTCTTCACAGTAAACGGTTGGCATAGAGAACCAAACATCGACTGCATTTAGCTAAGTCAGTCCTTATTTATTTGTCACCTTGTAAGCTCTCTGCTGAAGTCTTACATGGAGCAGCACCTGACGGCTTTAGATAAGAAGTACTCCATCTAAATACCTGTTACTCGTGCTTGAGAACTAATTCTTCTCCTCTGCACGATACAGCATGAATATTGCTCATAGCACAGGCTTTCAAGGTTATCAATTATTCGTGGATGTTACGCCGCCAACTTTCTTCAGCGAAAGCTGTCTTGGAAAATCTTTATCTCCCGAATCTTTATATTCCTTTACTAATCTCCGGCTTTTGCTACCGAGAAATTTTATTGTTTGTGAGAATAAAATCAAACTCAACTTAATTTCTTAAACCTGAAAACATCCAAATTTGCGTGTTTATTGTTCCTCTAACAAGTCACACACATGCAGCAAATAACATCCGGGCTAAAAGATTATGGTCGCCCAAGCTTACTATCAAGGGGAATTAATTAATTTCCCAGCCAAACATTCAAAAAGTTGAATGTCGAAGTAAGCTGATTACCCCTCAACCGTTTTAATTTGTCTCAAGGAAGGTGACTCCCGCTGATTTAAAAATTAACTGAACTCAATACCTGATGCTCCGATGCTAATTAGGAACCATATGGTTAATTGTCTTGTAGAGAATTTGGTTAAATGGTTTCGTTCATGGAGCTCATGCAAGTTATGAAAACCATAAATTTTTGAAGAGAATTTGTCATTAACATTTTATTTTCAATAAAGGCCATGGTAATTGCATGCCAACATATGGCGACTGTTATGATTAATTTTTTGACGCTTTTACTTGGTCAACCAAGTGTAAATAGCATTTTGAACAAATAAAGAATTCTTAGGCAGTACACTCCACTCTAGCTTTCTTGTTTTACCAAATTCGCGAAATAACAAATTGAAAATTCCAGTTAACTAACTCATTGCGCTGTCTGTTTTCTTTTACTAAAAGTTCTGACCTGAAGCCAGCAAGACGTATGCTAAATCATGGAGCGTAGACAGGTGAAAAAAGAAAAATAAGAGGACTTCAAATGTGAGTTCCACGCTGTCTCCATTGCGTAACAGCTTCAGGTGCGATGAAGCTCGACATCGTCCCAACATAACATGCTAAAAATACAATTTAGAATGATCATGGCTAAGCATTTGATTCATTTTCTTACCAATCTTCTTATGTCTTATACATTTACAGAAGCAAAAGGCAACTGCGATACAGGTTTTTGTCAAACATATCCCTTCGACATTTATGGGGATGCCTTGCAAGAAAAGGAGCTCGTTGCTCATGTTTTCTACAATTCTGTAACTCCAAACCCAGTTCAGTGCTACTTGTGGTGTATACACGACTGTCGATGTTTATCTTTTAACTACAAGGAAAAGAAAGACGCCAGTTACTGCGAGTTGAACGATGCCAGCAATTTTACCCACAACAGTTCCCTTGAACGTTCGTCAGGATCCCGTTACTACAATCTTAGGAGGATATATCAGCGAAAGGTGAATAATTACACTAGTATGTCATGATCTTTCTTTACTTAAACGTGGAAATTTCCTAGGACTTATTCTATTTTACGTAAATATCTATTCGTAAAAAAATTAGTTACGTAGCCCAAACAGCGATAAGCAAAATACTTGCGCATCACTTTATCTGTTTTGGTTTTTACAGCAAGAGAAATCATGTACTGATGACGTCACGTGTGCCAACGGCTGCTGCAAAAACACTCCGTGTCTCAATGGAGGAACCTGCTCTGAGGTCTGTGAGCCTACAGGCATTCGGTACAGCTGTTCCTGTGGCGCTGCCTATGGCGGGAGGCACTGCCAGAATTCGCTAAAAAACTGTCAGGACCACAAAGCAGCCGGATCCAATTCTTCGTTCTTCATTTGAGGAAATTCCGAGAAGCTGTCGAAGGCTCTTACGTAACGATGAATTTGTTCGCTACTCAAGCTTAATACGGGTGGAATATCTGTTACTATTTACGGAGATAGAATCAATAAACTTTCCCCTTTTTTGGTTTTCGCAGCAAGAGAAGTCATGTACTGATGTCATGTACTGATGAAGCAATCCATGTCTCAATGGGGGAACTGAAATCTATGAGCCCACAAGCATTCGGTACAACTGTTCCTCTCCTGTACCAATTGTTGGCAAACACTGTGAGGCTCAACAGAAGAAGCTGCTTTGTCCAATTCATCTGGATTTTATACAGTTGATGATGGCGGCAATCAAACCTGATTAAGTCATTTAATTTCTCGAACAAAAATCTTCCTTGGATATTTGACTTTACCTTACCTTAGAGCTCACCACTTAATTAAATTGTTAAACTGGACTCACGGTGGGTTTGTCTTAAAAGGAGTATTATCTCTTCATTATCGCTCCTAAATCACTCTTGTCATTATGATCTTCCTTAATTGATTTTGGTATGGTTTTAATCAACTCAAATCAACTTTCTCTGTTTTCATACAATCGTGTTCTACGTTGACTAGCCAGCGATCAGCGGTGATGCCCCAATTGGCAGGCCTACTTTATCAAACGAACTCACCTCCTTAGGCTCAGAGATCATTCGACTCACTGGAGAGCTTCTTGCCGATACAAGACAGATGGTACCGTGTAAACAGATTGCCTGAGAGCTTCCCTTGAAGACTTTGACATCATCGTAGACGTGCCTTCGGCTATAGCCACCTGTCGGCCATACGAACATGTCAATATCTGGGGAAATGAGTGTGTGAATTGTTCTGAAGCAAAGTGGTACATGAAAAGGGTTGATCCTTTGCATATCGACTCTTCTCACACCGCTATACCTTTCGACTTTGATGGAAGTAGCTGGATCCGGCTATACCTGACGAAGTTCCTACACTACAAATCCCAAATTCCGTTGTACCTCAAATCCGGGTGACACGACTCAGTTTGGATCGGGGGCAAGTAGTACACCGACCAAACCACACTGTTAACCCTGAACAGCTTATTTCTTTTCGTTTGGCCACATGTGACATAACATAAAAGAACCAAACAAAAATTAACGGGATTAAGTTTAACCTGCTCCCGAACTTTAAGATTACAACTACTAACAAGAAAAGTTGAATCAAAATAAGACAACTGAAGTAAAACTGTATTACTAATACTTTAGATTATGGCCCAATTAATCTGGTTATGGATTTTCTTTCTTTAGTGAACTTGGAAGTTTCGTTTAAAAGGGGTCTATTTGTGGTATTTTCACCGAGGACAACATGCTAAGACGCTCAGTACACAGAAAATAGAAAAACTTATCAACAGATAAAGTTTTCGAGTTTAAAATTTACCTTCGACTTTGGCAGATAACTCAAACCTCGGTTTTGATACTTCATGATGTCATGTTTATCCTCATCCAATAATTGCTTATATCTGCGTGCGAATGGTTCTTTAGAGCAGACACGAGACCCCAATAAAGCATGAGGTTTTGCGAGTTCTGACCGATCAGATAAGTTTCATCTTTTACTAACCAAAACGTTCAAAAAGTTAAATTTGCCTCACGGAACGTGACTCCCGTTATCGTTCTCTTAAAAATTATCCGAGATTGAATAGAACTTTGCCCTGTTAGTTGCCTCAAGTCGGCCTGAGAAACGAAATCGTGTTGAACCTCGACGAGATGAGTTGATTTTATTGTCAGAATAAGATGATATCCACCTACAATACCAAGAAAACAATATGTAAACAACTAAGAGGCACTTTATCAGAGGAAGATGCTGATCAGGTTTAAGACCTGCGGCTAATAACCTATAACTTATTCATAACTTGCCAGAATGATAATTGAATGGCAACTTGAAGAAACGAGGCAGGAAAGTGATTCGGTTTAATCTATCTCTAAAATGAGACTTAAGGGAAACGAACAGAGGAGCGATTAGATTCCATTCTCGATTTGAATCATATACTTTTAATGCTGCAGCGAGTAACATTTTGATGGAATAAGTGAGGTCATTAGAATTCAGGAAGGAGGTAATTAATGAATAGGTCTTACCGTTATTGTCAATTGTTATGCTGAAGACAATCGCGAAATTTGTTACTCTGCGCCACTCTTGTGAGAAATGTTAACATAATATGTTGTTGTATCGGGAGTTCATGGAATTTCTCAAAACAAAAGAAATGTGGGAATTTCTTACATCTTCAAGCTCTTAATTACAGCAAACTTTTGAAAGATTAAGATGTTCCAAAATCTTTGTCTTAAATATTCATTTTCAATAAGGATAGCTTTAACCATTTAATTAAATTTCGAGGCTATTATATACATATGCATCTGATGCACACGTAATCTTAGACAGTTTATCGAACGGTAAAAAATTAATATGCCTAAAGCTTTCAACAGCCTTTTTCTTTAAAACGCGGCGGCGCGAAGTTCAGAAAGCGTAACAGATTCGTTTTACCATACGAATAATATGATGAATGGAAGCTTCCGATCAATAAGCCTTCTGTTGTATTTTCAAAACATCAATATGTTTCCTTTTGTTCTGGCACGAAGCCATGTGGTATCTCAAGTTATGCTGATTGAGTCGGCAAGTGAAGGAAAGAAAAATAAGAGAATCAATCAATCAATGTATTGAACGTGGTAGGTACGCTTAAATAAAAAGCTAGTTTACAGGGACGCTACGAAAAACAAAAAGATGGAAAAAATGGGAAAGAATAAAGCCCTTGAAGGTGTATAAATTTAAGATTGGTTAACCATTATTAAAATGTAAAAATTCAACAACGTTTCGCCACACTAAGTCTTAAAATTATAAGAATGTGAAAAATTATAAACACGGTAAAAAATTAATCAAGAATAGACGCACATCGCACTCAGAGTTTTAAGTTGTTTTCAAAGGCAACTTCGGTACAGGATCTTGTCAAAAATTTCCCTTTGATCTATGTTTATGAAGATGCAATGCGAGACAAAGATCTTGTTGGCCATGTTTTCCACAATTCTGTGACTTCAAACCCAGTTCAGTGCTACTTGTGGTGTATACACGACTGTTGATGTTTATCTTTTAACCACAAGGAAAAGAATTAAACGACACAGCAATATACTGCAAAGTGAACAAAGGCAGTCATTTCACTCACAACATCTCGAACGTTCTACTGGATGCCATGCAACCTGCGTAGGGTATATCACTGAGAGGTAGGGAAATGTTCATGTGTTTTCCTACCATTTCATTTTTTAACTCGTTTTACCGATAACAACTTTATTCAGAACCTGTTCACCCTTTTCCTATTGAAAATTTGAAACGTAGCTCATAAGATGATACTCGTGGAAAAACCCTCTAGGTTTTTTGTCATTTTTGAAAAGGGTAGAAAACCAGTTAAAAATGAATTGGAAAGAGACTTACCTTAGCTTAGGAGCCTTGAGTCAATTTTCCTGTTCACTAGGAATTGGTACTGCAGTAACACTGTTATGTTGCGGATTTGAACAGATGCATGCGAACCCAATAATAGCCAAACTTGTCATTACCTTCTCTGAAGCTCAGAGGTAAAACTTCGCAGCACAAATGCAATTCTTATGGCGGATTCTATTTCTTCCTAAGCTCGTGACAAAATTAATAGCATATTTCTCTATTTCAAGATCGGATTCAGAATTTACTATTTTTTAAAATTATTATCAATATCTTGTATGAATTTCAACGTTGTCTCAAGTATAATTTGTAGAGTGTGATGATTGAATTCGAAGACGTAAAATAAAACTCGTCGACACTTACGGTAAAAACGAGAAAAAGTTTATTTTATACAACTTCTACTAACTAATTCTTGCACTCTCACCTATTTAAAAATGCCATGTATTAAATGTATCACATAACGATCTAGAAACTATTTACAACACAAAAGCAGAACTAAAAATAAGCATACATGCAATTAATACCCAGAAGAGAAACATCTTGAGAAATTAATCCCATAAAACAAAAAATTAGAATGTTTTAGAAATCTAAATACACTTTTAATAACATAGAGGCTGACTGTTAATTAAATAACTACAAAATTATGTAGAGGGCATGATATTGAATTTGTCATCAATGTTAACGGAGGGGTTTCAAGTTAAATATGTAATAAAACACTATTTTAACTAAATACGCCTTAATGGATCTACGCCTTAGCCATAGTCTTTCCTAGACATGTTTAAACTTTCTTTCAAACTCCATTCAGAAATTGACTGCATCTTAAGCTGAATTTAAACCCGGTTGATTCCAAAAACTCTTTCATTGATTCGTTACTGTTCGACCTTTAAACTGTGAATATGATATCTGCTAGCGGGGACACCATCATGTAATAACCCTGAAGTTTCTCTTGGCCTTCCTTGCCCCGTCTACTTTATTTATTGATATTTTTACACTGTCTCGTAACTTAAAGATTAAATTTACGACAAAAAAAGTGTACATGAAATTGTTGACTGTCAGGCCTGTCACCAAAAGCTAAGTAGTGAGCCCTATCCAGTTTCTACTGTTTGGCCATCCTACTATTTGCCTCCGATCCAGAACTGAGTCGTATCTGCTGGGTTTGAGGTACAACGGAATTTGGGATTTGTACTAAAGTAATATCCAAAGTTGTCCTCGCTTGGAATGGCCACGTCTGTTTTTATCCTATCGAAATCACAGCCACAACTAGTACAGGAACTGTCTATATGAAAAGGGAGAATTCCTTTCTTATACCATGTTGCCGTAGTGCAATCCACACACTCGTTTCCTCGAATGTTGACATATTCGTACGGTCGACAGGTCTGTATTTTTGTGGGTACGTCTCTGATGATGTCAAAGTCTTCAAGTGAGGCTCTCAGGTAATCTGTATATACGGTGCCATCTGTGTTGTATCGGCAAGTAGCTCTCCAGTGAGTCGAGTGATCTCTGAGCCAAAGGAGGTAAGGTCTCTCAATCAGGTAGGCCTGCCAATTTGGATCGTCACCGCTGATGGCTTGGTATTCGTCGTAAAACACGATATTCTGCTGTATAGTCAATGGACGTAAATTAAAGTTAGTGAAGACTTTCCATCGTTATCAAAACTGTTGCTTACGAAACAAGAAAATTATGGAAACAAAATGAGGACGAATGTATTTTGTATTCACCGCTGAATGTGCTTTCGTCCAAGATTAAATATTTATGAAAGATTTAAAGAGAATGCAAATACCTGAAAGCGATGTTTGTTGGATAAACTAAAGGACTCAATCAGGTTCCAAGCAAGTCCAGGCTCTGAATCAAAATCACAGAACACCTGGAAGGTTTGATTATTATCATTGTTAACTGTGTACAATCCAGAGGCGGTGGACCCGGCTGCTTCGTAATCCTGACAGCTTCTCTTCTGCTGAATCTCGCAGTGTTTCCCAACAAACGGTGCAGGACAGGAGCAGTTGTACCGAACACTGGTGGGTTCACAGATTTCAGTGCAGGTTCCTCCATTGAGACACGGATTGTTCCTGCAGCAGCCGTTGTTACACGTGACGTCATAAGCGCATGAAGAAATGATGCTTTGGGTCTTCAACGAAAAATTGAACGAAAAATTGAACGAAAATTGATTTCATTGGATGAGTTTTACCGGAAAGAAAAAGGATCATACAATCCTACGTTTTTCCATATTCAATGCTCTTAGCCTTTGGAACGTAGCCAAGACTAAAAATTTCCCGAACACATGATATCAGGCCCACCATATTATTATTCATTGCATACGCTTTTGAAATCCAGGTGATCCTTGTAATCAGATTGGCTCGCATTGGGGCGATTTCTTCACGAATCGCACCATTCTCTGCTCTTAGTCAACGAGGAAGCTTTACTAAGATAAAACAAACAATTGCTTGTATAAAAAAACCAATGAAAATGAAGAACAAATTTGCAACTTTCTTCAAACCTGTTCGTTACTGGATCGACAAAACATGTGTACAAGCTAAAAAGGTATGCAAGTATGTGTGGTATCCAAACAAGCAAATTAAATATCCACAAAATTGCAAGACAACGTACGACATATAACCTATACACACAAGTCCCGTATTCGGTGCACGCCTCGCCTTAAATATCGTCTCGACATTAGCATATTTAATGACATTGTCACAACTATTTGACAAGTACATGACATCTTCACAAGTATGCCACACCTTGACAGCTATGCCACAGTATGCACAACTTTACAAGCCTAGGCCAAGTATAGGATATAGCTATTCCATTGAAAAAAAAATGGCTGAGAAACAGGGTGCAAATTTAGAATCAACTGTCTAACTTTTCGAACTGAAAATGAATACATCTTAATAATCAATGTTGAAAAGGTTTACGCTAAATTTATTCCTACTCATTTCATAGAGTGAAATTTCAGTAGGAATCAAATTGACCGATTAAACTCATTTGGCCTATCCATTAATGTGATTCTCTCAGTTTTCATCAATAAAAAAAGACGGTCCTTTGTATCAGTTAAAAAGCGCTACCACGTATACCTAATTCGTACCTTAACTTTACTGTATTCCTTGCGTAAAGCAAAATATCTTGAGCCTGAAGACTTTACCAATGAACTTTTGCTGATGAAATGATTTCCTTCATTCAACTCGCAATACTTGGTGTCATTCTGTGGATTTTCCTTGTAGTTTATCGACAAACATCGGCAGTCGCGTATGCACCACATATAACATTGAACTGGGTTTAACGTGATGGAATTGTGAAAAACATGGCCAACAAACTCTGTGTCTTGCTCAGAATCTTGATGCACATTAAGAGAAATCTTCTGACAAGTCTCTGAAGGACAGTCTCCCTTAACTTCGAGAAAAAAAAGGAGAGAAATTAGAACCAACTCGGCAGCTGTCATATCTGTGTTGTACATCTGCACCGCGTTAAAGCTTAAAGTAATGTTTTTACGTAACTCATTTGATGGAATCGGACAGATAGATATTGACAGACACTTTCACTGATTGGTTAGCGCTGATGGAATTACACCCTCTGACGTCTCGAGTCTTCATCGAAAAAATTATTTTTGATATACAGCTGGAGAAGTAAGGAGGATCTACATGTAAGCTGTTAGCAGTGTTCAATGGTTTTGTTTGGCATCTGATATAACAACCTAGTCTTGCTGTAGGCTCAACCTTTTAAAAGTACTGTTTAGAATCAAATATTTCAGTTAGTCAGTTTTGACATCGAATGCAACTCTGTTTGTTTTTTAGCAGTTAACGTCAGTAATGCAGGTAGTAATCAATCTTCGGATTCGTTTTTTTAGTGACTTCTGACATTTTTAAAGAATACAAAGTGGTTTTTACTTCATTAAAAAATCCATTAAGCACAAAGGTTTGTGAACATAACATTTGGTGGATATTTTCGATTTTGGAACAGCACGTCGAGTGTCTCAGGAGACGAAGAAGGCAGGAGGATGATTTATATCCCACCTGTCCTTTATCTTAGGAAGAGTAACTCATACCCCAACTTCTGTGCGCACATTTTTCTTAGTGTCAAAGTCTCGGCTACAAAGTCTTTCTTTCTTCCTAGTCTGATCGCTGTTTTATTGACGATTTTTACTAAAACGTAAATTACCCGGGCAAAAAGCGTACCTTCACATTTATCGATATTCTGCTTCCACTGACTGATAATTCAATTGCCCAACGATTCTGTATTGACTGCAAACGAAACCATTAATTATAGCTAAAATAACTTACAAATGGAAAATGGTAAATGTTTGCCAGAGGCACGTAAATAATTAAGTTGGTTAAGAACGTAACAAATACATCCCAGGAAATACCGCGCGATATTACGGTGGCTGTTTCCTTTTGATCGATGCTTGCCTATTTTTCTTTCGAAATGCGTTTAAGGTCTAGAAATACAGATTAAAGGTGATTAGAAATATATCCCGGTAAAATCGGCCATTAAGCTCATTTAGGCATCAATGCATCCCTTTTTTGACATTTATCACTGTTTCCTCGGCTGAAATGACATTTCAACCAGCCTCTAAAATTAGCCAATTTAATCAGTCGAAGCAGATTTTTTTAATGTAACCTATAGCTTATTGCTGAATGTATAAACATGTCTGAGCGCAAAATACAAGTTTTTTTTTACACAATTATTTTTTTTTTCTTGCAGTAAATTGCCCTTAGTAGGCCTAACATTTTCAAAACATTTCAAGTTCTGGAAAATATTTTAATTGTTTTCATAACATCATAACAGCATAGCAAGGATGAAGCATTGGGAAGATGTTGTATTAAAAAAAATTAGAAAAAGAAAAGACCAGTGCTTTGCCAATTTCCTCCCGCTGAGTGAACTTAATTTGCATGAATAATTGAAATTAACACTTAAGTGAGCCTCGAATTCCTTCAATATACCACAAGTTAAAAATCTTTTTTTCCTAGACTGTAATACACACGCTATTTTCCTTGAATTTTGACCAATTTCACTCGTTGCCTAACTTCTCAAACAATAGGAAGAATATGATTCTAAGCGGTAAGCCTTAAAATAGAAATTTTCCCCCATAATGGTGAAGAGGCTGAGACAATAATGGATTAACAATAAGTAATAAATTAACTGAGTTAGCTTTGAAGTATAAATTTTTCCCCAATAGAGAAAAGAAGGTTTTTTATTGCTATAACACATTGGGCTGGGACAATAAGTTAACTGAGAACAAGAAGGATAAGAAATTTAGAGAATGGTCTTGGAAGAAAGCTGTTATTTATTTTTTTGTGCTGAACCGTACTTTCATGAAAAGTCAAACCCCAAGCAGGGAACGGTGGGTTGACGGCTTGATATAGTTTTGCCGCTTAACCCTGATCTGATCAATCCCAGATCTGATTGTTAATTCTCTCCTCTTGCTGCTACACATTTTGTTGTAAATTGGTTACGAGAATTTGGTGTTTAATCAAGATAATATCTTGTACCTGATAAGTTTGAGTTTTCTCACTTCCTGTTTGCTGGATAATGGATGATACTATAGGAAGAAGTTACATGTTAATTACTTCTGGGAGTTTAAGGGTTAAGAAATGTTCCACAGAACAGGGGTAATATAAAAAACAATAAAAGCTGCCTTTTTATGCCCTAATTGACCACTTAATGCACAAAACCTCACTCACTAACACTACTTTCTTTCATTTTGCGAGAGAAATATGATTTCAGTTTTACTTGAAACATTATTCACAGTCCTATTTGAGTCGTTGTGCTTTAATTAAGTAACCATTCAAAACAGGTGGAAGACAAAACAATACAAAACTTTGATTTTGGGAGAAATACGGTGATTCAAATTTACTTTAAACATTATCCTTAGTGTTTTTTTAGTGGTTTCACTCTAAGTGACCATTCAATACAGGTGGAAGACAAAACAATACAAAACTTTGATTGATTTTGGGAGAAATACAGTGATTCAAATTTACTTGAAACATTATCCTTAATGTTTTTCAAGTGGTTTCACTCTAAGTGACCATTCAATACAGGTGGAAGACAATACAAACATGCAGTTTTCTCACTCAAAGGTGACCAGGACCGCTTAATGGAGAAGGAAATTACAGTGATAAAGGGGAAACAAATTCAGGACTTTGACCATCGACCTCTTAGTACAGGGTTACCACTAAATATTAATAGTGCCTTCCAATACAGGTTTGACTGTATGTACATGTAATTGCTATTTGAGTTTATTCCAAGAGTTGCCCTTGTTTTTTTGATTGATATATTAAGATTTTAACGGATCATTTGTTACCCAGGAATGCAGATAAGGCGAGGCATTTCTGAGCATGATAAAACAAAACAAATTCAAGCAGTCCAAATTAGTTGATCGTAACATTTACTTCCTCAGAGAAAAAAATTCTTCTACACGTACATGCACCTGGAAGCCTACATGATCAATCAAAAACGATAAAATTATTCTTTATGTACAATATGAGGTTCTGAAATTCTCGACAAGATATTTATTAAGAATATATGAGTGGTTGGAACATAATCAAACCAGGTAGATGACTAAAACAAAAAGGATACGTCGGTTGTAACATAAAGTTTCTGACAAAAAAACTGTATTAATTCTGAAATCTGATCATCCTTCAAAAATTTCTGAAATCGCTAGTCGACCATGTCCCACTAAATAAGTGAGGCGAACTGTTCAGAATTTTCCAGAGTTAATTCAACATGCAGGATTCATAGATTGGCACCATATATTTGATGTTGATAAACGCATCTGGACCTCCACGCCGCCCGAGTGCGTCCAGCGCTTCTTGAATCAGATCACCGACATTTTCTCTTTTCTGCTGGCTGTAATCAAATTCATCACCCAAATTGATATACCTTGCGACTTTTATGGAAGTAGTTGAATCTGGCTATACCTAACGAAGGCAACTTTGGAAATTTCTATACTACACATCCCAAATTTCTTTGTAACTCAAATAGGACCTCGACAAGGCGACCAAGTGTCGAGATGAGTTTATTTTATTTTCAGAATAAGATGATATCCACCTACAACCCAAGAAAAAAATATATAAAAAAATAAAAAGCACTTGTCAGAGGAAGATACAGTTTAGTTTCAAGACTTGCCGTTTGATAACCTATAACTTATTCATAACTTGCCAGAATGATAGTTGGATGGCAACTTGAAGAAATGAGGCAGGAAAATGATTCGGTTTATATCTCTAGCTTGTCAGCTGATTTCTTATTACAGTAGTGCCACGTGATGGAACAGTAATTAAAGTGTGGTAGAATGAAAGCTTAATAAAGATCCCTTCTAGTCTCAAAAGGCAACAGTTTCTGTATTTTTTTTAAATACAGTGATCTGTTTACTGACTTTTCTACATATTTAGCGATATGCTTTTCGAAATTTCATTTGTCATCAATTGTTACGCCAAGAGGTTCTATTGTGTTGGATATGGGAAGTTGTGACTCGTCACACCTGAACACTGGCTCATCGTCAGTTCCTTTGTTTTTTCCCAACACCATCGTCTGGTATTTTGAACTGTTCCTCTTCATACCATTTCGCGCAAGCCAATTATTAGAAACTCTTCGATCAAATTAGACATCTACGTGTCTTCATTGCTTAGTAGCTTCAGGTGCGATATGGCTCCACATCATCCCAACGAAACAGGCTGAAAATACAAGTTTGAATGATCACGGCTAAGCGTTTAATTCAGTTTCTAACCAGTCTTCAGCTTTTTGGGACATTTACAGAAGCCAAAGGCAACTGCGATACGGGAGTTTTGTCAAACACATCCCTTTAATGTTTATGGGGATGCAATGCGAGACGAAGAGCTTGTTAGCCATCTTTTCCTAAATTCTGTGACTTCAAACCCAGTCCATTGCTACTTACGGTGTATACACGACTGTCGATGTTTATCTTTAAAACTACAAGGAAAAGAACGACATGAAATAATGCGACTTGAACAAAGGCAAGCTATTTCACTAACATCCGAGATCTCCCTTAAATGTTCTCCAAGATGCCGTAATTACAACCTACGTACGGTATATCATCGAGAGGTAGGGAAATTTTCATGTGTTTTCCTATCAATTCATTTTAATTTTGAACTCGTATTAATGATATCAACTTTATTCAGAGCCTGTTCACTCTTTTCCTAATGAAATTTAAAACGAGCTCATAAGACGATACACGGGGCAAAACCCTCTGCTTTTTCTGTCATTTTAGAAAAAACCATTAAAAATGAATTAGAAAAGAGAATTGCCTTAGCCTGGGAACCTTGAGTAAATTTTCCTCTTCACTGGGAAAGGCTACTGCAATGGTATTGTTATATCGTGGATTTGAACAGGTGCAGAGTGATGTGGCTCCCCTTTTCTTTTGTTGAGTTTTTGATTTGAGCGATAGAATACTTCTTCGTGTTTTCACAGCCTTATCCGGCAACCCACGCAGGAGGTTAGGACACCTCGAGATAGTTATTGAAACCCTTAACTGCATTCCTGTTTTAAAACAGACTTTGTGCTTGGTTGCCAGGCCTTTGAACAGGAGTGAGGCTAAGGTTGACCTTGTTATGATACAAACCTTGTTGCTTTTCAAATGCAAATTACTTTGTTATCATGGTCATCTTCAGCCTCACTCCAAATCAAAGGCTTAGCAACTAAGCACACAACTGTAAAATGGCCTATTGTTAAATAGACAGTAGGTTTATCATGTAAGCCTTCCTAATAATAATGATAACAACAATAATAATAATAATCTAACTTAATCGACGCAATGGCAACGGCAATGGGTCCGGTAATGTAATCTCGTATGCGGACAAATTTGGTTTGTAAGGAATTGAAAATCTTAAATTCCGTTGTACTTCAAGCTTAAATGCCACGACTCAATTCTGGATTGGAGACAAGCAGTTTTAACATCAAAGAACCTATGTTGCGGAGTCATTTCATATATTGACAATTGCTTTTTGTACACCTCACAAGATAGATGATAAAAACTGCTAAAGGATACCATTTAGATTGTTATGTTATGTCACAGGTAACCCAAGTTCGCATAATAAGCCACCGTAAATGTGCAATTGTGCCTATGTTGTACAATGGGTGAAATATCGAAGATAGAGTGTATACTCTCTTAAGAGGATTTGTATGAGAATAGACAATCACATTTTAAGTTTAAAACTGCGAGCTAGTTTTGAACAAAAACAAACTTGCCACTGTTTTGTCACCATATTTTTGTACTCGTCACCCTATTCCTACCAATAACGTAGCTCCATTTTCTGCATATAAAACCCACATACAACTCACAATTCCTCCAATCGCTCTGATGTAGGATTAACGCTCGAAACGTCAGCTTTTAGACTCTTTAATTTACGTTATCAACTGAGTTGATAACACTAAATTAAACCATTGTGTTTGTTGCTTTGTATCTTGTGAGCTTTTCTGAGCTTATTTAGCGTCGTTCAGCTCGCTTTAATTTCATCCGCTTTCCCTTTTACACATGCAGGTTATCGATGCTAAATGTAAATTTTGGCATTCTATGAAATGTACGAAGCATTATGTGTTAATTCTGTACCTTTGTCAAACGTTTAAACTCAGATTATCTCTTCAACATGCTGTGCTGAATGTTTACCCAAAGGCGGATTACTTATGCAGACATTTATGGTTTCATTAGCATATTGTTTAGTATCAATCCCATGCATGTTAGACCGAGTCGTGAGTTTAATCCCGCTTTTACCAAGAACTTATTCATAAGTATAGAACTTAGTTATGACTTGAATTGTTATTTGCATCATAGTATGCCACATATACGTGACAAGACATTAAAAGTTCTTTGGAAGTGGAATTAAACCATTGTGAGTTGTTACTTCTTTCATCTTTTGACAGAAAAGCTCGGCTTGGAAAGAAGCGAGGCGGAATTTTTCCCCAACCCATCCTAGGAATTCCGTTTCTCGTATCATTTCACCACACCCCATTTTCGTCTCTTCAATAAAATACTGGCCATCCTAAGCTATTAAATATTTCTCAAAAAGAGGAAATGGTTTAGGAAACCTCTCCCCGATATTTGATCTAGAGGTTATCAGTTCGTAACATACTACTGAAATCTCGAGATAACTTGGTGTTATCAACTGAGTTATAAAGTAAATTATAAAACGTAACGAGAAACCCCTTACGGTGGAAAGAAGCTTACCCCGCCCTTTGAATTAAAACTTCCTTGGGCGAACCCTCGAAGTTTTCTGCTGGTGAGGCCATGATGCACCCTTGTGTCCAACTTCGCTTATTTAGTCCTCCTTAAACCAGTCAAATGTACAGAAATAATTCTGGGCTAGAATAAAGAAAACAATCACATTAAAGGTAAACAAAAAATGGTAAGTTAAATGTTTACATTTTACCGTCTTGTCTTGTGGTGAGTGCAATGTGCTCCAGATCGAGAGGTCCGGGTTCGAGCTATTGATAAGTCATTGTGCTCGGCTGTACCTCGCTCTTATTAACACTATTTGGTCAGCTTTTAAGGAACTTTTATGTGAACTCCTAAGGAAACCCTGCAAGGTGCCCAAAGTTTTCTTCATTGTACGAGGTAAAGTAAGCTCATGCAGATACCAATTTGGATTGCTTGCGCTTTTAAATGAAAATTGTTCTATCCACAAGCTTTACGTTATTACAACACCTAAACTATAATTGTCATTACAATGTTTACGAGGTGAAGAGAAAATTGATTTAGCTGCTGTACCTTGAACACTTTGTACAAAGCACGTGACAAAACGAGCGACATCTTTCCCTTTTCACTAGACATATACCACTGCCTTTATTCCTTAATCTATTTATTCGCACATAGTTTTTGAAGCTAATGATGACAGTAAGCTGGAGGCATCAGTATCACATGTGAACCTAATAATAGCCAAACTTGCCATCACGTTCTCTGAAGCTCAGACGTAAAACTTCGAAGCGCAAATGCAATTTCTTGTGGTGGATTCTGTATTTTCCTAAGCTCGTGAAAAAATGAATAGCACATTTATTTTATTTGCGACGGAGCTCAAAAGTCACAGTTTTTTAATTCTGTTTTTTACTTCTGAAATTTAAATGAAAATTATGCTGTTCCCGCGGTTTACGTTACTCCAGCAATAAAAGGAAATTTTTTTTAAAATTTTGATCGGATGAAAGGAAAATCGATGTGCTTTCAACACTCAGAAAAAAATTTTTCGTAATGTTACGTGCTTTAGATTTTTTCCTTTTTACAACGCCAATGAAAAAACGAGTACTTTCTTTCCCCATTTACTAAGCATTTACCACTACATTTCTTAATATATTTATTCCGAAACGAGGCCTCCGAAGCTGATCGTAGCAGTGAGCAGGACGCGTCAGTATCCTCCACTCCAAACTTGTCACCTCATTCCCTGAGGCTCCGTGGTAATGCTTTGAAGCGCAAATACGATTTCTCATGGTGGATTCTGTGTTTTCCCCAGCTCATGAAAAAATTAATAGTATATTTCTTTATTTCAATATCTGGCTCAGAATTTATCATTTTTAAAAATTATTTATCAATATCTTAGATGAATTTCAACGCTGGCTCAAGTATAATTTGTAGAGTGTGCTGATTGAATTCGAAGATGTAAAATAAAACTGGTCGACACTTACGGTAAAAACGAGAAAAAGTTTATTTTATACAATTTCTAACATCTAATTCTTATTCTCACACCTATTTCAAAATGCCACGCATCAAATGTATCACATAACGAACTAGCTAGAAACTATTTACAACACAAAAGCAGAACTAACAATAAGCATTAATGCAATTAATACTCAGAAGAGAACCACGTTACGAAATTAATCACATAGAACAAAAAATTAGAATGTTTTAGAATTCTAGACACACTTTTCATAACACAGAGGCTGACTGTTAATTTAAATAACTCCAAAATTATAGATAGTGGATGATATTGAATTCGTCATCAATGTTAACCGAGGGGTTTCAAGTTAACTATGTAATACAGCACTATTTCAATTAAATACGCCTTAATGGATCTATGCCTTAGCCATAGCCTTTCCTAGACACGTTTAATCTTTCTTTCAAGCTCCATTCAGAAATTGAATACATTTAGAACTGAATTTAAACCCTAGTGGTTTCAAAGACTCTTTCATTGATACATAACTGTTTGACCTTGATATCTGCTAGGGGGACACAATCATGTTAAAACCCTGAGGTTTCTCTTAACCTTGCTCCATCTACTATATATTTTTTTTTACACTGTCTCGTAACTTGAAGATTAAATTCATGACAAAAAAAAGTTGTTGACTGCCGGAGTCTGTCACCAAAAGCTAAGTAATGAGCCCCATCTAGTTTCTATTGTTTGGTCACCCTACTATTTGCCTCCGATCCAGAACTGAGTCGTATCTGCTGGGTTTGAGGTACAACGGAATTTGGGATTTGTACTAAAGTAATATCCAAAGTTGTCCTCGCTTGGAATGGCCACGTCTGTTTTTATCCCATCGAAATCACAGCCACAACTGGTACAGGAACTGTCTATATGGAAAGGGTAGCTTTCTTTCTTATACCATGTTGCCGTAGTGCAATTCAAACACTCATTTCCTCGAATGTTGACATATTCGTACGGTCGACAGGTCTGTATTTTTGTGGGTACGTCTCTGATGATGTCAAAGTCTTCAAGTGAGGCTCTCAGGTAATCTATATATACGGTGCCATCTGTGTTGTATCGGCAAGTAGCTCTCCAGTGAGTCGAGTGATCTCTGAGCCAAAGGAGGTAAGGTCTCTCAATCAGGTAGGCCTGCCAATTTGGATCGTCACCGCTGATGGCTTGGTATTCGTCGTAAAACACGATATTCTGCTGTATAGTCAGTGCACGTAAATTAAAGTTAGTGACGACTTTCCATCGTTATCAAAACTGTTGCTTATGAAACAAGAAAATTATGGAAACAAAATGAGGACGAATGTATTTCGCATTCACCGCTGAATGTGCTTATCTCCAAGATTAAATATTTATGAAAAATTTAAAGAGAATGCAAATACCTGAAAGCGATGTTTGTTGGATAAACTAAAGGACTCAATCAGGTTCCAAGCGAGTCCAGGCTCTGAATCAAAATCACAGAACACCTGGAAGGTTTGATTATTATCATTGTTAATTGTGTACAATCCAGAGGCGGTAGACCCGGCTGCTTCGTGATCCTGACAGCTTCTCTTCTGCTGAATCTCGCAGTGTTTCCCAACAAACGGTGCAGGACAGGAGCAGTTGTACCGAACACTGGTGGGTTCACAGATCTCGGTGCAGGTTCCTCCATTGAGACACGGATTGTTCCTGCAGCAGCCGTTGGTACACGTGACGTCATAAGCGCATGAAGAAATGATGCTTTGGGTCTTCAACAATAAATTGAACGAAAATTGATTTCATTAGATGAGTTTTACCGGTAAGAAAAAGGATCATACAATCCTACGTTTTTCCATATTCAATGCTCTTAGCCTTTGGAACGTAGCCAGGATTAAGAAATTTCCCGAACACATGACATCGGGCCCATCCCTTTTGAAATCACTGGTGATCCTTGTAATCTCATTGCCTCTCATTTGTGCGATTTATTCACGAATCGCACAATTTTTTGCTCTAAATCTCATCTTTTTCTTAGCCGATGAGGACGCTTTACTAAGATAAAACAAATAATTGCTTGTTTAAAAACAAACAATAAAAATGGCATGAAAATGAAAAACAAATTTGCAACTTTCTTCAATCAGCTCGCTACTAGATCAATAAAACATTTGTACCAAATAAAAAATCCTGCATGCGAGCGACTCAATTTTGCGATTTCAAAATGAATGTAATACTGAGTGGTAACTGAACTTCGTGGCGTGCAATTTTGATCTGAAATCATACCTATGATTTCAAACCACGCATATAATTTCAGACCGAATTGCACGTCACTCATAATAATCATACTCGTAGTTATCAAATCGGACTCCCACTGCGCGACCGTTCGATTTTGTTATTTACCCGTACGATTACAGACCGAATTGGACTCCACTTGGTCCTGTTACTATTCCTAATTATTTGAAAACGTTTTATTTAGGCGTTTTATGTCAGAACTCCTTTAGCTTTAGTTTTGGTGGATTTCAAACAGATAGTATAGCAATTTTTCGGATTTCTCGCTTGCCCTTTTATGACATTCATTGGATGGATATAAATAAGAGTAAACACCTGCAATCTAATTCAAACCGGTGGGCCGCTTTAATTTAATTATACTTGCTAGGTCATGGCACGATACAATCTGAAAGCAATAATCTATTGCAGAAAGTATTTATTTTAATTGTTTTTTTGCAAGCATCAGAACTTTAGGAGCCTATAAGCCGAGTAAAGGTTATTCCCTTGAAAATAAGAAAATGGCTGAGAAATAGAATGCAAGTTTAAATTCAATCGTCCAACTTTTCGAACTGAAACGAATACTTCGTAAATAATCAATGTCGAAAAGGTTTATGCTAAATTTATTAATGAGAAAAAAAGTAGGATTTTCACCCGCAATATCTGACTGTTTACCTATAGCTAGGAGATTGTTTTTTAGTCAAATAATATGCGCCTAAAGTTTTTATTTAACGGGTATCGCCGATATATTCCTCGGCAAGTTACAAAGTTCACTGCATATCCTTTTCAGGAAATTTAATAATGAAACAGAGGATGGGGAAAACATAAAAGCCCTCTTATGAAGAGACAGATATAGTTTGAAATTTCAGTAGGAATTAAATTGACAAAATAAACTCATTTGGCCTATCCATCAGTGTGATTCTCTCAGTTTTCATCAATAAAAAAGGACGGTCCTTTGTACAGTTAATAAGCGCTACCCCATTCGTACCTTAACTTTACTGCGTTCCTTGCGTAAAGCAAAATATCTTGAGCCTGAAGACTTTACCAATGAACTTTTGCTGATGAAATGATTTCCTTCATTCAACTCGCAATACTTGGTGTCGTTCTGTGGATTTTCCTTGTAGTTTATCGACAAACATCGGCAGTCGCGTATGCACCACATATAACATTGAACTGGGTTTAACGTAATGAAATTGTGAAAAACATGGCCAGCAAACTCTCTGTCTTGCTCAGAATCTTGATGCACATTAAGAGAGATCTTCTGACAGGTTTCTGAAGGACAGTCTCCCTTAACTTCGAGAAAAAAAAGGAGGGAAATCAGAACCAACTCTGCAGCTGTCATATCTGTGTTATATATCTGCACCGCGTTAAGGCAATATTTTTACGGGACCCATTCGACGGAATCGTACGGATAGATATTGACAGGCGCTTTCACTGATTGGTTAGCGCTGATGAAATTACACCCTGTTGGCTGACGCCTCGAGTCTTCATTAAAAAAATCATTTATGATACGCAGCTGGAGAAGTAAGGAGGATCTACAAGTAAGCTGTTAGCAGTGTTCAATGGTTTTGTTTGGCATCTGATATAACAACCTTGTTTTGCTGGAGGCTCAACTATTTAAAAGCACTGTTTAGAATCAAATATTTCAGTTAGTTGGTTTTGACATCGAATGCAACTCTGTTTTTTTTTTTAGCAGTTAACGTCAGTAATGCATGGTAGTAATCAATCTTCGGATTTGTTTTTCTAGTGACTTCTGACATTTTTACTGAATACAAAGTGGTTTTTATTTCATTAAAAAATCCATTAAGCTCAAGGTTTAGTTAGCATAACATTTAGTGAATATATTTAATTCTCTCAGGCCGAGACCTACAGGGCAAGTGGATGATTAATATTCCACCTGTCCTCCATCTTAGGAAGAGTAACTCATACCCCAACTTCTGTGCACACATTTTTCTTAGTTTTAAAGTCTTGGCTACAGGGTCTTTTTTTCTTTCTTGTCTGATCGCCATTTTGTTAATGATTTTTTACCTAAAATCTTACTTAAACGTAAATTACCAAGGCAAAAAGCGTACCTTTACATTAATCGATATCCGGTCTCCACTGACTAACAATTTACTGCCTAACGATTCTGAATTGACTGCAAACGAAATCATTAGTTATAAGGCTAAAATAACTTACAAATGAAAAATAGTAAATACTTGCCGGTGGTGCATCAAAAAAACGTTTGCAAACCTTGTTTCGAATATTGACTTAAATAATTAAGTTGGTTAAGAACGCAGCAAATAAATCCCAGGAAATAGAACCGCGCGATATTATAGTTGCTGTTTCTTTCGATCAATGCCTGTCTATTTCCTTGCGAAATGTGTTTAAGGTCTAGAAATTCAGATTAAAGGTGATTAGAAATATGTCCCGGTAAAATTAACCATCAAATTCATTTAAGCATCAAATGAATGCAACCTGTTTTGACATTTACCACTGTTTCCTGAGCTGAAATGACATTTCAACCAGACTTACTGAGTGTAAAAGCATGTCTGTGTGCAAAAAAACAAGTTTCTTCCATACAATTTCTTGCAGTAACTTGTACTCTGGTAGGCCTAACATTTTTCAAAACAATTTAAGTTCTGGAAAACATCTTAACTGTTTTCATAACATCATAAAAGCATAACATGGATGGAGCACTGAAAAATATTTCATTTTCATAACATCATAAAAGCATAACATGGATGAAGCACCAAAAAATATTGCATTACAAAAAATAGAAAAAGAGAAAAAGAAAAGACCAGGACTTTGCCAATTTCTCCTGCTGAGTGAACTTAATTTGCACTAGTAATTGACATTGACACTTATATGACAGTGAACCTCAGCTTCCTTCAATATACCACAAGTTCAATATATTTTTTTCAAGACTATAATACAAACACTATTCCCCTTGAATTTTGACCAATTTCACTCATTGCCAAAAATTCTCAAACACTAGGGAGAATATGATTCCCAGTTGTTAGCCCTGAAATATTAATTGTTTTTGCCCATTAGGGTGAAGAAGGTTCTCTACTGCTGTAACACATTAGCCTGGGACAATTTATTTAATATATATTTACAAAATTCACCCTGAGGCAGGTGGGCATACAATAGAACCCTAGTTCTAGTAAACCCAGCAGGGAACCTTATAATGAATTAATAATAAATAAATTGAGTTAGCCTTGAAATAGAAATTCTTTCGCATCAGGGTGAAGAAGGTTTCTGCTGCTGTAACACATTAGGCTGGGACAATAATAAATTAACCAAGAACAAGAAGGATAAGAAATTTAGAGAATGGTCTTGGAAGAAAGCTGCTATTTATTTTTTTGTGATGAATCATACTCTCATGAAAAATCAAACCTGAAGTAGGGAATGGTGGGTTGACAACTTGATACAGTTTTACCACTCAACCCTTTAATTCCAGATCCCAAGATCTGATTGTTAATTCTCTCCTCTAGCTGTTACACATTTCCTTGTAAATTGGTTACGAGAATTTGGTGTTCAATCAAGATAATATCTTGTACCTGATAAGTTTGAGTTTTCTCACTTCCTGTTTGCTGGATAATGGATGATACTATAGGGAGAAGTTACATGTTAATCACTTCTGGGAGTTTAAGGGTTAAGAAATGTTCCACAGAACAGGAATAATATAAAAAACAATAAAAGCTGCCTTTTTATGCCCTAATTGACCACTTAATGCACAAAACCTCACTCACAAACACTACTTTCTTTCATTTTGCGAGAGAAATATGAGTTCAGTTTTACTTGAAACATTATTCACAGTCCTATTTGAGTCGTTGTGCTTTAATTAAGTGACCATTCAAAACAGGTGGAAGACAAAACAATACAAAACTTTGATTTTGGGAGAAATACAGTGATTCAAATTTACTTGAAACATTATCCTTAGTGTTTTTTTAGTGGTTTCACTCTAAGTGACCATTCAATACAGGTGGAAGACAAAACAATACAAAACTTTGATTGATTTTGGGAGAAATACAGTGATTCAAATTTACTTGAAACATTATCCTTAATGTTTTTCAAGTGGTTTCACTCTAAGTGACCATTCAATACAGGTGGAAGACAATACACACATGCAGTTTACTCACTCAAAGGTGACCAGGACCACTTAATAGAGGAGGAAATTACAGTGATAAAGGGAAACAAATTCAGGACTTTGACAACCGACCTCTTAGCACAGGGTGACCACCTAATATAGTGCCTCCTTAGACAGGTTCGACTGTATGTACATGTAATTGTTATTTGAATTTATCTCAAGAATTAAGAAACTATTCTTAAGGAACAAGTGCTTATGCCCTTGTGTTTTTGATTGATATATTAGCTAAAGGTTTTTAATGATCATTTGTCACCCTGGAATGCATATAAGGTGAGGCATTTCTGGGCATAATTAAATATAATAAATTCAAGCAGTCCAAATAAACTGATCGTAACATTTACTTCCTCAAAGAAAAAAATTCTTATACACGTATATGCGCCTGGAAGCCTACATGGTCAATCAAAAATGATAAAACTATTCTTTATGTACAATATGAGGTTCTGAAAGTATCGACAAGGTATTTATTAAGAATATATAACTGGTTGGAACATAATTAAACCAGGCAGTTACTAAAACAAAAAGAATACGTCAGTTGTAACATAAAGTTTCTAACAAAAAATATTGTATTTATAGGTAAATCTGATCATCCTTCAAAAATTCCTGAAATCGCTGGTCGACTATGTCCCACTAAATAAGCAAGGCGAAATGTCCAGAATTACTCAGAGTTAATTCAACATGCAAGATTCATAGGTTGGCACCATATATTTGATGTTGATAAACGCATCTGGACCTCCACGCCGCTCGAGTGCTTCGAGCGTTTCTTGAATCAGATCACCGACATTTTCTCTTTTCTGCTGGCTGTAATCAATTCCATCACCCGAATTGATATTCTTGTTCTTGAAGATGTTTAAGATCGGTAGAATTTGCCTGTAATAGGGGACAAGGGCTTCACCAATCATCTCACCGGCAACTACAAGATGCTGCAGAGCTTTAAGAGTGGTACAGATGACACTGAGTTTTCGCTTATTCAACGCTTTTTTGATCGGGATTATAAGCTGTGGAATAACTGCAAGAACTTTGTCTCCACCATGCTCCAACATATCGTGGACTCCTTGTCTGGCGAAAAATTCGTAAGGATGCGATGTTTCAGACAATCCCTCGACGAACAGCGGAAGGTAATGATGGTAATCGAGCCTTTCTATCTCGACCTTCCAGGCGATCTTGTTGCCCTTCGTATCATGCTCCAAAGCAATGGGAAAATCGCCTCGCTCATAACACCTTTTAAAACTAGTGCTTTCTGATGGCCTTTCTTTGAAAGCTCCTGCAACAGGAGGAGGAATAACCTAATAAAAAAGAAAAGTAATAGCTTTAGGAACCCAAATGAAATACGTTATGTAGCTCTCGGTTTTAGGGCAGAGGGTCGCGTGGTTCTCTTTCTTATTTTGACTTACTAGAAAGAAATAACATACATGTACTTACCAGCGCGTTCTCTAATCTTGACTTCGCTGAAAAGGGCTCGGCAATGATTGAAGCCTTCAATGCCACAACAGTTTTTTTCTCCTAAGTAAAGATTAGAAAAACTTCTTAATGTCTGACATTGATAACTCCGTAATAGACGAAGATTTTTTACACATTACAAATCGCCTAAAACAATACATAAACCATCCTTACTTTTTCTTCTTTCCGTCGTCTTGTCGTTCGCATTTTTGGATAATCCTGCGTTTGCTGCATCACATTTGCGTACATTTTAGAAATCACAAGACAAACTACCGAAGTAGATCGTAAAATGTTAGCATAAACTTTGAGCAACAGAAGAAATACTTGGCGACAAGATGTTTGCTTTCTCGTAGTTGCTATAGTTACCAGGAGCCTAAGTCTCCAAATAAGGAAGACGAGGTCTTTTTTCCTTACGTTGGGGCTCTACAATGATTATAAAAATGGATCTTTTAAGTACCTTACTTAATTTTCGGAGCCCACGATCATCCTTAGCGGCTGTAGCTGTATAGGAAGTGAAAATGGCGGCGGTTGTCCCAGCCACTCTGAAAGCCATATCTCCATACCTTAAAACGGCCCAAGAGTACGATAAACGAGATGCCGTTGTGGCTTACTACTGTAAGTATGTTTGAAAAACATTTCGACTATTCGGTAAGATTTTTTAAAGTTTTCGTAATTTTTTTTTCTAAGCTTATCACAAATGCCCATCTGCTTGGAAAAAGCTGGAAAAAGTACTCACTAGTCATAAGCTTGCAGAATTTCAATGAAACAGTTGTCCGTAACAGAATTCTCAGTGTCCCAGTAAGAGAGACAGTGGATCTCTATTAAGAGCTTACTACTAACAGTGCTACCTGAGGTAAATAAAGAATAAACATGAAGCTTATTACAGCGGTCTTTTTTGAGGTAGACGTGAAGTAGAAAGATGTGTTTATTTTATGATGCAGGCTTGTTTGTCTTAAGAGGGACAATTGGCAACTATTGGACAAATCACATAAGCACGAAAAATTATACACCTTTCTGCGATTATCACAGAAATGTGTATAAGTTAAAAGGTAATTAAAACAAATACAGGTATTGTATGTTTGTATTTAGGCCGCCTTCATGCAGTTCAGAAAGGTATCAAAATTGATAGTAAAAGCAGTGAGGGCAAATCATTCCTGTTGAAGCTAATGGACCAGCTTGAAAAGGTACAAAATATACTAAGATTATCAGTCAAGTTAATAAGTTACTTTGGTTTTGTTTTAGTGTGTTTTAGCTATTTTAAAATCAACTTGAATTCTATTTGAACCTACATTTTCACCCTCATGGATCTTCACTGTATCACTGATGGGTGCATTATCTTTTGCTACCAGTCTTGAACAATAAAATGTAATTCTTTTCAAGTGAATTACATGTTATGTTTCACAGTAGGTAGAGTGGCTAGGATCGAGTGATAAGAGTGTTTTGGGAGAGACTTGGAGCTCTAGCTTAAATTTTAAATTTGTCTCTTCCCATCTCTTTTCATATGGTATCCTCACCTATCCTCACATGTTTTTTTCAATCCTTTTACCTATGATCATGCTTTCCATGTCATTAGTTATAATTTATACATGTCAAGCTAGTAAAATAAAAACCAATCAATGGGCCACTTAAAATTTGGTTCAACTATGTGACATTGGTAGATATAACTATATTATTATTAATTATGACTATTTCTGGCTTTCATGTTCAGTTTCAAAATTTTGTTGTTTTGCTCTAAGGGTGTTTACCCTTACACAATCAATTTTGGTTCAAATTGTTACAAGAAAAGTTAAACTGCTTTTTGCCAACTCTAAAGAGGATACCTCTAACCTGTGAACTTGCTGTCATGTTATTTATCTCTTTGACTCCCAAGATCTGATTGTAAATTCTCCCCTCTAGCTGCTACACATGTCCTTGTAAATTGGTTACGAGAATTTGGTGTTTGATCAAGGTAATATCTTGTACCTGATGAGTTTGAGTATTCTCAATACCTGTTTGCTGGATAATGTATGGATATTATAGGGAGAAGTTACATGTTAATCACTTCTGGGAGTTTAAGGGTTAAGGCCCTTACCTCTATTTCACATAGTGTCTGGTCTTTCATTTTGAACCTTTTTTTTTCATTTCTGTTAGAGAAAGAAAGAGTTAATTGAGCAGGGTCATGAAGCTGTTTCTGATGATAATATTGCCAAGATTCACATAGAGGAGAAAGCTGTACAGTTATTTTTGTGGGCAGACACTGAAGACCGTGCTGCAAATTTTAATAAGTAGGTTGATTTTTTCTAAATATTTATTTGAAAAGAGCATTCAAAACATTTTGACATTTCATCATTTGTGTATGAGGGACTAGGTGAATGCTCATTAATATCTTTCTTAGCTGGGGCACTGCTTGTGTGTACCTGTATGTACTGTTGGATAGTGAGAAACTCTATTTGAGTAAAGTAGCTTGCTTATGAGCACTGCAGAGTCCTGTCTCCTACCCACTGGCTTTTCTGCATCTTTTACCTTGAAGCAACACGAGGTTTTATTAAATTAATGTTTTTTTTAACATTCTTATGTGTAGCTTTGAACCAAGACTTCATGACTTTGAGCTTTGTTGTCTGGTACAGTTGTAGCTGTGCAATGCTGAAATATGTTTTATCTACCAGTTTTTATAACTCATTTTTATGCCAAGTGTTTTGAATGTTCATTTGTGAATCTTTCCAGAAATGTTGTTAAGTCATTTTACACAGCCAGTCTTCTCTATGATGTTTTGGCACAGTTTGGAGAATTGTCGGAAGAGGTGAATGGAAGAGTTTACTTTTTAAAAATGTAATATAATGAACTAAATAAGCTTAGAATTATGTTAAACTAAGTGTCAAAGGTATTTTGCAATGCTTTGCTTTTGCTCTACGTCCCTGAACATGTAAATGGTCCAGAAAACCAAGCTACTTTTTCAACAAATCCAATTCAAAATGAAAACCAATTGTAGTATGGTCATTTGCATTTTTCTATCCTAAAAGCAGTGTGCTTGTTTCTTTTTGTTGCACTCTCATTTAGGGTTGTCATCACAAAATCTAATAGATAAATGATCTGGAATGAGAAGGTGGCTGAAATGAATAATGCTTGGGTAGCAAGCACGTGTGTGGTAAAGCAACATGCAAAATGGCCTCACAGCTGGTGTGTTTCCATCACCTTCTGGCTTTCAATGACATCCCTACTCATTGGCACATTGTGGTATTCTTCTATCCTCAGCTTGACTGTTCTGGTTGCATTGGTTTCAGCTTTACAATGCTCAATTGAAATAAGCTCTATAGCAACTGAATTTGTTAGTTATCCCCACCTGTAAGACCTGTCATTGCCCTTTGTTCAGCTTGTAAACAGGCTCTTGTCTTTGGGTTTTGCCTTATGACACAGCTGCCTTTTGCAACATCAGCAACCACTCATGGAAAAATTTATTGGAAACTCTGTTTGAAAGTTTGAAATATTAAAGACCATGTCAAGAATAGTCCATGTAGACAGATTTTGAATTCAAACACAACATTTATTGTTTTTGCCTAAATTTCAGCAAGGATTCTGTTGGGGATTTTTTGCATCTTACCTGGATTGTTGATAAGCTTTTTTTTTACTCCATAGGCATTGCATCACTGTAAATATGCTAAATGGAAGGCAGCTTACATTCACAAGTGTCTGAAAAGCGGAGAAACACCTATACCAGGTCCTGCTGGTGGAGATGATGAAAATCTGGGTGGGGAGGCTGAGGGAGGGATGGCGCCTTACCCTCCCTTAGGCCCTACCGACACACAGCAGCCTCCTTACCCTACCAATACACAGCAGCTTCCTTACCCTACCACCACAAGTGGAATACCAGGACAGTTTCCCTCTCAGCCATACCCTCCCGATCACACACATTTTCCAACACCACCTGCACAGCCGAGTGCACATCCGAGTGCACAGCCGGTAAGTGTCTCAGCAGGAGGAGTTTCAACTTCGCTGCCCACCTTTTTATGCCGATGACATGTTCAACTTGTCATGACATAAATTCGCGCTCTGCTCAAAAGAGTTAATTGAGTACATGTAATTTAGGGAAAAAATAAACCGAAAAAAAGAGGGCATTTTCTTTGATGACGGCAATTTTTTTCACCCAAGTTACTAAACATCTGAAGGCAGACACAAAAACCGATATGTTTTCACCCAGTGGTGCCACCAACAATCTCGCTCGCTAACAATAGTAATTAAACCATTTTTAAATTACTGATACTTTTAATCAATTTTTGTGTCAGTCTCCTACAGTCGCACCTGTCCACCCAGTGGTGCCACCAACTATACCGTCTTCGGCGACGCCGCCAACTAGCAGCTTATCTCCTGAGGATAACGAAAAGGCTCAGAAATATTGCCGCTTTGCCGCCAGTGCCTTACAATACGAGGACGTCCAAACAGCAGTCGAGAATTTGCACAAAGCACTGGCGTTGTTGCAGAAGTGACTTTTTTCGGTGGGTAATATGTCAGACGGCGAAATCTTAGCATTCTGTGTCATGAACCTAGGCACAAGAGAACAAAATTTTGCTGCAATGTTTTGTGTGGAGTCTGATTGATTTGAAATATCAGGAGGCAGTAAAGAGAAACTGATCCGGACAATTTACAAGAGAAATATACTCTTTTGAGACTGAAGGAATACGCTGGCATCTGTAATTATTTTTAACCTAAGGATACTGGAAATGACTGCAGCTAGTAAGAATAATTTATATAATGGCCATCACTATGTGAGCCGTTCGACCCCGCGAGTGCTTTTATTGAAAATCATTTAACGAAAGTCCCGATATGAGGGCTGTGCGCTATGGCGTGAGAAGGACTAATGACCCTACGCTCCTTGTCCCTTGTAATACAGGGGTAAAGTGTAATCAAATTATTATAGTACCAGAGTAAACTTGCAGAATTTTCTGGAGAAAAGACTCAATCTTTCACCTCAGTTTACTTATGGTTTTTCAAATGGATAGCACATGAAACACTAGCGGACAACAGATGTTAAATTATTTGGTTTGTTTATAAATCGTAAGACAATTCTAAGCTTTCAGTAACCGTCCACAGAACAATGAATATTATTTTATTTCTATGATATGCACGCACGTCTAAATCACATGGTCATGACATAAGGACCTTGCGCGACCTCGAGGCAAATATTCCCCCCGACCCATTTCAGTCAATAAGTGCATAATGTCATTGTTTCATGTTCTCACCCCATGGATTGGAAGAACAGAGACCCTTGGAATACATCGTGTCAAGAGACGGTCGTCAATAAGTGGTGCTTTCTTTTGGTTCACTCTCGTTTAAGAAGCGAATGTCGTTGAAGGCCGCTTTGCACAGTGGTCAACTCCCCGTAATGAAAGTCGATCCACCCAGCCTATCAAGAGATAGCATGAGACCAAATTGCCTTAAGTTTCGTGTCACGTCGAGCGAGTCTCCTCGGGGCAAATCGACTACCTAATGAAATGGACTGTTACTACGATTTTCATCCTCTGTAATGAAGGGTCGTAATCGTCTTCTCTTGCACAGGGTGTACATTATTCTGCGGCAAATGTTCACAAACTTAATTAGTGTGTTCGTCAGCACACCTTAATGAAGCTTACTCTGTTTACTCTCAGTTTCACTTTTTCTTGCCTCAGTTTAAGGTTCGAATGAATCATGGGAAAAATAAGATGTGAAATAAAATACAGACTGTATCGGAGTTGTGTATTTTTAATGTTAAAATTGTTGACATGAATGAGAAATGAACCCGAAGAGATCAATAACGAAAAAAAAACAAGAAAAACTCTATATACATGATTTAAAGGAAAACGATGATGAATGAAGATACAAATATGGATATGAAAATAGTAAACATTGCGAAAGTGGAAAGTGCAGCGTTCGTTGATGATGAAAAATCTTGATAAAAACTCGCCGTATTAAGGGGTTATTGGTTAGTTTTCTTTCTGACGGCAGTCAAGATTCACGCCTCGTAGAAGCTACAGCCTGTCACCTGAAAGAGAAACGAAAAAAAACGCCCCTCGAAAAGCCGTCCACGCCTATGAAATTGATGATGCGACCGAATCGCAACCGAAACCGAAATCCTTATTTGACTCGATTCCACTCATAAAAGGGCACACAGCTTCTCTTCAAAGGGAATTCAGTCGAGTTCTTTTCATGGTCGCCCCCTAACTGCTGCCGGATATTCGAGTTCGTTTTATCCTAATCCATCACTGACTTATTTACTCTTCTGCTTGGTAGTCGTGAATTGCCCAGGGACGGGAATATTTTTCCTTTTAAAAAGAGGAATGAAAATCAAGCGCTAATTACCACTCAATAGGGTCCTCAGCTGTCGGAGGTAAACCTCTTCAGAATGGCTGAAAAGGTGAACCGGAAGTGATTTAGCATAGCTGATTCTCTGCCTCGTTGTCATCCGGGAGTGTCTGGGAGTGCATATTTTGGCACGTGACTATGTTCCAATATGGCCGCAGATTTCCACTCCTCAGTTAAGGAAATTGGTGATTTTGTGAAATATTTGGTTTATTAAAGCTCCTAATTCAATCACAAAAGAGGCCTACGGTAGGAAAATGTTAATTGGCTCACAATGATTGACTTTTTGGCCCTTTCGAAGAATTTCCGTCTTTTACTGAAAGCGAAATCCACGACGACTTGCTGAAGAGGATATCGAAGTTGATCGCAAACTGGATGAAAACCTAATTCCTTCGCACATAATTGACTTTTTAAAGGTAAGAACGTAGTAAATGTGACATTTAGAGCTTTTCGGATTGTTTACGCGGATTATGTAGCTTAAATTACACATAAATTTGACCACTAAAAGGTGAAGTCGCGTGTTTGATAACAAAAATCTTGACTTACATGTTCCACTTTGGTAGGTATCAGATAATATTCTAAGTGCAATTTCTTAGTCGTAAATGTTGGGCTTGAATTCAAACAATATTATTTTGTTCTCAGTCAATAAACAGGCCTTGATTCATCTTATTTCATTCCATTGTTACTTCAAGAACTTTTGTCAGCGGTGTACAGTTCATGCTACTCGACAGAGCATATCTATTTTTTGCTAAATTTAGTAGTTCCTGTTTGAAACTTTGTGAATTAAGAGTCTCATAGAGTTTAAGGGAAAATTTCCTAATCGTTTAAAATAAACGACACATGTACTGTTCCTTTTTAAAACTGAAAGTATTCAACTTAAAAGTGTTAAATACCTGGCTATTTAATTTCACTCGCTGTATTGGTTTATGTATTGCTTTATGTGTCAATCTGAGCACTACCCCAACATGTCTAACTTGAATAAGTATGCTTTTGACATTGCTGATGTCGGAAGTTACTGCTGAAATCACTCATCTGTACACTTGAAAATGCATTTAGCATTTTACTGGTAAATTTAATAGTTAAATGCTGAAATAAAAACATCCTTGAACTTGTATTTGTTACATTGGCAATATATACCAAGAATATTGATAACAGAAATGCAATACATGTTGATTTTTTCTTTTCAAAACAGCTGCATAGTAGGAAGCCCTCAAAGGCTGTTTATAACTTCTCTATGACTTGGTAACCTTGTGTAAAATTGTACACTAACATTCCACTCAATTGAAATGTATTTCCCATCAGTAAAAGCAGTTTGTCAGTCAGATAGATGCCTTCTTATACACAAGAAAGCTGAAGTACAATATTGTTTATGTAAACACTGTTTGGCACTTCATTTCATCCACGATTTATAGATATGAACCGCACTTTGCTTGTTGAAGAAGGAGATGATGAAGTTGCCAATAGACAAGATAAGAAAAAGAGAGAAAAAGAAAAGTTTGTAGAATCAGCAGGTACTTTACAAGACAGTGTGTATTGTTTAACAAAAAGTTTTCAGTATCATGTTATAGTTTATGCCTAACCATTTACACCCTAACATCAGTATGCACATTCTCCCTACTGTCCTCAGTACATTTCTTAAGGTCCTGACAAGGAGAATTTGCGAACAATCAAGAGCTCCTTTAATTGTTGATCATTTCTTTTGTTCACGTGTCTTTAATCATTGATTCTGGGTGATATTGTCAGGAGAAATTAGATGCTATCACTCTTAGGAGAAAAAGGTTTGATGGATGCATATTATGGCAAAGCTCTTGAACCTCATGTTGTCTTAATTTTGGGCTACATTTCTCTGCATACACTTGTATCCTGAAATTTACTAGAGTACTGGCACATCACCCTAATTGCTGTATTCCTAACAGTACTTTTCTCTTAAAAAGTACACTTTGGAAAACATCATATTGGATTACCATCCTGATTGGTACAAAGCTAAGGAACAATTTTTTTTCTATTTGCAAAACAGACAAAAAGAAAAAAATGACTTTTAAGAAAGCAGATGGTAAGAAAGATGTACACCATAACAGTTCAATAACAGGCTCATCTAAAGTACAGCCAGCTGAAATGGTTGATATGGCTGCAGTGAATCCTGATCCCGATGGTATAACATCACCAGTGGGATCCCCAGCAGTTACTGTTCCAGGAACAGGTGTTTATCCAGGAAACATTGTAATTCCACCACCACCCAGATCTACAGCAATCCAACAAGTTCCCTCACAACACTTGCAGCAGAGAGGAAACTGGCCACAGCAGTCACAACAGCAAATGCCTGCTGTCTATATGGTACCTGCACAGCAAGCTCACTTTATCACAACACCCTTCCAGTCCCCAGGACCCCCACCTCAGCAAATATCAGGACAATTTGTTACACAATCATACCAGCAAGGTCATTATGCCGGGGCACAATATCACCAGACTATCCCTGTTGGACCTCCTGTTCAAGGTGTTGTGTACAGTGGTCAAGTAATTGCAGGATCTCACCATGGCAATGTGCTCACAAGAACTCAGTCCCTGCCTGTTTCTACAGGTAAATTACACATATTGTCAGTATTTTTTCCATCTTATCATTGTTCCAAATTATAATATTTATAAAATTACAGATATTTTTAAATAAACTTTATTGTTTTGGTTAGGTGAACAGATACAGAGTTCAGGGCAGCCTGGTTGGGCAGTGAAACCCCCAGCAAGTCCTCCACCCCTAAATAATGCAGTAATAACTTACTGTAATAATTTGCCCTCAGATCATGAAAGTCCAAGGTTAATAAATTATATTCTCACACAGTGTGAGCATATGATCATAAAATTATTAATCAATGATTATGGTCAGATGAAGATTAGGAATGGTTTTTAGTTATCACTTATTAGTTGTTATTATGTTCTTCATCAAAAAACTTGTATTATGTATTCACAAGTTACAAATAATTTGTTTTCAATTAGTTCTCAATCATACTACTCATTTTCAGGGACGTGGATGCAAGACAAAAATAATGCAAATACAACAAACAATACACAGTGGGCAGCATTCCCTCCAAGTGCTTCTCTTCAACAAATAACTGTCGTCAATGAACTGGATGAAGAACACAGCTCCAGTGATGAAGATGTTGATCGCAGCAGTTCTCCTGAGCTTGCGGGTGAAGAGGGTGAAGTTCTCCTTAGGTATGTTTTGTACTACATTGTACTACATTGTACATTGTACATTGTACTACATGATTTTTAAAGTTATATTTCCTCCTTCAGAGCTCCATCACTGGCGAGTTTTGCAGAAAGTGTCAGCAGCATTGAAGAGGAATCAGAAGATAATGTGTGGTGCATTTTGCCTGATCAAAGAGAATATTACACAAAACAGTTTCTAAGACTGCAACCAGCTATAGATGGTGTTGTAAAAGGTAACAACAGAATTATTAATAATCCTGTTCACTTTTGTCAACAATTGTGGGAAATAACATTATATGCAGTCAATGACTTGCCCTATAGGAAGGGAAGGGCTGATTCAGATTGGTAATTTTATGCACATCTTTTGCTTAACAGTGAATGGCTGTCATGACAATGGTCTTGTTAATGTATAGTTGTGTTAATAGTAATGTTACCTTTGTGAGCACAATTTGTTAATTTTTTATCTTGGCATTGTAGGACCAAGAGCAAGGGATTTTTTCATGAAATCTGGCTTACCAGTGGAGGTGCTATCCAAAATATGGTATGCAACAATGAATTGTTGGCAGTTGATCCATATTTTCTGGGATGGTATGGCAGTTATGTGAATTTATGATTTTCTTGTGTACTCTTTTAAGGCACTTGTCAGACCTCAATAAGGACAATGCTTTGAATTTGGATGAGTTCTGCATAGCAATGCATCTTGTTGTAGCTATGCGACATGGCCTGGAACTGCCACTGACCTTACCTACTGTCTTGTTACCAGAAAAGAGTGAAGGTACATATGGCATTCTCTGTGCTATTGCAAAACTTAATGGTTATGAGCTGATATTAAATGTGGGTGATTGTGTGGTTTCCAAACACCTCACTGTAAAATATGAACTGGCATTGAATGAGCTACTAATTTCCAGAATTCAGAAGACTAATGAGATTAACTCATGGAGACAATTTCAAGAGGTGCCAGGAAAAAGTGTACAACAACGATAAGTTTTGGAATCATATATATCAAAGATTTTTTATTATTATTTTTTTTACCTTGAGATAAAGAATCTTCTTTAATAACCTTCATTAAAAGTGCTACTTTGAAATTAAAAATTTTAGTGATTTAAAAAAAAACACTATAATTAAATTGAAAAATTAAAATGCAAATCCAAGACAAGATTTCTAGGTTCAATATGCGCTGATCACATTTTGATTGAAAAGAAAACGGAGTTGAAATAGGTAAAATGTTACTGTGTAAAAGAATGAGCTCCATTCTGTTCAGTGGTCAAAATTATCAAATTGAAGTAAGTATCCAAAATTGTTGTTTATTAAGCTGTAAAAAAGTGCAACCTTTATTGGGATAGGGCAAATAATTTGCATGCTATTTTAGTTTGAATGAAACTGCTACATTCTCCAAAGGGGCAGAGACAAGGAAAACTGAAGGTGATTTTTGATAGACTGGTAGTTTTTCCTTCTCAATTGACCTGCATTCTTTAATGCTCTGGGAAAGGAAAGTTTTGTCAAAAGTCACTTTATGCTTTATTCTGCATATCCCTTCCTTTTTCATGACAATTTCTAGTGGATATGTGTCCAATTGATGTGCCACCTCAAACAGATGAATGTGAAGAACCAGAGAGTATAAGAAGGAATGTTTCCTCACCAGAGGTACATCATTGTTAGTACTGTTAGAAATGATCACACCTAGGATAGATTACTAACTGTGACACCTGCATGTAAGTTACACCTTGCAATTTGGCACTTTTATAATTAAAAATATTTAGGCAAGAAGGAAATTATCCCTTTTTGTTGGTGTAATCCCCTGTGGGAGTCAGAAGGAAGAGAAAAATATTTTGATGCCTCTTGAACTCTTAGTTCATAGCATGTCAGGATCATATATCTCTTATTGATTTCTATTGACATCTGTAATGAATTACTATTAGTTTTCATCATCCTTAAAACCCCTTGGGAAAAAGTTTTGATGAACTCTTCTGGAAAGAAATTTGTAAAGGCAAACATGGGTGTGCTGTGGTTGAATTTTAGATGTCTCTTGATTGAGGCAGAATTGGAATATAAGATTATGTGGAGAAATTTGTCTGTTTACTTGTTAAATGATAGCACTATATTATACATGTTTAATTTTGTTGACATCATTTTTGATATGGAAAGTTTGTCTGTGGTATTGTCTATGTCACATTGTTTGCACAGAAAACTTTTTGATTGGGTGCCAAGAAATCAGAAATAAAGTAAACACTGTAGCAATTTAGGAAAAAAATCATCATACTCATACTCCCAAAGACTGGCTTAACACACTGTTGGAAAACTAAGGCCTGATTTGCTTTAGTTTTTCAGCAAATTGTAGGGAAGGATGGCAAAAGTTTTGCAGACTAGTCACAGCACATGGTGAATTAAATGCAAGGCCTTTCTGGTTGATTTTTCACTCAATCAAACATTTCTCTAAAGAAATTATCCGTGTTTGCACTAACAGTTGCAATGTACAGTGATTAATGATGTTTTTGTTAGTATGCACTGTACCCATTATTTTGCACTATCTGTCTGCACAGCACTGGTTACGTTTTAGTGGTTCCTCTGGAAGCACTGCACAGCACACTAAGTTTAACAACTTGCCTATGAGGAGGAAAGCAGTGAGTAAACTTAAACATTGTGAAAACTAAAAAATGTTCTAAGTTGTAGTTTATTTCCTTAGTTTTTAATTTTTAAAGTTTGCTCTTTGCTTGAAAGTGCACAATGGGCTGTACTTTTATGTTGGTGTTATGTTAATTTTTGGTAGCTGTCAGTTGTTCAAGCCTCACCATCACACGGTGCCCTCAAGGAAAGTGAGGACAGTGCTGGAAGACCCAGGTCACTGTCAGATCCAGCTTCTGTTGAGGATGCTTCAACAGATGGTCAATCAAGCAAAATAATCAACCTTGGTAATCCTGTGAGCCCTCTTCAAGTCAACATGCCAAGTACGCCTGCTCAGCAAGGTGATGTGCCACACACTGGACCTCTTAGTCCCACCCACGTTACAGCAGAGATAGAGATAGCACGACCAAGAGCAGCAGTCAAACCTAGCCTTCTTGATGCCCTTCCAGGGCAGCTGCTCCCCCCTCCATCTGGAAAACAAGCCCGTGATGGCTGGACACCCACTAATAAATTTATTTATCAGGCATCACCTCGTCAAAAAGATTCTAGCTCCCCTGAACCTTCCGAATCACCTCCCTCTTCACCTGAAGAAGACACTCCTACTTCACCACTTTCCCCTGAGGGAATGAGGACACCTTCACCTCCTCCTCTGGCACAGGAGGAACAGGAAGAGGAAGAACCTAAGGAGGAAGCCGGAAAGGAAGAAGTAGTCTATCGAGTGAATAGGAGAAGCGGTGAGAGGCCGAGGTCGACTGGAGATGTGAAACTTAATACTAAAAGTGATTCTGGTTTAGTGACAACACCAGTCGAAGAAGAGGGTCAGAGTTCTGTGTCTTCAGAAGGAAAGAAAGATCCACCTCCCCCACCCCCTAGGAACAAGAAAGGTCATTCAAGATCTTCTTCGTTGGATCTCAATAAGCTCTTTGCTACGAAAGCCAAGGAAAATAGAGGTATAGAAATTAATTCCTGTCTGCTAGCGTCTCAGTAGAAATGTCTTGCTTTGTTGTTTATCATCATTCTGTAAATACTGCATTTTTTACTGTGCAAGGACCTTAAAATTTAGAGCTCCTTGGCATTCCTTATCCCACGCTTTGTTGAGGTAATAAATGCTTGATGAAACGTTTGGATCAGTTTCAAACGCCACAGTCGCTCAGTTTATACAATACACTACTTCGCGGTATGTGAAACATTTTATTACTTCTGTCTAGTCCAGCGATATTCGATATGTGTTTTGTGCTACTGTTAGAAATATGTTATATCGATAACGTTTTACATTTTTAAATTGAAAGCCTCTCTGTTCACAAGCTTTAGTAATGATATCGTTCATATTTATAGCGACCGTGAACAGACCTACGGAATGTTCTTTCTTTAATCTGCATATTTTGACATTTCCGTGGTATCAGAATTTCTCGAGTTATCAGCTCAATATTTTTCTTATTATTTTATAGGAACACCACCATCACCGTCGTCAAGCTTTTCCAGTCAGGTGCGTGAATACGGTTTTGATCAAACTGGCAAAATTACAGCAAGCTTGGTTAAAAAGTAGCTTAAATATTCCATGCGTCAAATACATGGTTTCAAAAATAGTTCTGTATTTTCAGACGAGTGACAGTGCAGCGCCAGCAAAGAGCGAACCTAACACACCCAGACACAGAAAAGAGAATAGTGCCGAACAAGAGAAAGTTGTAGCCGACCAGGAAAAAGTAGAGAAACAGGAAGATTTTGCTGACTTCAGCAGATTTGAAAGTTTTGTGGAAGCACAGGAAGGCGAAGGCACACGTGGTTCATCCACTCGCCCCGGGATTCATAGGCGATCATTTTCACTCGACCACTCACATGTAAGGGTTTAAGATTTTCGTTTATCCCTGTTTCATCTTTCTCACTGAGATACGCGCACTTTTGTGTGAGCTTTGTTAAATGCGTTACCGTAGTTACCTCTATTGCTGAAGGTCAACTGCCAAAAGGCAGCATGCTGGGCAATGGAAAGCAGCGACTGAATTTAACATCTGCTTATGAAATAAACTTTAACAAGGTCACGCCGAGAATTTTCTTTTAATGTTGAAGATAAGAAGATTTCTTTTTGTTTACATTCCTTGCCCTAGGAGTTAGGGTGGTCTCGGTCAACTCCTGCTCAGAAGGCTTCAAATGAAGGTGAGGCATGAAGAAGCTTTGGCTTAAGAATTTTTGCAATGTGTATTCTGTTATTTTGGTTTAAGAAGAACACTTGCTATATGTCACTTACTCTTAGTTCTTCTGTTCTTTAGGAGTCACGACAGCAGCAAGCAGACCAACTCACGCCCAGGAGGCCTTACCACGGCCAGTTCCGAAGTTGGTACGTGTCATTTAATCTACTATTATTGCAAAAGGTGATGTGAAGTTAGATTAGATCTCAGTAGGCATGGGGAGGTCTGCTTCTAAAAGTAGCTGCCCAAGTCTCAGACTGCGCATCCTAGCACCTAAAGTTTGTAGCCACACTTCAATTTCACTTCATTCATTCACTCCACGATTTCTAACTCACCAAGATGTCAATAACTGTGTTCTGTTTTTCCTCTTTAACCGCCATCTTCAGAAACCTCCAAGTCCTCCAACATTAAAACAAGGAAGAAGAGTAGACAAAGATGGAGAAAAAGAGAGAAAACTTAAAACGGAACCGCCAAAAGTTGTAGTAAGGTAAAACTTTGTCCGTCTTCTACTAACACAGTCATAAATGGTACCTATAAATTAATCATGTTAAGCATTTAATTTATTTATCAGCTCATTAGTATGACATGCCCTCGTCCATTCCCCACAAAGGAGATTGCGCGACGTACTTTTATAGCCAATTTACAGTGGCCTCGTAGTTCAAAGGAAGGAATAATAAGTTATAGTTTTCGGCGAAATCCCTTTTTTCATGTGAAGTATCGATTAACCGTCGAACCTTTGATACTATTGCTTGCATTTGACCTTTTTCTCTTCTTCGTAGGCCACTAACCAAGGAAGACAAATTAAATTCGAGAATAAATGATTTGAAAGAAAAGAATGCTGTGCTATCTAAAGTTAACAGTGAACTTCAAGAGGAATTGAAAACGGTAGGATTATGATGAGTATTTCCGACGACCACTATATAATAAGACTGAGCATTTCTCTCAGTAGTCTTTGTCTTGAATTCTTTCGAGAAATATCTCTCGCTCATCATGAGTTTCCTTTTTTGTTTTCTTCATAGATGATGGAAAATCGAGCAACACTGGAGCTTAAACTTGGAAAGCTCAAATCAGATTCAACGCAAAAGGGATGAAAACGCGAATAAATGAAACGAAGAACGATACTACCAAAAAAGATTTTATCCTCCTGCAATGTTAAATAAACGAAAAAATTTTTTCGAATTAACAGCATTGCTGATATGTATATTTTCTTGACATTTCCATGTTCAGAATAACTAAAACCAACTTCCACCCTTCTGCTAATTACATTTTAATGCATTACTTTTTTTTATCTTGCTTTTAGATACGAACCGGTAAGTTAAGAATTTTCTCTATAAGCCACATTCTAAAGAATTATATTATATATAAGAAAATCTAAAAAAAATATCATTGCGATACATAATGGTAGAATTTCCAAGAGATGATTAAAGATTAAAATCATTTTGAAAACTGTTTCAACTCATTTCATCTGTATTCGAAACATTTCGGCACTTGTGCCTTGTTCAGCGAGCCAACATCATCCTTCAGGCTGTCCGAGCCACATTGCATTATAGGAGTCACATAGAAACAGCAGCCATTAAGTCACGGTGTTTGAAAATGTGCAAGTATTTTGGTATAGCTCAAAATAGAATATTATATCAACGAAATACCCGTATAAGATATTAAGCTTTTTAATCCAAAAGTCTTAGGTTTCCTTTTACATTTTTCTGTGAACTTTTCAATATTTTACTATTCTACTGCAGACTCGAGGAAGCTGCAGTAACCGAGCCAGATATGGCACTACTAGCACGAAGACCGCAATCTTACGTAGCAACTGGCATATTTTTTTTTTCGGTGTTTCTGCTCTTCGTATCTTCATTTTAAATTTTTTTGCTTTATCTTGTTATGGTTCTGGCTAAAAAATAAACAATCACGGCGGAATTATGATTTGCGTAAGCCACTTTCTTGTCTGGAAGAGCTACGTCGCAGTTCGTGTCTATTGGAAAATTCATCTTTTAAAGACATTCTCGTTCCCTTTTTAACTTGTTCGCATCTCCTGAATGTTCACCTATTTTGGGAGATGATTTTCAAGATTGCCTTTAATTTTGAAGCAAGTTACTCCAAATAAATCCGTGACACAGAAATAATATATAGATTTAGCTAAGCCTAAAAGCGGAGCTCGCATTTTTTTTATTCCCGCACGACTCAAGGGCACAACGCCTTGCCCCGGCCAGGACTAGAACCCGGGTCGTCCGACTCGGAGCCTAGTGCACTGACCACTGGACTACTGGACAAAACCGTGGCGTTGGCGTGCCCGCGGTACAGTTGACCACGCATGATAAAAGTAGCACCTTGTACGGTCGTACGGTTGTACATCCAAATTTTTTGGCTTGATGGGTTACTACTATTTTGTATAATTGCGAGCTCCGCCATAAACCAGAGCCTTAAAAAAACGTTAAAGGCCCATTTTCAACCTTGATGCAACGCGCGCCGCGACCCAATTTCCTGTAACACGAAATTCCCAGATCACTGAAAACCTTCTAAAATCGTCTTTCTCAAGAGCCATCCTGGACATATAGTCAACTATTTTACGGTTAATACATTCGCCGTTCGTTATTTTACAGTTTCCTAACAGTATTTTGAATTTGTCCAGAAGAATCCGAGGAAAGTATCACGCTTGGATCTCTTCGTACTTTGTGAACAGAGTCGGCGAAAAGGACAACGTTCAAATTTTTTCACTCTCTAGAAGCGCTTGAAGATTCTTAATGAAGATTAAATATTTTCAGTAGAAATTGGTATTTTAAACAGAGAAATATGGAAAAATACCAGACTGCCGGACGTTTAGTTAATTGAAGACCGTGTCCGGTAGTGTCCGGTGAAAATTTTCTTTGTGGCATGCCTGGATCTCTTCGCACTCTGTGTACAAGGTCAGCGAAACGGAAAACGTTGGCATTTTTTCACTTTCTAGAAGTGCTTGAGGATTTTAAATGAAGGTAGAATATTCTCCAACGAAAAATTGGTATATTTCAAAGAGAAATATGGAGTTAGTTGAGGACCGTGTCCGGCCGTATCGCTTGGATGGCTTCGTACTCTGTATACAGGGTTAGCGAGAAACATCAAGTTCGAAATTTTAGGCTGCCTGGAAGCGCTTGAGGATTGTAAATAAAGGCAGAACATTTTCGTATAAATATTTTTTGGATTTCGAAGAGAAATATGGAAAAATATCGGACTGCCGGACGTTTAATTATTTTAAGTTTAGTCACTTCATTGCAGGAACGTCAGCGACACTGACAGTTTCCGTTACAATTCTTATCTGCTGCTTTGCATGGACAACAACCTCGACCACTCTCTCAAGCGCAAGTTCTTCTCGTCGGACAGGAAACTTCAACTGACCCTTGGTCCTATTTAACAACGATGGCAAACTTCAATGAAAAAAAATTGATGAATGAATGAAAACGTGGTGGATCGACATTTTCACCTTCTTCGAAATGCTCGCAAGGATTTTCGCGTTCCTCTTTAGCAACAACCGATCCATAAGCGTTTACTGCCTCGGAATCTACTAAATCAGTGGATTCATCTGATTCCATACCGGATTAGAACGTATAGAATCGTTTTAAACAGAATTATTTTGATAAGCTCTTCAAATTCATCGGAGAAAACGCAGAAGGTATTTTGAGACGTGACAAGGTAAAAATAACTGACCAATCAGAGGCGCGATTTAAACAAAAGTGGTGGTTCGAAACAAAAACAAACGACCGCGTTGCATCAAGGTTGGAAATGGGCCTTTAATCGGGCGTGCTATGCGACCTGTCAGCAGGTATTTATATTTTACCACCTCCAGAAACGTGACATCTTTTTTCCTCAATTTCAAAAGCACAAAGCAAACCTATATTGTCAGGTACTCAGACCATTAACAGGATGGTAAATCTTCACATCTTGTTAGTTTTAGGAATTAGTCTATATGCCTACTGGATGGGAATTGTAAGTACTTTTAAGGTACCAAAACCGACCAAAACCCAAGCAAAATGGCTGGATTATGAAGTGGGAGCGATTGTTCATTTCAATATGCAAACGTTTAACCGCTATATGAAGCCAGGTAACAAAATTTCTCCTTTAACAATGACGTGTTTATGCCAGTTACTGTCTGCTTTGCTAAACGGGTCTGTGAGGAATTTTTAGGGAAAGAATCGAATGTTTCCTTTAGTAATAGTTTCGATTTCATAACAAACCGAAAAATACCCTATTGTTTGTACTCTTTGATTTTGACAGCTGGGCAGATTTTACTGAAACTCCGAGTGCAGGCGGAAAATAAACTAATTTCTTGTCCAGTGGAAATAGTTTGTTTTTTCAATTTTCCGTTTGTGTGACAATCTTGTTTATTCGCCTTTCCATCCAGACCAAATTATGTCGCTGGACTAGTTTCGAAAGCCCTTGAGTTGTTTTCACATTCCATTGTTACGCTGCTCAGGGGATGCAAATATCAATCGAAATACGGCTTTAAGGAAATGATCAGCGTCTGATAGAGTCAAGGATCATGATCACCTAGTACCTAGTACTAAGAACAAGTCCCTTTGCCTACGTAGCAGGCCGTTGTTTAGAAGTGTGTCGGTAACAAGCGTGAAAAGAGACGCACAGAAAGGAAGTTCTCCCTGTTTATCATGTCATCTAAAACATATTAGGTAATTTAGTGTTAACAACTGAGTTGAAAACGTAAATTGGCCACAGTAAAGAGTAAAAAAGCTGACGTTTCGAGCGTTAGCCCTTCGTCAAAGCGATAGATTCGCCAATCGCCAATCGCTCTGACGAAGGGCCAACGTTCGAATCTTCTGCTTTTTTTACCCTTTACGGTGGCCAATTTAGCAATCAACTCAGTTGTTAACACTAAATTACCTGCTATACTCTCCCACCGACGCAGCACCACAGTTTCTTTAGAAACTTACCCCTTTATCCATTCATCTAAACCATATTGTATGTTTGCTAGGTCATGTTGTGCCCGTGGACACTTTCAACCCAGAAGAGCTTTCAACAGATCAATGGCTTGAGGCAGCTAAGAGTTTCGGTGCCAAATATATCCTTTTTTCTATCGACCACTTCAGCGGGTTTCTCATGTGGCCTACTGCAACAGACTACAAATACTCCGTTAAATACACAAAGTGGAGAGACGGAAAGGGAAACGTCCTGGCTGACTTTATCAAGTCCTGCCGAAAATATGGTTTGGAATATGGATACTTTTATAGTGTGCATAATAATTGGTACATGGGAGTGGATAATTACACCACTGGTGTTCCTGCAACACAAGAGTACTATAAAAAGGTTGTAGAAGAACAAATGCGTGAATTGTTTAATGCTACCTCTCCATATAAAGACCCTTTTTACATTTGGTTTGATGCTGGTATTGTCCCAAAAGTGAGTCCTGATATCGGGCCAATCATACGTGAGTTAGCCAGTAACTCAATCTGTGACGAGTGCCCCACGTTTTCTGGTAATCAAGGATTACACTGGGTTGGTAACGAAAAGGCGTTTGCACCTTTACCGCAGTGGTACGCCGTACCCAAAGGAAAATGCTCTAAGAAGACACCAGACGGTGAGTTAAAAGTCTTGTCACCAAACTGGTCATTTCCATATAAAAACTCCAGCTTACTGGCTGTTTCTGGTTGGAATCGCAACTTCAAAGAATTAAACATTGAAAAAACATAATCTTATTTGGAATCATAAGGTTTCATTTTTATTTTTCCCTTCTGTTACAGGTAAAATAATTCAAGGAAGCCCGTATGGTCAGCTGTTCTGTCCCGCAAACTGCGATACCGTTATTCGTGAACACTTTTGGTTCTGGCAACCTGACACGGAGTACTCAGTGAAAAGTGTCCGTAGACTTTTGAGTGAATATCTAACAAGCGTGGGTCATGGATGTACATTGATTCTGAACCTCAATCCCGATACACGCGGGCTGGTACCCGAGGAGGATCGTAAGGCATACGAGAAACTGGGAAAGGCGATTGCACTGTTATACAAAGATCCTGTTAAAAAATCATTCAAGCCTAGATTAAAAATTGGAACGAAGAAAATTTGGAAGTTTACAGCATTTAGAAGTCTCAATGGTTCTGTTATCCTGATGGAAGATATTGAGAGATATGGTCAATTAGTCATGAAATATGAACTAAAGCTGAAAACTAAAGACGGTTGGATTTCGACTCCAGAGTTGGGAAGCACCATAGGACATAAAAGAATTCATCCTTTTCCAAAAGACTTGGCAAATAAAACTGTCTCTGCAGTTAGCCTAAGGATCAATAAACTTGTCACAAAGAGAAGATCTATAGTATTAAGAGAAGTTTCTGTTTACAATTGGAATGAAGCAGCGAAGCCCGGTAAAAATTTGATTTAACGTCTGTGTCTTCAAGTGTCAATAGATTATTTTGAAATTATCTGTAAAATAATGGTTTCGTTGGAAAAGAATGAGAACAACTCAGATTGTCATAGCCAGAGTTGAGTTACGTTCAGTGGGCATATTATAGTAATAAATAAGCGCGGAAATTTGAGGAGCATCACAAAGTACTCCATACTAATTTTTCACCGCGTTAGTGCTTGTCAGCTAACGAGCTATATGCCAGTCTCGTCCCAAATATTTTATCATCTTCCGCAATAAATCTCTTTCCATCATTTCCTTGTTCAGTTGTTTTGGTAAAATGCGCTAGGCTATGGCAGCGCTCACGATCTTACTCGGGGAGAACTGGGCTCTAAGACTGGTCACCGCCGTTAAGATTTTGTTTGTTGTGGTTTTTGAAGTCACTGCACATATTTCGGCATCTTTGGCTTTTTTGGGGTATTTTTGTTACGAAATGAGTCGATTGGAACCCAGAAAGCATAGTCCAGCTAAAGTTTTTGCTGAGTTTACTTCAATGGGCGAAAATGAGGGTGTAAATCCGGAAAAAATGGACTCGAAACTCGAAGGAGCGTTTGACAATAGACGAGAAATTCAGATATTTGAGACTGGAGAAGTTACTCTTCCTCCTGATAAAGCTAAGGTTTCGATTGTCTGTTCCAATACCAAGGTAAGCGACTAAGGCGAATTTGTATAATTATATTAATGAAGGGATTAACTGAGAGCTAGTTCTCAGTAAAACTGCGTGTTTATTCGAAAGCTGAAAAACCTGATGCACAGAGAAAACGAACACGGTTTTACCTGCAAGTAGCTTATTGCTGTAACTGGAAGTTGTTTAATTTTTTATCTATAGGAATCTGTGGAGGAGGTGAAGACAAGTGTAAATCGCAGAGTCGACTACGTTCTGCAGACTCTGAAATCTCACCATGTCAAAGACTTTATCGTTCACAAAATTTTAAACAGAATCAATAACCTATATCAAATGGAAATTGAAGTAGTTGTAGAATTCAGTGATTTCTCCAAGTGTGAAGAAGTGTGTAACCTGCTTGTGGAAAAGCTCGATGAAACAGTGAAAGTATCAAGTCCTGTGCTATATCACACAGCTAGCAAGCTTGAATCATTAAGGTAAGCTAGAGGATGCAGTCTACTTGCAACACGACCCAAGCACTGAAGCTTGCAAGCTCAAACTGGAAGAATCTTGATACTGACTACCTTATTTCCAAATTAAGACAGGAATATCTACAGTAACTTATTTATGTTTACTAAATATATTCTTGAAAGCCTTACCTTGGACCCACATTCACCTTAGCTACCTCAAGGGCTACCTCTCTCTCCTTACAGCATCTAATTTCTCCTTTAAGTGTCACCTCTTAATCAAACATTAAGGTCATTAGAATTTTGGAAACGATCAAAAAGTACAGGAGCTCTTGATTGTTAAGCAAAATCTCCCTGACAGCACCTTAGGAAAAATATAGACAGCATGGAGAATATGCATACTGACCTTGGGGTGGAAAAGGCTAATATTATTATATATTATCAACCCAAAATAAAAGTAACGGGTAGAAAAAAAATTACGAAAAAGGGATTTTTTTGGTTTTCAACACTAACTTCTCAGAGCCACAATCACAAGAATTGTATAGGATACATACTGTAGAGGAGAAGTTATATCAGGATCTTTGGAGTAAAAAGGTTGATAACTGCTTACAGTGATGTCATTGTCAACTAAATCAGTAAGCTGTGGGATTCTTTGAGTGTAGTGCTTCCAGGGATAGGTAGATCATGGATCATGTGCTTTTTAATTATGGATTATAAGAAACCAACTTGAAGGTCATGTTGCTTAGAAGGAGAAGGCTGCCCTCTTTGCTAGTCCCTCTCCAGTCAAAGTGTGTGCACTTAGTCTGAAGATTCAGAAATCCCCTAACCCCCAACCAACATAAAAGGCAAACTTTTTCCATAGTTTATTTATCATTTTGCTTCAGACGGCAAGCCTGTGTTTGTGCAGTCAGAAATGCAAAGAGCAAAGCTCTAGAAGTTGTTCAAATGTTCAACCAATCGCTTGGACCACCAATCCTGATACGAGAGGAGCATTATGAAGAATTTGTAGGAAACAGTAGAGAGATGTCACTTGAAAACAAGGATATGGAACAACTGACTTTTCAAGAAAAGGTTGCTGTAGCAACAGTTACAGTCACTGTCAAGATCTTTGCAATATTTGAGATTAGAGAAAAAATGAAAGCACGCAAGCAGAAGTGAAACATTGAATGCCAGACAGAACACTGAAGGATGGTAGTATTTATATATTATCAAGACTGTATTTTCAGCATCCTACTAATTTAAACTTTTTAGAAATAAAGTACATCTAATTTTTTATTATAGTCTTAGTAGAATATTTCAAATAAAATATTTAGCTGAACAACAGAAGTAATTGACTAGTATTTAAAGAATATTATTGCATAAATTATTACATACAGGGAAAACCTAATTTCAACCTAGTTCCTACTGTCTAAAGGTTTCTAGCTTTCTTAGCTCACTTCTGACACTCAAATTGACCGATAAAGGGAAAGTGGATCAAACTTGTTGGTGTACATATGCCTAACCCCAAGTAACTAATTGGTTTTTCTGTCACAACCAGCTTACAGAACCTTTTCCTAAAAATCCTGCAAAACTGGAGAGGAAAAAAAGGTATAAATTGAAGCCTAGGGAAACAAGATTCTCTTCTAACTTACATTTGTTAGATCTCCTCCATTTCTACACTACTTGCATGGACCTGAAATGGGTCTTCAGGTAACAAGTTTGGTGTTTGATCCAAGAGTGTTCTTAGTTACAACAGAATAATTGACTAACTATGGTTACAAGTATTTCACCAAATACCTGTTACACTTAGAATTCAATGAAAATTCATAGGTTCTAGAATACCAACGTTGGACTGGAAATTTTACTGCTTTTGTTAATTGAAGCCATAAGCATTTTTCTTTTTGACTTAATTCATACTGTCCAGTTCTTGAAGGAATAGTTCCATTCTCTCTGATGATATCCTTCTGTAGCCTTCTAACTAAGTTCAGATGTGTGATGCATTATGAGTTCTTTTTCTCTCCCTTGGAACTCCATGCAGTAATGAGCTTGTTTGCGTAATACAAACTGATTCCATGAAATTGAATCAGGAAAGCTGACAATGCCATTTTCATTGGTGCCATCTGATGTTCCTGGGTAGCTGGTGCTCTTCCTTGACTAACATTATAGAAGATTTCTTGAACCATTACACAAGCACCAAATGCTAGAGGACCAACCCCAATAAATAATGTTGCAAATGCATAAATGTAAAGTTGTTTGGTATTGTTCTTTGGAAGGCTTAGAAGCCCTACAACTGTAGGTAGAGCACTCAATAACCAGGCTGCCTGCCAAAGTTTTGGTTGATCTTTAACCATTCTGTGAATCACATAAATGCAAATGTTCAGTTTAAAATCTTGCAGGTGCTTAACCTCTCAACTCTAAAAATTTCAACCTGGTCTATTTCATAATTCTTGATTTTAGCTGCAATACCTTTTTTACTATCACTAAATATGCCATAGAATTTGTTCTTTTACCTCATTACAGACAAATCTATTAGTAGAGTGTTTCTTAAATGTTATAACAGTACCTCATTAAAGATTAAATCTTAAAGATTGATCCAGTAGATTTCAAAGCATTTCACATTATCCCTGCTTACCACCCATGAGCGCATGACACTAGAACCAATTAATTAAAAAGATGAGCCTCATTTAGTTTTAATCGGTTGGAGAGTTTGCCGTATAAACCCATTAATATTCCAAAACAAAGCTGTAGTCTCAAAGGCAATCTTTTGTACTGCTATTGTTTTCTGTTATCCATGCTCTGTCTGCGTAATGAGATGTAGAGTTATACGGAAATCTTGCCCTAGCAGGGTGGATGATTTAACCACTTTGTGATCCAAAATAAAGAGAAATTACGGATTAAATATACTGAAATAGCTGCTTCTATTACTGCAGAGGCAAATAATTTTAACCCCGCTGTTATCACTTGAAGCACCATCAGCTAATCTTGTTTTGATGGAAGTACATTTTCCTTTAACTACACAATTATGATGAAGATGATAATTTTTTTCCTTACCCATTGTAAGCAGCAGCAATCCAACCTCCAGCAGCCACGATCAGAAATAAATGGAGGCAAAGACAAGCTTTTAATTTCCCCTTCCAAAGGACGCTCTCTTTGTAATGTGAAGCCACACGCTGCCTGTGACTAAAATCTGAGCCATCAGTTCCAGAAGCCCTAGGCCCATCTCGTGAAGCCATGACTGTTATAGAAAGCTTGATGGTAAAGCAAAATGCTTATTAAATAAACTCCGAACTGAAGGATCAAAACTTGAAAAGTTTTGTCTCTGACCTTCGATGAACTTCTCGTCGGTTTACGCCAGCGGCTTCTCGTAAGAGGTATGCGCTGGATACAAGTATAGTTCACAGATTATATAATTTCTTTATTTTGCTGAAAACGATGAGTTTTGTGTCCGACGAACTTGCGAATGTTTTAAAATCGGTATACAGGATGGAGGAGGGTAGTGAAAATAACGGAGATGAAGAGTCCTCTTCTAATGTAGACAAAAAGAGTGAGGAGGTTTCGAAAGAGAAACGCTCTAGAAAACATAAGCACAAGAAACACTCAAAGTCGAAGTCAAAGGACAAGAAAAAGCACAAAAAACGAAAACATAAGTCAAGATCACGCTCACAGTCTCGATCGAAATCACGGACACCAGATGAAATTGAAACCGATTTTGTTCTTAAGAAAGACAAAAATCTTGACACCGAGGAAAAGGATAGAGAACTGGCCTCACAGAATGGCACTGCTGGGTATGGTAACGCTGTTCAACCAGCGCAGACCAACTGTGATGAAAAGCCTATCCAGGATGTTCATGGATCTAAACTTTCAGATTCCAAAGAAGAAAAGTCAGAGAGTTATTTTAAAAGTATTAGGTTAGAGAATGATAAAAATGACTTGATATCTACTCCAGTTGCTACAAAAATAGGCCCGGAGAGAGATTTTAACAGTAATTGTTCAGGGAGTGATGCAAAAGATTTGGAGAACAAAAAGAGTACTTCATCTTCCAGGAGTAAGTCAAAGTCCCCAGAGTCTAAATTGTCTGGAAATAACAAGGAGAGAGACTCAAGATCCCATTCCAATGATAGAGAGACTAAAAGGAAATCCGGCTCACAATCAAGTTCTAAGCAGTCTGCAAAGAAGAAGAAGCCAAGGTCACGGTCACATTCAAGGAGCAGAACATCCAAAAAGAGATCAAGGTCAAGGTCACACTCAAAAAGGAATCGCCACAGAAGAACTGAATCCAAGTCAAGTTCACGTTCCCATTCATACAACAGTAGGTCAAGATCTAGGTCCCCAAGACGAAGAAAAAGATCATTCTCTAGGTCACCAAGACGTAAAAGATCACTTTCCAGGTCACGCCATAAATCTCCTGTATTTAAAAGCTTTAGAAGGGTTTCTCCACCTTCCTGGAAAAAAAATGTAGGATCTCTCAGGAGACAAAGGTCAAGATCATACTCTAGATCTGGTAGGTCACCTCCAAGGAGAAGGAGTTCTCCAAGAAGGAAACAGTCACGTTCAAGATCAAGAGGAAGAAGGTCACACTCTAGATCAAGAACTAGAACCCCAAGGAAGAGAACACGATCCTTGTCTAGGGACAGGAGACATCATAGATCCAGATCAAGGTCACACTCAAGAGGAAGAAGTCAAAGATCAGCATCTAGAGAAAGAAGGAGGAGTAAGAGTAGTAGATCTCGGTCAAAATCAAAGGAAAAAACACAACCAAGGAATCCTTCATCAGTACCCAATGTGCCAGTAACAGATAAAATATCTACTTTGATTGACAAACCAGTCGCAAGTGATCTTTCTGCACAGCAGACAAAAGTTGCACAGAGGGCTGGAGGGAAAACTATTGCGGAGCTTACTGCTTTCTGTAAAAAGCTACAGGATGAAAAGGAGAGTATAGACAGTGGTAACACAAGTGTAACAACTTTAGAAAAGAAAGAAGATTCTCAGCCAGTGGCACACCATCCATTTTTAATTAAAGAAAAGCCAGATATCACAATACCACCTGTTATCTTTCCAGTAAGTTAATAAAAGTAGTGCATGTACACCATTTTTTTTAGTGTGTGCATGTGTTTTATGTAAAACTGAACCTCAGGTCTAGATTGAAAGCACTAAAATTTTGATGTGTAGATATGAAAGGTAACTAGTTTGATGTATCTATTTATGCATGTGTTCTCTTATTAAGGTTTGAATTTAAATTTGTGGTCATTGTGAGAGAGAACTTAATCTTTCTTACTAATCTTCCTTATCTAGGTGAACAAGCCTATGGTCCCACAAGTAGGGTCATCCAAACCTCTGCAGGAGCAGTTTCCTGTGTCTTGTGGAAGTAAACACAGAGAAAAAGAGGGTGTCAATGATGGGGCTGAAATGGTTGCCAACATAGATGGCTCTGCAATTCAGACGCAACCAAAAGTAGAAGTATTTCCTCAACCTTCTGCTGAGGTATATAGCTGATGTTTTTGTTTCCTTTAGTTCAATTATCACTTTCATTTTTGATAATTCTGTTGTATGTACAAACTGTATGGGAAATATTCCCTAATCTCCACTTCTTTCAGAAACTGGACATCAGTGACCTTGTTGCTAAGCGAATGGATGCACAAAGGCGGCTGCAGACTGACCCTAATGACATTGAGGCCCTGTTGGTTCTCCAGGAGATTCAAATGAAGATGCAGAATTGGTGCCAATCAAATGTTAAGCCAGGCCAGTTTACTGGAGAGCTTGTGAAGAATCTTTTGCCAAAGGAAGATTTGCAAGGAGGCTTCCAGGCATGGGCCAAAAAGGTAGATTTCTTTGTGTGTGCATGTATTCTTGATCTTTTTAAAACCCCAAACATTTCTAATTTGTGTTAGATTCAATCAGAATTGGACAGAAAATATCCTTATGACTTACCTATAAAAGCAGATCCTAACCTGTAAGCATTCAAGAGGGGGGATTTATGCTTTTAAGTAATAGTTATTGTTTTTGTTGAACATGCACATGTCTACCAATAAATGCTATTTTAAATAGTATGCCTGTTGTTTCTGGTTGCGATGATATTGAATTGTCATCTTGATTGCAGGACATGTTTCACAATCTCTCACCAGTTTCTGGTGGTATTGGCATGAAGCTTCTCCAAAAAATGGGATGGAAACCTGGACAAGTGATTGGTAAAAGAGGAGAAGGTTACGCTGAACCTATCGCTCTCACTGTCAAAATTGATAGGAAAGGTCTCAGTGCTGGAAAGGAAAAGGCTACCAAGAAAGGTGCTCCTACTGTTCTGGACCTGCAAGGTAACTTGTGCTGACTGTTTTTTCACCGACTAGTGATATCACCATCATTGTCTGAGTATCATGATAATCATTAAGAAATTTTTTTAATTTGTTTTGGTGGAGAGTATAGAAATGGTGTATGTAAAAGGGAAAGACTTTCTCAAAGTTGTTTGCAGTTCATAATGATTTGTCACTCCCAGCTTGGCATTGACATCCTGACATCTGGCAAATTGCTGTCACTGACTTGGGCTGTCGTCTCTGTCCATATCATAACTGACAGACCAAGTTTTTACCCTCTCAATTTATGGCCAAAGGCTGAAGCAGGTGGGCCTTAGATTGAAAGGAGAAAAAAATGAAGGATCCATAAGTTATATAAATGGACTCTGAAGATAACTTAAGTGAGGTATTTCCTGTATCTTTAGGGTATGTCTGACAGGTTTTGGAAATGATTAGTAGACATGTATAATATTATGTAGAAGGACTGTTAAATGGCTGACCTTAGTAAAAAGTGGATTTGTCTAGTTCAGTATATCCCTTGAGATTAATTTATATTTAAGCATCTTCCTACTGTCCAGCATTTTTTTTTCTTTTTTTTCAGAGGGGGAGGGAGGTATTGGGGGAAAGGCTCTCTTATTAAAGCAATAATTATTTTGATTAAAATTATTAGTTAACAATATTATATATTGTTTGAGTTTGAGTACTTTGTTGTAGAGGCATTGGAATTTGAATTGCTTGTTGACCAACCAAATTGTGACCCAAATTTCTGAGCATTGTTTCTCAGTCGGTGCACACTTCTTACATGTAGTTCTGCCTTTTATTACTTTTAGTTGGTTTTATAATCTTCCTTTATCCGTTGTCATCTTGTATCCCTTTTTGAGAAATATCATGGCACTTATAATTTAAAAACATTTCTGACATGTTTTCCTTTACTCTAGACATCTCTCTTTGGGTCTCTTGTGTAAGGTTGTATTAATAATGTGGGAACTTCTTGTTTTCACAACAGTGATAGATTGAGAATTGGGGTTTACAACTCACAATTAGATTGTATTGTTTAGAAAATTACACTTTCTGTAATCAATGAGTCATTCAATCAAATGCTAGTCAGAGATTTGATTTTGCATGCAAGGCTATGGCATTTTGCAGACTGTAATTATGTTCTTGCTTGTTATTTGGTGATGGCAACTTTTGCTTCAGTTCTGATTTTGTCACTGTTGTACTATTCACAGTAAATTGTTTACCCAGCTCACACATATTAAAAGATTCCAATGATGGTCACAGAGTGTTGTCATACAGCATAGAATGGCCCAGTGAATTGTGCCATTCTATGCTAATGCATGGAAACAAATAAATTTCTCCCAGCAGTAAAAGGCATCGACCCCTTTGAAATGAAGCCTACATACAAGCAATTCAATATGCAATGCCTCTTGATCCGATGTTGAGAATTTTAGCACCACAAGGAGATTGTACCATCAAATGATGATCACACAAAGACTTATTTTTGATGACATCAGGTAAATATTACTGGGTGTGTTTTGTGGCTGGATACATTCATTCTTGAACAAGTCCTGACTGAAGTTCAGAACCCTTTTTTTGAAACTTTTGTGAGTTCTAAAATTATGTTGACTCACTAGTATAATACAAATGAGTTACTCAGTTTTACTTGCAGATGAAGCAATTTTGAATGATTTTCCTTGATTTTCAAAAGCAATACTACACAATTCAAAAGCTGCATTTCTGAGAAGTCAGCATAGTCCTCCTAAGAATTTAACACATTTTATGGTATATGTGTATTTTTTTTTTGATGGGAGAAAAAGGCAGTTGATCTTTAAATCAAAGGAGAAGTGAATGAAATTAACTTCATATCTCATTCTGTCACCATTAATTATTTAAAAGATGTTTAAGAAAGTTCTCAGATAAAGCAGGCTAATTCTGAAATTCAAAATTTAGGGTTCATTAATGAACATTCTTGACACAAAATCACCCAATTAGTTCTTTCCAAATATGGGGAGAGTGCTGGAGAAATATTTGTGAACATCCACTTGTTAGATGAAAGGTTTTCGCACAAACTTAAATTAGTTGCCTTCAGATAATTATTCCTTGGGGATGATACCTGTTTTGCATGATGAACAAGGAGAAGATGAATCTGTTCAAATTTGATTTTCTAGCCCCTTTGATGCATGAAGATCAAAGTAATCTTAGGACAATAATTGGAATGGGATCCTAGTCATCCAAAGGAAAAATACAGTCTAAGAAATGGGGATCAGGTTTAGTTCATCCTTATGATCTTAAAAAACAGGTTCAAGGGATCAAGTCCCTAATACATCAAGTTTATGATTTTTTTTCTCATTTTTTTTTTCAAATTTTTTTGGCAAGTTAAAAGGAGCTTTTTGTAACAGAAGAAACTAGAATACTCATGAAATTTTGTCCTAAGATAATGTCTTGCTCTTCAATGAGGTAATATTATTTGATATTTCTTTCGCAAAAATCAGTTGATGACCACTTTTTCTCCAGTCCTCTCTTTATTTTTGAAATGGACTGTAATGGAAGGTAACTATCCACCAATAAAGCACAGGTTATTAATTAAAAGCTTCAAGGCATTGTTACTCCTATATTGTACAGGGTCAATACAGGCCTTTTGGGAGCATAAGTTTATCTTCATTGGATTGAAACTTTCACTGTTGCTGTTTTGGTGGATAAAAATCTTTCTTTCCTTGGTATCTTGAACACTACTTCTAACACAGGAATTCCTGCCAAGAGAGAAACTGAAGAGGATGTTTCAAAAATAATATTGTAAGCAGGGGACAAAACTACAGATTCCAATTTCAATACTTGAAAAGCAGGCTAAACCTTTGCAGTGTTCTTTGTTCCCTCAGATGTTGCTTTTGAAGAATGTAGTGTCTTGCAAGTTACACTATAAACTTTTCCTAGCCTGTTAGTTGGCCCTCTTGTGACATGAATGGAACAATTGTACAGTAACAGGGAGGCTGCTCGTTATTTGTGCCAGAGGCAGAGGAGACTGCGGTTTAGCCTGTTATTGTCTCTATTGCTTGTCTTACATTTTGTGTAGCTCCATCTTTAAGAGAGTTGTATCAAAGTGATGTTCATGTTTCCATGATGTGTCTTTTTCTCATAAACTTTTTTTTCAATCGTACTTTGCAGGAAAGCATCCTGTGTCTGCCCTGGCTGAGTATTGCAGTAAGAGAAAATGGCAACTGCCCGACTACACTTTAGTCTTTGATCATGGCCCTGCACACCATAAACAGTTTCTGTTTAAAGTTTTAGTGAACAGTGTAGAGTACCAGCCTGCAGTGGTGTGTGGCAACAAAAAACAGGCTAAAGCACAGGCAGCTATTTTTGCTCTGAAAGGTCTTGGCCTCATTCCTGAAGATGCTGAAATATCTGCAGTATAATGCAGGTTTTTTGATATACATATATGAGGTGATGGGTGGGTATCTATCACTAAAGAATTTTTGATGATTGCATTTTGTTCTAAACATGACTGTGCCATGTGTAGATGTTCTAAAGCTGTGCTCTGTTGCACCACCAGTCAAATCACTTTTACGGAATAACTTTCTTAGTTTCTTCCTTTCCACCTTTGTCTATCAGAACCATGGCCTTGAACTTTGTTACTTTCCTTAGAACTGTCACTGTTAATCAATTAGCCTCAACAAAACTTTATTTGGTCAAATTCTGCCAAACTAAAAATTGTAAGCCTTTGTTGTCAACTTTGTCCACCATCTATTTGTGAGGTTCAGCTAAGAAAACAAACACCTTTGAAACAGCAATGTTACTTCAATTATCACTCAGAGTTTTGTCGTCACAAACGGTTCAGATGAGACTTTTTAGTTCATAAATCCTACATCATGTTTGTGTTAAGAATGATTGTCTTTAATGCTTATAAATAAAATAAGTATATACTGAATATCAATGGTATTTCCCTGTCAAAACTTCTTTGTAGACTTACTCTATAAATATTTCTTTCTCTAGCCCAATACATCTAACAGTATCATCTTAGAAGAACATTTTATTCTCTTTGTTCTCTTCTGTTAGAGATTCCCCCCCCCCCCCAATTACAAGGCGACACTCAAATGTGATTAGTGTGGTAGACAACAGCTCACTTCTCCAGCTCTCCAGCATCTCTTGTTTACATCAGCAATCTGCTAGAACATATTTTACTTAGTGATGGGGGACATGGTTTGGTGTCTCATCCAAGAACCCTGCCAGGGCTACATTGAACGAAGCTGCCCCTTTAAATGGGTGTCCCTCTTAATTCATGTAAGAACAAAATGATGAGTAAATCACTAGGAGTGAAGTATGGTTTTTTTTTATTCTTGATTTAACCAAACCTGACAATAACTGGAAGATCTGTCTGTTTTTGGTTAAAATTAGTAAAAATAATAAGTTATACACTTCATATCATCATAAATAAAACCAAACCCACTCATAAAAAGTAACAAAAAATAGTATGAAACCACCTGACTAAACAAAATAAAAACCTCTTGACTGATACAATTAAAAGTATTGCAAACAATATCTGCACATTCTAGTTAATAACCTGAAGTTAAGATTCCTCTCCTAAACACTCTAAACTTTTTACTACAACTAAAAACCACAGAAATTGGCAAAAACTTAACCTTTCTGAAGTTTAGAAAAAAAAGCTATCCCTATTGCTACATTTCACTCACTCTAGTTTTTAAGTTAGGTCATTCTTCTTGCTCTGGTCCATAGTAACATAATCTACTCAGGCTGAATTCTTAAAGTAATGAGTGAAATAAGACCCCATAACATCCTCCTAAAAATGTGAAGTCTGTAATTGTTGATCATGTCATCTAAAGAGTGAGAGTGACAATGACAAAGATGTTTGTTGATGACACTACAACAACCTGGGTGGAAGCCATCATCAGAGTGAGAATCAAAACAATTTGATGATGTCAAAATAGGATGATAGTTCTTTTCAGGACTTCTCTCACTCACAAAACTACATGATCAACTTTTATCCTAGCTTTAAACTATCTACTGTATAGGTCCCACCAATGATTAAATACCAATTTATGATTAACAATCCAGCCTTGAGGATTTAAGACAAAATTCTAGTTCCTAACCTTCACATATATATGTTTTCCAAGTGGAGTTTCTATTGAATGGCAAAACTGTTAGTGTCTGATAGCTCCAGAACTTAAGCTTAAGCATTTACATTTGGTGAGAAATCTGTACAGTGAAATTATCTGTCAACCTGTTATTTCACTTGGGCATACCCTACGTTCATTCCAAACAAAAAGTGGGAGAACTCTTACAACAGAAGAATGCAGAATAAGAGCCACAAAAATTCCTCAGCTGATTTATAAGAAAGGTTTTAAGTTGGGTAAATTTAGTTTGTGGAGTGAACATTGTTAGTGTTAATATTTTTACACCTCTACCAGAGTAAAAATTCTACATGTTTGCTAAAGGGATACATCTAGATTAGTTTAGAAGCAAGTTTGTAGAGGATTAAGATAATTTTTTTTAACTAGTGCATATTTGAAAAAAAAATATATCAACCCATGCAGCACTTTTTAGACTCCTGATGATGTTCCAGCAAGTCTTCAGCTGAAATAGCATGTCCAATACCCAACACATCTGTGGGCCGCATAGGCAGTGCCTTAATTCCATCCCAGCCTTCTCTCAGTCCCAGGTCTCCTCTCTCCATACGTTTATGTACTTCCTCAGTCACTCTGAAAAAAGCTTCCTCGATATTGCATAAAACCTTAGCTGATGTTTCAATAAACATCATATTGTTTGCTTCTGCAAATCGTTCTCCTTCCTCTGTGGAAACTTTCCTCATTGATTCTTTGTCAATTTTATGACCGATCAACATGAAGACAACATCACTTTCCTCTACGCAGTTCTTTGCCTCTGTATACCAGTCTTTAACATTAAGGAATGATTCCCTGTTAGTGATATCATAAACAATCAAGCAGCCAACAGTGTTTCTATAGTATGAGTATGTGATGGCACGAAATCTTTCCTGTCCTGCAGTGTCCCAGATCTGCAACTTTATTCTGACGTCAGCTGAAGAACACAAAACAGAGAAAATCAATTCATTGTGTCACCTGATATATTACAGTAAATACTGTGATATTGAGCTAATTAATATCTCAAGCCTGCTATCTGTTTTTCACACTCTTAAAATAGAGTGCAGTTGCCATAGGTAACTAATTATTGTTTTTTGGCAACTTGAAAATCTGTGCATAAAGTTTTGAATAGCTTTGCATCTCAGATTGATTTAAGAGCCCTTTTGGTACCCATTTATTCTTGTAGGAGCAAAGTTTGGAGAGCTTATAGCTTATTAATATGGAAATTGACAAATACAGAGAGATACATGTATTGAATGACAAGCCCAAAACCTCTCAAAAGGAGGTGGCTTATTTAGCTACTTCCACACTTCATTAAATCATGACCACACGAGTCCTCTATTTTATGTACTTAGAATATTTGGCTTGAGTCAGATTTATATTTCAGATGCTGTCTCCCTGACTTGCCGGTGACTCTCCTCCAAAGAGATATAAATATCATATGAAAGGTTGTGCTTATTCATAATCGTGTTCAAAATGCAACAGCAATAAAATGTAAATTAACCAAGAATAAAATACTTTAACCATGAAAACCTGGAAAATATTTCACAATTTTTAAACATTTCAACGATTTTCTCAGGCATGGCGTCTAAAATATGCAAGCATCATTTTAATTCAGATTAACCAGTTTCACACTTCGTTGCCTAATCTCAGATTTTCAAGCAAAATAAAGCTAAATTGGAGACAATATTTAAGAATATGGCCTACGTAGTACATGACTTTTCAAGAAACCTGATCGATTTCAGTTTAACCACTTCACAAGAACAGTAGATATAGGCATTACCACTGTAAATATTTCCTAATTGAAATTCAAATATCCCTTACAAAATTAGCAAGTATAAATGAATGCATTTTCTCCAAGAGTCCAACAGGTGACGGCTAATCTTTTTACATAAAGATGTAAAAGCAGACTTCTTAATTCAAAAGCTTCCGTAAACCTACCCAAGGCACATTTTTTGTAGCGGTTCAGTGCAAATCTAATGGTTGAGACGGATATTCGGACGTTGATAAAATTAAACAAGGCATAAAGGCCTCATATTCTAATAGGATTTAAGATGTACAACTAAAGCTGAAAATGCAGCCACGACAAACGATCGTGAATTTAGAATTAACCGAATCCACATCACTTGCAAAAAATTTGTTTTCTACTACGATGCGCTAAAAGCAACGCAACACTTCCTAAAACAGGAAAAGAATTCGCAACGACATTCTAAGAATGGTTACATCATAGGTAAAACAATTGATAGTTAATATTTCTCGAAGATAAATTCGATGTGCATTGCTGACACGCAACATGGCAAACGTTAAGTAAAATGGTTGAAAACTCACATGTAAGCATCACAACCCTGACATGAAAATCCACACCGACAGTTGGGTCGGAGTTTTCGATAAATTGCCCTTCCGTAAACTGCCGCAAAAGCGAGGATTTTCCAACAGTGCTGTCGCCGATTAAAATAATTCTGAACTGGTAAAAATATTTTGGTTTGAAGCGGGCAGCGTCTGCAGATCTTTGACGACTCATCTTCAGACTTGTGAAATCCTCAGTACTTTGTAGAATTTTATTATTATGTGGCCATGTGTATTTCAACAGGCCGTGGGGAAATTGTTTTCAGTTCAAATCTGTAAAATTCTGCAACGAAAATAAACCAAAACGATTAATTACATTATCGTTAAGCACAAACTAACTTCCTTTGACTAAAATCAAGTACAAAACAAGATGTACAAGGTGGAAACAGATCTGTACTACCAAATGTTGAAGTAGTACGTCGTAAAATATTCAATGTGGATCTATTATGACAACCGAGAAGGCATGGACGTAAAAACATTCTCATAAATTGCTTACCTAAGTAAAAGTATGGGTAACATCGAATACCTTGGAAAGTGAAACCCTGCGAACTATCTTTACGCTTCCACGAAAATAACCTTACCGTCAGCGTTCGCTTTATCATAACAACCCCGCAGACAGTTATTCCAAATATGGTCATTATGCCCATAAATATAATTTGACAAGATGGCGGACGAACAAGTGGAACGCAGTTACATCCGTCCACTTTTTGAGCGCATTTTTACGCGGTAAGTGACACTTATGATGTTTGAATTATTCCCTTGATTTTGTGAAAAAATTCAGCGATAATTTTTCTGTAATAACGCTATTATATGCTAATCGAGCCAGAGAGAGACCTGTTCAGCGACTCTGTCTTTTTAAGTTGTTTTAGTCTATCTTGAAAGACATCTCTCTCTTAAGATTGTTTTAATTTTAGCCATTTTGTCTGAGGGAGAGTAGTTATGAGAAGGACTGTTGTGGTCACCGAGGTTTAACCAACGGGGTGTTTAGCCAAAGCTATCATCAGAATTAAGTCAAAAATTGTCTATCAGTGGTATATTATAAGTCTGCTTTATGTAAACTGATTGGCAGTTTTGCTGTGATCTCATTGGCTGTAAGACCTAAGTAGCATAAGTTGGTCATGGTTGATCAGTTTTGATCTGTTAGCTGTCATTGAAAATTGCCACCACACCATGCATACAATATGACTTCTTAGAACAGATGTGTGAGTAAAAAAGTGAACACTAACAACTGGACCCTACTAGTCACAAGGGACTTATGCTTCTTGAATTTTGACTATTGTATGCTTCACTTTAGGAGGTTCCTTGGAATTCTTGCCCTTGGTCAATTGTTGTCATGGCTCGTTTGTGGTACTGGTGTATTTAGTCAGCTCTTGGCATCTGATTATGGCATTGAGATTCCAACAACACAAAGTTTCTTGAACTATTTATTATTAGGACTTATACACACAACCACACTGGCCTGTCATCCTATGGAATTTAAAAAGAGACTTACTGAAACAGGATGGAAATATTTTTTAATTTCACTCTGTGATGTTGAGGCAAATTATTTGGTTGTTAAAGCTTATCAGTACACAAATTTAACCAGCATTCAGGTGAGTCACCATCAAAAATAAGAAAATTAAACTTAATATTACAAACATAAATATTAGTAAGTGTAGGGACATTATTGTTTTGATAGTTTCTAGGAAACTAACTTGTTAACTCAGGCATCATTGTTGAATACACCAATAAGGCATATACTTCTACAGGGATAAATTGATGCTAATATTATTGCTAAACACCAAGTTTATCTTACTTCAAAGTGCCTGCTCTTCTGTGTCAAGGGCAAAGCTCTATCAAGTGCTAAAGGGCCTACACTGGTATAGCATTTTCTCAGCATTAATTTTTTTATGGGTTTTGCTATTCCTCCCACCTCACTTGATTATGCTGGTCCATTACTAGTTGCTCCCTCCATTTCACAGTTAACCAACATCCATCTATAACCCAGGCTAGAATGAGGTTCATCAAGATTTCATTGTCTTTCCCAGGAACATGACACCTCTGTCAGAACTCAAACTTGGATCTAACTTCTTCTGGAGTACAACATGCTAAACACTATATCATTGTATTTCCTTCCTTTGTAATAAACAATGGCTTAATCAGCTTATTCATATGAGGACATTTTTTCAAGTAGATCAATTGACTCTTTCTATTTTTGACAGGTCTTGGACTGTTTCTCATTAGTATCAGTTTTAGTTCTATCTTGGATATTCTTAAAAGTACGCTATCAGTTTGTCCATTACTCTGGTGTACTCATCTGTTTAGCTGGCATCGCTTGTCTTGTTATAGCAGATTACTTTGGTTCTCGCTATTATGGTCCAGGTGAGTAAAACTCAGAAATAAAAAATTTGTAAATTTATGTTTATCAGCCTAAATACAGTCAAATTATACTTTCAATTCTACGAGTGTACATCAAATGAATTCTCTTCACTTTGCACTTTTAGTAATTGATACTTTTAATCAGACAGGTGAGAAAAAAATTATTAAGTAGACACTTATCGAAAAAGATATTGTCTTGAAGAAACACCAAAGTGTCAGAAATAGGCAACTAGAGAAAGTCATCATTTGGGAGAATAAGCTCTCCAATCTTTAGGGTAAATAAGTGTGAAAAAAAAAAGATCTAAAGAAGAATTTGTGGGCAGGCTTTTTTAATAGGTTTGGGTGTGTGTGTCTCACTAATTTGCAGGTAATTTATTGAATTGCAATGCTGATTATAGTGCTGTCCATTTCTTTAAATTCTTTTTAATTCTTCTTCTCCATCCTTCCTTAAATTTTTCTCCAAAGGTTTGTTTTTCCTTCTCTTGCAGAAGGCAAAATTATTCATTTGGTTCAGTTTAATTCCTTTTTATACATTTTCATTTGATTTGCAGTAAAAATTTTCAGCAAATCTGTTAACCAATGATCTAAAATTCTTGATGTCATGTTGTATTACACACTGTATATTGATGTCTCTAATCAATATTATTTAGATTCCAAGTTGTATCAGCTGCCTAAATGTAAATGATTAAGAGGCTGATTTTCTTTAATTGATAATTTTCCTTATGATATTGCTCCTTTACAGGTAAAAATCAAGCCATAGGAGATGTTCTGGTGTTGTGTGGAGCCATCATGTATGGAATTTCGAATGTTGCAGAGGAGTTTGTAGTAAAGAACTTTAGTAGAGTTGAATTTCTTGGCATGATTGGACTCTTTGGGAGTTTTATCTCAGCAATTCAGATGTGAGTTTTATGCCATGAATTAATTATTATTATTATTATTACATTATTTTTTTGAACATGTTTGTTACTAGTTCTGGATTGTAAAGGGGCCAACCTCATTTTGTGGTGGCAAAGGCCTCAAAAGGAATCTCGCCATTATTTTTGTTCTGCCAAACTTGCATTTATTTATATGGTCAGCTTATTGTAACATTTCTTCTTAATGTATTTTTCTCTCATCAGGATGATTCTTGAAAGAAATCAACTGTCAGCCATTGAATGGGATTATAAAATTGGTTGGTTGATTGAGCTTTTTTTAACTACTTGTCTTTTGTAATGATTATATTAAATTGGTTAAAAAGATGAAATGTTATGAAACACTGATTGCTCTAAAATATTTCCTTTTTGTTATAATATATAATTATTTTATTGTAGATTACTTAGCATTTGAATGCTATTAGTGAATTAATCAAGCCCTGAATTCCTTTTCAGTTTTATACTTCATTGGGTTTGGACTTTGTTTGTTTCTGCTGTATAACCTGGTACCTGTTGCTATAAAGTTCAGCAGTGCCACAGTTGTAAACTTGTCCCTACTGACAGCAGACTTTTACAGCTTACTCTGTGGATTATTTCTGTTCCATTACAAGGTGAGTCACTTATCTCTTAATATTCACTTGACTGACCTTCCACATCGTTTATGAATAATTCCAGAGCATAAGCCAGGAAAGGGCTGTAGGGGATTTGACAAACTTGAATGCATAGACGAAGGGGGAAGAGGAAGCAAAAACATATTGTTTCCCATGCTCCAGACTCACTACATGCTTCACCCTCACTTCATACTTAACTGTTGGGTAATGACATAGCTGTGAAAATAGAAAGATGGATTTCAGACAGACTTTCTTCTTACTTCTTGATCATTATCTTGTAAATTACTCAGGGGAAATCCAAGGGTATAATATAAGGTTAACCCCTGTTGTGGACTGTTTATTCTCATCTCATGTCTACTGGATAAAGTATGGATATTTTAAGGAGATGAGATAATTATGTAAACAAGTCAAGGATGGCTGATAGCAGTTCTTTAGAAAACATTTTGTGACAGAATTCTCATCATATTGTCTTTGTTTCAGTTCTCAGCACTGTACCTTGGATCTTTAGCATTGGTAATATTGGGCGTCATTATTTACAACCTTAAACCCACACCCAGTCATCCTAGCTCTACTGTTACCCAGTTCCCCTCCTACAGACAACTCGAAGAAGACTCACAGCAAACAGACGACAATTCATCTTCTTCATCATGTTGTTGTCAAGAATTACAAACTGGTCAAGTTGATACTGACAATGTATAAAACGTGATCATTGGCAGCCAAGAAATTATTTGTTGATATTTAATGTATGAAATTTTATATACATGATATATTTAACGTGTTTCAATGTAATAGAAGTAAAGACACTTTTTTAAAAATTTTTTATTGCCCGCACACCAAAAAATTGGAAGAGAATTGATAATTATGTTCATTTTGAGACCCATAACTTTGATTGAAAGGTTTTTAGTTTCACTTTTTTTCTGGAAACAATCTTTAGGTCGTAGGTCATGGACACCGACTGAGTCATAGGAAAAGGTAACGGAAAGTCACGGAATAGTATAAGTTTGAAAAAGAACTGGAGCTTGGCTGTAATGAAGCTAGCTGTGTTAAGTTTTGTTAATTTAGCTTAAATACTCTTCTAATCATTAATTAAGATAGGAATCAATTTCACTGGCGTGAAGACACATTAACTACATATTCAATACGCTTCTTCTGTCTATATACGTCAAACTACTTGTCCCTGTCATGCATTCCTACGACATCAAATACCGTTGTTGTATCATTGAGTTTGATAAAATGGCTTTGCTTTTGTTCTACAAAGAATGCACATCACTTTCCATCGTTAAAAAGTAAATGTAGGAATTTCAGAAAATTCAAAATAAAACATGAATAGGGAAGGACAGTAACCAAATGACTTGGCCAGAATTGAGAGGAACCGACAAGTCGTAAGAGATTCAATCTCACCACAACCGCAAATACCCAAAATTCTCAGACATATTTCCCTCCTTTTCAGACTTCCGTTTTTGACTCATTTGCAACCACTTTACGTCAGTTTTTTTTTTTAATTCTAATATTTTTCTTCAAAAAACTTTACCGCTCAAAGGCCGCCGATCAAGAGTTGAATCGTAAATACGTCTTAGTTGTTTTTGTAAATTGTCAACATTCCCGCAGTTGATATCAGTTAATAAACCTAGGGCTAATAATTTCGAAGTCAGCTTTGTTCAGCAATTTCTGAAGAAGCTTTTCGCTGACCATCTTTTATACTCAACTGAGAGGTTGAAGCCCCCGACTAATGTATCGATAAAGACCATTTGATCGTCAAAGGTGGCTGAGGTTTGAGGCTTCGACCTTCTCTAACCAGGAAATTTAACTTACAAATGATCCGGTGAAAACAGGAACTGCTGATTTCACGAAGTAGTTGTTCAGTCACGGAAATTTATAAAGGCGTACTGAGTTCTTATGGTTAACAGTTCAAATATATCTAGAGCTGTATCGTATACAGTTTTTTCCTCCTATATTTTGTCGATGAAATAGTCTTTTTTTAGAGTGACTGCCCAACGAGAAAAAACCACCACAGCTAAATGTCATTAGAAACGCATGATCAACGAAAACTTTTTCCATAAATTGCGGAAAACATTGCTTTATTGCATTGTCACTGCATTGCTCAAGCTCTTTCATAGAAGAGTAAGGTATCACAGGAGTAAAAGAGGGGGGGAGGAAAGGGTTCGTTTTGGACTTTTGATGCACTCAGTTGACCTCATCGAGACCGTCGTTCAAACCAATGAGCTAATTAGGACCAATTAGGGACCAGAATATCTGGAGTGCGGTTTTGACCATAAAATAGGTAACATGCTGTTTTAAAGCTTTACTCTAAGGATCGCAATCATTGACTTAAAAAATTCCAAAGGGAAATTAACGACATTAAGATATCTCGTGACGGAAAGAAAAGAAAGTCATGGTTTATGATTTCCCAACACGTTCACATTCAGACCTACCAAAATCTCTTTAAAAAGTATTCGGAGGGCAGAGCGGAAGGGAACGCCATTTTTAGCATTTCGTGCCAACGTCATTTTCCTTGCCTTGGAAAAAAGCATTGATTAACGATCACGCATCGCAGAATTCAGTTTTATACTGTAACGAAATCACTCATTGGTAAAATCTTCTTAATTTCAAATCTATTGCTGTTCAACATGCGCGTGCTTTTTTTCGTCATATGGAATTGAAGAAATTGCAGTCCACTCACGAAGTTTTGACGTGCTTAGATCATGTCAAACTTTACTCTGTAAACTCAATCAACTATCAAACAATCGACAATTTAATTTATGATCATATGTGTGCCGTTAAGAGGCAATCATTAATTATATTGGCCCTAAACAACTGATTCCTCTGTATTTTCGTGTGGACAAGCACGACAAAGATAGATCAATGTCGTTGGTCAAATGATCAGTTTTTTTTCAAGCTGATCAAGGGACGAGGTTGCTTCATAATTTGCGAAAATATTCGGATGCCTACGGTAGATTTAGGCCTCTTTCTTCAAATATGTTGTTGATGTTTGATATCGAAACAGGATCATTTCGAAACAGGGCGAGGCATAAAACTATGCGCGTTTCCTAACGGTAGCTGGCACCTTGAATCATTTTTTTAATAAACAGTGGTGCTAGATATTCAACAGTTTCTTCACATGGGCGTTTCTTCAGGAAAGGAAATGAATTGATAAACGGCATTCAAAGCTCAAGACCCGACGAGCAGGTGAAGATTATGTTGCGTAAAAGTGATCACGTCGAAAATATCAAAGTTTGTTTGGAAATCATGATTGATTACACGCTTTTATGGGTTAGGAATTTCGGAGTGAGTTGAAAACCAAGAAAATTGGCTGAAAGTTCACCACAAAACTGTTAAGTAAAAAACGGATAGACGGTAATAAAAGGCAGAGGCATTTCGAAAAAAACAAGTTATCCAAGGCCGTTAATTTCCTATGGCACTCTCAAATACAAACTCTTCAATATTTTTCGTAGCTGCTTTTATGTAATCGACGTGGGTGTTCGCTGACTCAGCTTGAGAAAGCCAGCGGATGAATAGTGCGGCAAAGCGTTTAATTTCCTTAGCATCTACCGGACAAACCATCCAAGATATTGCTGAGTATATGTAGTGTTACGTAAAGGGACCGACCTGAAATACCAGAGCTGTGAGTGTCTAGTGTCTAAACAAACGAATGTCGAGAAAAAGTGATTATTGTGAATAAGTGTTCCAGAGAATAGTCTTTCATGGAGTGATGTACTTCGCTGCACCAACCGTAAAGTATGAGAGCTGAACAATAGGAGCAATGTTATGTCTACCTTGCATTGAAAATGAACGATTGTTTTACGAAAACGTCTGCCTTGAACTAAAAGTCATGCATGCCGTTAGAAAATAAATGACCAGCCTTTGACCAGAGAATTGCATATGTAAACAGCATTCCTGCAAAGGATCCATTGATCAGTTGTTTTCAACCTTTAACTGAGTTAGAGCAAATTTTCAGTTTACTTCTTAAACGGTTCACCCTCACCGATCTTGACGCTAATTAGTGAATGAGACATAACTTCTATTGTTACTGAAGTGTTCCACCTAAGCGGTTATTAAGTCTGATGAAGAACCTCTTCGTGTCTACCATAAAATAAAATTAAATATTCAGAGATCACTTTTCCAACTTTACAGGCCATGAAAGAGTAAGGCACCTTGAAGACCAGAGTGATAAAACTCTCCTGGTTAGCAATATGTTGAACGCATCATCCAGGGGGGTCTTTTTGTATTTCTGATTAGCCGATAATTGTCTTAATACACCTGAGAAAATTGAATAAGTAAAGACGATCGTTACGTTGGCTTATACAATTGGTAATTGTTATGATTTGAAAAGAATAAAGGCAATTATTTATATCGTTGTTATTTATAATTTGAGCAGCAGTAATTGAATTCGGACAACCTCTCGGAAAGTCCGTCTTAAATCATGAAATAATTGAGCAACTCCATGCAGTTATTGGTCAAAATGTGTCTCGTTTTTAAAGTGGTGAGATCATAGAAAACTAAAAGTTTCAAAAGCAGAAGAATGCTTATTCTATCGGTTTACCAGCATGAACAACCCTCTTAGGCTAGTTGGGCGGACACTTAACTCCGATATGAATAACCCACATTTCGGCTCTTGTTCTACAAACCTTGCATTTTGCTCCGTGTAACAACATCTGGCGTGGGTTCCAACGCCGGTAAACCTACAGAACGTGAGAGCTCTGCTCTCATGCGTTTTGGACAATCAATATAACTGTACTTCTGTACCCAAAGTTAAAAAAAAACCCTTTCTTTTCTTTGAATGGAGTTCCAACAGCATAATAACACAGAGAACTAGAAATTGCATTATTTAAACAGTAGATATATTTTTGATATCTTTAATTACCAGAGGAATGGTCATCATTGAACATAATTTTTCCCACGAAAAAAATTTGAGAACATCACGATGTCCTCTTCAAAGTTGTTTGAAAGAGCCACTATCTTGAAAGGTGATGACGTTTTCCTTAAGTTGCAAATATTTAGCTAATATTGAGTAATTTCACCGGTACAATTTAATAAAAAAGAGCGAAAGAAATCCACAACATTCAAATCTACAGGAAACAGAATTATGCAACATGACAACACTGGGTCATTAAGAAAAATTGATATTCCCATGAAATATTCGCTTGTATCTATTATTAAAACGCGTACGTTCGCGGAAAGGAAGATAAAAAGACGAGTGCAGCAATACTGGCCGGTTATTGGACAGAAAGAGTAAATGACAGATTTTGAGTGCTTGCGGGTCGGTTCAATATAAAAGTAGACTAGAATAAAATGTGACCCATTTATTACTTCAGTAGAGCTTGTAGATATTAGACGAAAGTTGCCGTCTTGGCAGAAATTCAGCATGGCGAGGAAAAGTAAGATGTTTTTATTTATCGCAGAATAACTTGGCTGGATTTATAAACAAGCTTCACATATACAAGGCGTAAAGTGCAGGTTTTTAGGGAATGATTTTAACGCCTTTCTGTGTTTTTTAATGTCTTAGTTGTTGGCGCTGCTCTTATCCTTGTGGTTTTGTGTGTTAGCGGAGAAGTAGGAGGTGAGTACATGCTTTTATAAAAATTATAGTTTTATCCTATTTCTGAGTTCATTTAGTCTGTTAACTCACTCGCAAGTTTTTTGGTTTTGTATGATGCTGTCGTGTACCAGTTACCTGGAAATTGGCTTGGCGAAAAAGTTAAATTTCAAAGTCGTATCTATTCAAGGATATTACCTCCCTGAGAGTGAACTAAATATGCGGTGAGAATTTGGGTTTCTAAAGAGACTGTTTTGTAGCATCGGCGGGGCAACTAAAATAACAGATTTATCATTGACCTCTTAGATAAGTTAATTATAACTAGAAAAAAGTCTTTTTCAGCTTCAAGTGTTTTTGTAAAGGCGCAAATTGAAAACGCATACAGCAAATTCAGGACGAGATATGATCATTGCACTCGTGACAAGAACTTTGTTCGCTCTTAAGTTATGTAAACGTTTTTTCTCCTGGAGCCATTAACCACCTTCAGATGCCGATTTCTATCATAGGTTCAGGTTGTAGATAAAATTAGAACTAATAACGAATTGGTTCAGTTCCTGCAATAAGGCAAATATTTAATCCTAGAATGAAATCAGTCTTTTATTGATCAACTCATGAAGGTTATTATGATATCGTCATTTTTGTCCAATGGACTTCGATGGACTTTCGCGGCCCAGTTTGGGAAAGTGAATCTAGCAACTTGAATTTGATGCCTCCCTCTTTGGTAAATACGACAAAAGCTTGGCAAACTTCTTTATCCCTTCTTTGAAAGATATGATAAACCAAAAAGTAACAACGAAATAAACAGTCTTCTAGTATTTGTATTGTTCAGCCATGAAGGGTGCTAATATCAATTGTCTTTCCAATGAAAATATATACCAAAAATACTCTTTGAATAAGAAAATGCCTGTGTGTTTCTGGTGTGTTTTTGAAGTTTTTAAATCGATTTATGATATTATGTTAGAGGGGTTTTTTTGCAACATTACCTCGATCAGGTTGAAAAGTTTAAAAAGTTGAAAGAGTATACAATTAGAAACTCATTGAGAGGTGAAATTAACTTTTCTTTTGTTAGTGGTTTTGGAAACTTCTGGAACGTCGCTTCCGTTAAACTCATATAGCTTCGTCTTATTGATTAAAAAAAACTACACGGGTGTTTCCTTTCAATATCTGAGAGTGGAAATCCCTTTGACTGTTGTTGCTCGATTTGGAACCACCGCCGGAAATAGAAGTTAAGCTTATTTTTAACAGAAGTGCCGCGGTAAACCACAATTGTGACTCAGTCACTAGTCAGAAATGCTATCCTGAAGCCCAGTCAAAGCTTCACGTGACAAGGAAAAGAAATAAATGATGATGTACACTTTGGTATGCAACTAAATACAAGTAAGTTTAAAGATATGGTGGAAATTAAGTCTAACAGTGCATGGAATGACGTGCAATCACTGATAAAGGAAGTTGCTATTCATAGAAGGATAGGGGAACATAATCTGATGTTTTATCAGTGGAAACTAAAATAATTTAGCTTACCCAAATTCCGCACAATATGACAACAAACAACAACTTGGAAGGCTAATAAGGTCATTCTGGGATCAAAATAATTTCCAAGTTACATTAATAATTTTTTTAACTGCTAGATCGGTTCTGTCCTGGTGCAGTAAATCCTACAATTGTTTCAAAACAGTTTCCTTTTTTATCACCAGCGGATTGACAGTATATATACTTGATGTATGTTCGATAAGTTCATGTTTCAATCCATTTTTAGTGTATGAAGACGAAATAACTCAGTCATGAAAGTCATGCATTCTGTTTCGTTAGAGCTGTTGTGATGAGTGTCAAACTGCACACAGCTAGATACTACGCATGCTCTGTTACTAGACTCCGAGACATTGGTAAAACTACGTATTATTTTGAACACTACAGGTAATATGTTTCACCTTTAAAATCAATTTGAATATTTTTCTTCACAAAAGTATTCTTTTGAAAAAGGCATCGTGAAGTCACCAGGTCAAGCGTGCTTTCTTTTCATAAAAGGTCTCATATTGTTGTAATTAATAATATTTGATTGTGAACGTGTCCTGGTCACGTGCAAAATTTATGAGCAGTGAAAATGTCTTCCTATGAGCGAAATATCGCTTGGAAACACTGAATCAGCGTCAATGGTTTTCGAAGTTTTCAAGGATGTGTCTGGGTGTGGCGATAGACAACTATCGCCATCTGAAAGTAGGTTGAACTTTGGAGAAAATTATAATGAAAAATATGCTACTCACTCTCCTTGGTGCTTGAACTGCCTTATATTGGCCAAGATTCTCGAGCCTGGCACATTTTTGTGCCGTCTTTGATGTCATAACTCTTATTAAGATAAACATACTAGAGTTTAGTGCTAGCCACTCTTCCAAGACGTCAGTGAAACAGATATAGCTGGCGTTGTTATGGTAGAAGACAGCCAAGACTTTCTTCTTGTCACGAATACACGAACTCTGGTCCGTGTTCAATTTCAACCATCTCATTTTTTCATGAAATGAAAATAGCAAATTTAAAGGCTGAAGTGTCTCAATTTATGACAACAATTCCCTTGTCTTGCTTCAATCATAACATAACCCACTTATGATTTTCAGTTCTGGGGCAAAACATTCCTTTTTCCCCGGGCCACCTACTAAAACCGGATTGAACTGAAAAGATAGATCAGCATTTTTCAATTGAGTATCGAAAATGATCCTGCATTGCTTTGGTTTTGCTTTACTTTGATCTTGCACCACAATCTCAACCAATCAAACTGTAACCAAGGAAAGTATAGCCAATCCCGACTTGGTCACTCGCGTTTTCTCGCGTGTCAACCAGGCTATCTGTTTTTACGTTAAGTTCTCACTGGTTTCATGATGACGGAAACCTTTGCTCTAAGTGGTAGTTGTGACTAATTTGGTCTTGGTTTTTTGAAACTTGATCAGTTGAAAACTGCTCTATATGCGGTGAACTCTTTAGAGTAAAGGTTACTGCATGTTGCTTCTTGGACCGGCAATGATTAACAACAAGAAAATAGTGACTCTTTTTAAACCCGCTAGTGCGTGGAGAGATATGGGTTTTGGCTGGGCTTACTTTATATGTTTTGAGCTCTGTTAACCATGCTCTATGACTGATTCATCCTTTCCTTTCCTTTCCTAGCAAATTTATGCAGTAAGAAGTTAGACATCATAATAGCAGCAGATGTGTCTGGCAGCATGGACGACAATCAATTCACACAACTACAGACATTTCTGTCGACGTTAGTGGATAACATCAAAATCTCCAAAACATCTGGTGCGCGGGTCATCGTCTTAGCCTTTGATGACCAGATTAACAGTCTGGCATCAAGCTTCAGTGATAAAGTAACAACATCTCGATCTGGGATTAAGACACAGATTAACCGCTTACAATTTACGGCTGGTTCTACAGTGATAGATACAGTAATAGAAGAAGCTAAGGATTTACTTAACTCCGCAAACCGTGATACAGCACAAAAAGTAGTCGTTTTTGTAACTGATGGTGTTAATTTTAATGGAACTGATTCACTTGTTCTCCCCGCTCAAGAATTGAGAGATGTGAGTATAGTAGAGGAAATGTTTAGTAATGTTGTAGTGTTTACTAGCCCAGTTGTAACATTGCAAATCGTACTGAATTCCATATTCCACTTGTTCGGATTCCGGATTCCATTCCATTCCTTTCAATCTTTAAAATTCATTTGATTTCGTATCAATTCAGTTCCAATCTAAGTTCACATAAACTTTAAATTTCAATCTTTATTTATAACAAAAAACTCGTTCCTAATGGAGGAGATATGGAGAGAGAATAAGAGCAAGGATGACTATAAAAAAGGATCGCAGCTATGGATTCCGGATTCTAAGCGAAAAAAGTGTCTAGAATTGGACTCCTGATTGCCTTTCATGGCGTAATAGTGGCTGTCAGTTGTTAATCGCGAAGCTTCGACTGTTGCACGGCCGTTCAACACTGTTGAACGATAAATTCAAATCATTACAAGTCTTTCAGTCAGTGTTTGCAATATCTCGATTTGCTCTTAATAATAAGGAGCAATTTTTAACTGACTACCGAACTCGAGAATAATGCGTGATGACATTGGTCTGGAAAAACCCGCACACCTCCTATCAAATGCAAAATCAAAACAATGAGAAAATTGAACAAACACGTCTCCTAGTGCTTCAGGAAATTTACATATTACTCTCTGAATTGTTGTTGGTCCTAATGAGATTTCCGTTTTTGATTAACAAATACTAGATTAACAAATCTAACTTGTCTAAGTTCTAAAATGATATCTGTTTAATTCCTCCCAGACTTTCAATGCAAGAGTTATCGGCCTAGGAATAGGCGAAGCTAACTCAGTCAACATCCCTGGGCTTCGAATACTTGCCGGGCAAAATGACCGCGTTCTTATTCTGACGTTCGAGCCCAGTTCAGGAGGCAAGTGCTGTGACGACGATGACGATGACGACGACGACCGCAAACGTCGTCGTCGTGATGATGATGATGATGACGAATGTGATGACCGCCGTCGGCGTCGACGTCGCGATGAAGATGATGGCGGGTGTAGCAGTGGTGTTAGTAACGAGCTCAAAAATGTTATAAAGCTAATTTGTTACGGCTGACCACGAAAAGAGATACAGAAGTAACTCAGCTTGGCTGATAATTCTACAGAACAACGCGAAACGACATAGAACATATTTCATGATGTTTTTTTTGCTCCAAATGTCACAAGAGTGAGTTTATGGATGTTTTCATTCGAGACTGTTTCACTATCAACACCACTCACTCCTTCTAATGGGCAAACTGTAGATAAATAACGTGAAAAAAAGTTGTCAAAAATTGCCAGAGCCTGCGATTGTAATAACTCCTGACCTTAGCATTCAGTTGATTAATATCATATGTTTGGCGGAGTAAATTGTTGAGATAAGTTTAGTATTTATTTATATAAAAAAAGGCCCAACACTGCATTAGATATGTAAGAATAACATTGCATTCATTAGCTTTTAGCGCGTCTTTAGGAACATCGACCAGTTGGACCTGTTACTATCTGGAACGCTGGATATTGAATTATTTATCATTATGATATTTGACAAATCCAAATTTAGCTTGGACGAAAAAAATCATGTATGATGCAGATTAACTCGACTGTTAAGATTAGTACTCTTTGAAAGGAAATGTTATGAAGTCGAATTGAGCGAGAGGTAAATTTGTCACGTTGAAGAGTCTTGATCATGCGTGAAGTCAGTGATAGCAGAGTGCTGTGATAGACTGCTACTTCAAATAAAACCGGTTCTCTCTTCAAAAGAATTAAATTTTCTTGTTTGCCATTCCTGTTCAGTGACCTGAGCTCTTTGATTCATTTCATTCTTTGTAAAGAGCACTCGTGCCTGAGAACAAAAACAGTCTGAAACCACAACAACAATAAACACATTCGGAAAGACCGTTATGACGGCATAGCGGGATTCAAAATGATGGTTAAGCGAGATGTGAGGGCGCCTATCGTGTATTCTTTAAATGCAAGTTTCTTTATTTGGACTCTCTTCCGGCTGTGCCCTGTTTGAACTCTTATGAAATTTTGTATTCAAAAGTATATTCTTGTAAGCGACCACGGACATAACTAGAGTCACGATTTAGGATGTTCCTTCATTTCTAAATTTCATCTCTATGCTGCTAGCTCAAGCTAATCAAACTTTTTCCGCGTCCCATGGTTGTCCACGGGAAATTACATGTCACGAGTTAAAATTTGTTCCAAGCAAACTGCCCCTCCTCTCTGAACCCAATCAACCTTCAGTATGGGTCTGTTTGCCTCATTGATATATACTGGCGTAATCTAGTCCTTGCAGACATATCAAAGATGCTCGATTGAAATGCAGGGCCGGATTAAAGTTAGAATCTTTCTTTCACGTTTGAGTTATTAGAACTACTTCCGAAAAGAAGAAGACGTTTATAATACGTTTTCACAGTTTTTGAGAAGGCGGAATCCAATTTTTTTTCATTGCACTGAAAACGGCTAAATGTCAGAAGAGTTTTGACGCTAATGCGTGGAATCTCTGACCAGACTAACTTGAACTGGGAGTATATAATTTGGATTATGTAGTCCTGCCTCACCCAAAAATTAAATCCAAATAATTCACCAGCAAACTGACATGAATATATCCCGACGTGCTTTCTTGTAATAACCTAAGGCAGCAGAAAACCATTGACTCTTACCTAATGACACCCTTTGAACGAAATTTTTATGACTGACTCTGTGTCTTCCTACGTAGCTTCAATAAGTCTGCAACACTAAAAACTTGAAAGGAGCTATTTACTTCGTGGAGTGCTTTAGCCGTAAGTAGCACTGGCTGTAGGCCGTAGGCTCCCTGACAACGAATGCTACGATACCCGCGAGGGCCTGAGCACAAAAATAACTCTTGTAACGCCTGGCAGTAAATCGTGTGAACAAATGTCAACATGGCTACCGGTGGAGGGCAAATTATTAACGGTAAAATTCAAGCAGTAGAGGAGGAGACACAGTATGGAAATCGAGCGCGAATTTTCCGGATAAACAAAGATCTTTTGGTGCTAAAGCTTTACTACTTTTTCGCATTTAGTGCGAAAGCTTGTATCCAACCATTCTTTCCGGTGTTTTTACGCCACGTGGGATTATCAGCTGAACAGACCGGTTATGTGATCGGACTGCAACCACTGGCAAATTTCATTGGAGCACCCATCGCTGGCGCTTTAGCGGATAAATATCGAAAACATAGAGTTGCAATGTTAATTATGTGTATCGTTTCTTCTGCTCTTCGATTTTCTTTGGTGTTTCTTCGACCCAACGAGGAACTAAACGCGGCGAAGAACTTTTGTAATAATAGCTCATTTTCTAACATAACTGGAAAGGAAAGGACCGTACTTAAAAAAAATTATTCTATGATTCCAGAGAATTATTCATCACCTTTTGTGGATAAAAACTGCACAGATGATTTCGTTGGAAATACAACAGATATCGTCAAAACTACAGCTAGTCGGGACAACTACAATATGTTTGTTCTTATATCTGTTCTTTCTTTTGTATGGTCGCTATTCGATGGCTCGAATTCCATGGCTGATGCAGCCACTGTTAAGTACTTGACAGATATTGGCAGAGGCGGTGACTATGGCAAGCAAAGGCTGTGGGGTGCTGTAGGATGGGGTAGCATTGCAGTTTTGTCAGGGCTCACAATTGATCAATCCTCCCAGAATTCAAATCAGAGTCAGTTTTTCATAGCATTCTGTGGTTTCCTGTTGTTTAGCATTGCAGCTTTTGTAACAGTGTTTAAGTTGCCATTGGAATACTTAGGGGGTGAATCCAAGCCTAAGATTTTCCAGAATGTGTTCATCATTCTCTCTGACTGTCGCATTGTGACATTTTTGGTGGGGATTCTCATCATGGGAGCATGTTTTTCAACAATTGGTGCCTTTTTGTTCTGGTTTATTCAAGACATGAATGGCAGCCATTTGTTAATGGGACTAACTCTTTGCATGACATGTGTCTCAGAAGTTCCTGTTATGTTTTTTTCTGGGAAGTTAATTAAATGTATTGGCCATCATGGTGTCCTATACCTAACGTTTGTGTGTTATACAATTAGATACGTGTTGTACTCATTCCTTCACAATGCCTGGTATGTATTGGCTGTGGAACCTTTACATGGTGTGACATTTGGAGCAATGTGGGCAGCTACAACTTCCTATGGGGGTCTTATTTCACCTGAAGGGATGCGTGCAACAGTGATGGGTTTGGTTATGGCAACGCATTTTGGTCTGGGAAAACTTATTGCAGGCTTTGGTGGAGGGGCCATGTACAGTAGTTATGGACCAAGAATTCTTTTTAGAAGTCTGGCTGTAACAAGTGCTATCACATGCTTGCTGTTTGCTCTTTCGCAGAGGTTGATTAAGAGGAAATCACAAGTGCATTATTCAAACTTTCACAATGATTCTCAAAATGACAGTACTTGGGATGCAGAGATGAAGGAGATAAATTTAGATTCAGGTGATGAACTTTGATTTTGATTCAGTTTTTTTGTATTCACTTTGTTGAAGTGTATTGTGGAAAGTTGTAAACAATAGTTGACTTTTTAACTTGGATAAATTAACCAGAAACAACGTTCAAGAGGCTGTTATGTTAAGGATCTAATTTCAGAAGGTTTACATGTAAGTGTAAGTGAAAAGTTAACAGAAAAGTGAGAGGATCATTTTGTATTGAGCAAGCTCAATTTGTGTTGAAGAGTGGAACAGCACTGTATGCAGTTTGGATTTGAATTTGAAAGGTAGAATCTTGACTGCTTTTGGTTATTGGGTACTTTTTAGTGTGGTTTGTCTCTGACACTAAAGGGTGATCCATGCAGGTGTTGTGGAATTTAGGTCATGAATTTTTTTTTTTATTATTCTGATATATTCAAGTGAAAGGATTTGACCAATAAATTGTAAAATAAGGTTGTAGTGTGAGGAGCAGGGCTGGTTACTTTTACTTTGTGTCAATAAGAAAATTGTGTCATATTTTTAAAACTTAAAGGTCAAAGACACTGTGGATGTGTTGTGAAAGCTACTGGTACAATTTTGCCTGACCTAGATATTTTGGTAAATACTCTATTTCAAACAAGATATTGTTATTATTACAGTGTACATTAAAATATTATTAATTTTTTAGTGGGTGAAAGTAAAATTCAGTGAAAGATTTGACTAGTACACATTTTGTGCCAATAAATAATGTATTTAAAAAGAAATTATCACAACCTCTTGTGTACCATGTTATTGGTACAAGCTTGAATGGTTACTGCAGCTTAACTATATTTGAATCTCTCTTTATGATAAATAGTCAATATGCCCATTTTATATTTGATATATATATATATATATGTTCCCATTCCTGTCTCCCTAATTTCATTGAAAAGTCTTGTCTTCCCTTAACTCAGACACTGCTGTACCATTAACCATCTTAGAATATCTGCAAAATAATAATAAGAGGTTGTTAATATGTTGCTGATCTGTTAAAGTTTTATTAATTCAACAGCATTTTTTTATTTATTATTTTAAACGTAGTTGTTGCTTGCACCACTAAGCCCCAACTGACAAAATGATACAAACGGTACTTACATTACAGATTTACAAAACTTTAAATGCTAATATTAATCACAAAAATGACATTACTTAGAGCACAATAATCTATTAACAATACACTATAGACTAAGAAACAAAATTACTTCACAGGCACTGTCAAATTTGTAATACATCATGCATTATTGATATTATACAAACACCAATGAAATACCTAGTGAGCTTTTGTTATCTTTACACGTGAAAAGATCGCTGTTGCTATGGTTTTTGTACTACTTTTAAAAAAATTAAAGTGACATGATCTAGTATTTCATTGGTGTTTATATAATAAATAGAATATTACATGGCTGTTTGGAGACACAAAATTTTTTATGGGTTGAAAAAAATTCAAATTTGTACCTCCGCGCGGTCATTGTAAAATCCTCTATGTGTATATGCGTATAAGGATAAATTAGTGGAGGAGAACAAACAGCAACAGCCACAACAACATCAGAAGATTAAAATTCAACTAGGGGAAAGTTTGGAGAAATTTTCCATTTCATTTTTAACACTGTTATAAATTTTGAAATGATTTACAACAGCAGTTTTAATTTTGGAATGAACGTATCAAAGTAGTCAGCCACCTTGAGTTTCTGTATGGATTAAAACCCTTGCTTGTCTTGTCTTGATGGAAATTTTGCGGGGTTCAATATATGCGGCCTGTCGTCGATCCGCTAACGCGGAAACCCGTAGAAAGGAAAATCCCGCAAAATAAAACGCGCGTTACTCTCTTCAGAATAACTTGTGAAAAAAGGAAATTTTGAAACATTACCATGTTTTATGTGCTGGTGTTTTGTTCATAAACATAAAGTCGCAAGAGTTAGTTCTTGATAAGAAATTTCATAATAATTCGTTTCCACAAAACACAAAAAATCGCCAACGCGCGCAAAATAAAATTTCCCGCAACGTGTTCGTGCTAGTCGTCTACTTTCAGTTTGTCAATCCACACACCACGCCACTGTATAGGGGCAGTTACTTAAATTGCCAAAAACCAACATGATATAAATATAATACCTGTCTAATCGCACACTTTGCCCAGCACTTCTCGAATATGGTCGGCGAGATTTTCAAATCTGTCCACAAATACGTAATGGTCTTCCCCAGCCATAATTATAAGTTCTGCCAAATCCGCTACCCAACCAATACCGACTGCAACAATTTTTGCGTAGGATGATTTCTGGTAAAAAGCATTAAGGTTAACGTTAATAAGGCAGGAAAAAAAATCCATATTAACTACGCTACACTCCGTTACAAAGTGATTTCTTTCAAGGATACTTCTCGCAAAGAGTAGGGCGTGTAGCTCCTGGTGTTACGGTCTGGCCTTGTTATTTTTTATACAGGCCCCCTTTGAAGCTGATCTGGGCCAGGCTGTCTAAATATTTCAAATAAAGTAATAAATAAACTGATCCTTTAGGTTGTTAGACCTTACCGGTAAATTCAGGGGGGGCTCACTTTAGCGTAAGGCTATAGAAGAGATTCTTCAACAAAATAAGGGGGGAGGAACAAACTTGGTCAATTGGAATTTCCGAGTTTACCTGGATGCTTTCCAATCTCATCGCTCTTCAAACCAGAGGTGAGGCCTTATGCACCTACGGACAGCCCTCCCCCCTTCCTTCTAAAAATACCTTTAGAGCAGCAACAGGTGGCTTCAAGTAATCCATGCCGCCGAAAGTCTTGCCATCAGTCAGCACTAAAACACACCGAGGTATGTCGTGGTAGTCACGAGCACCATTATTTGGCCTGTATAACCAATAGGCACCCCATAAAGCTTGGTCAGAACGGGTGGCTCCTGAGGGGTACGGCATGCTGTCAAGTTTCATATCAAGGACAGATGAGTTGTGGTATATTGTGTCGTTAAAGGTGAAATCCATGTAAACATGATGATCGTAGTGGAGGCAAGCGAAATGAGTACCGTTCGTGGAAACGTTGAAATAGTGTGTGAATTCTCTCAAGAATGACTTAACGAGCTGAAAAGATTTGTTTCCGATGCTCCCAGAAGCGTCGACAACAAAGGCAATGTCCAAGGGTTTTTTACAATCTGAAATATGGAGACAAAGTCATGTTAATATAGAGCACATGTCCTAAAGGGTTTGATTTCCTCATAGCTTTTACATATAAGGTGGACATTTGACCTATTCCTTGAGTCTGAATTCTTCCGAAATTCAGAACGTGACTAAATATGTTGTTTGGTATATTTGTATGAGGTAGATAATTTGGCTTCTTTGTCAAAGAGGATCTTATGGTGATTTTAATGTTACATTACCTAGAGGTATTTAAATTGACAGAAAATTCCATCTGAGATTGATTAGCAATGACAAGGGTATTTTCTAATTCGCTACTAACTTTTCCGTCGCGTATGCGTAAATTCCAGCATGGATTCATTCGTATATAGCTGCATATGACTGGTATGGACGAAGTGAGTGTGCTCGTTGAAGAAAATGAAAATCGCTTTTCTGTGCATGGTGAAATAAATAATTCCTTACTTATGGTTGTATTTGCTTTAGTTGGCTTAGCTGTTGATACAGCTGTTATTGGCTGAGTTGTAACTGGTTTGCTCGTGGTTGCCTCTGTTGTTGGTTTAGCTGTGACTGCTTTAGTCGGAACTGGCTCTGCTGTGGTAGGCTTGGATGACATAGCCATGACAAAAAAATGAAGCAGCAAATACCAATATTGGTTAGAAGTCAATTAAAGGAGGGAGAAACTGAATAATAAAGCATAAACCAAAACAAGGACATCCCTGTTAATTAACAACTCCCCGTGATAAACATCCAACTCTTTAAATAATCAAACGGGGTAAGTTTCTTAAGAAACTGTGGTGCTTCGTCGTTGGGAGAGTACAACAGGTAATTTAGTGTTAACAACTGAGTTGAAAACGTAAATTGGCTACCGTGAAGAGTTTAAAGGCTGACGTTTCGAGCGTTTACCCTTCGTCAGAGCGATTGACGAAGGGCTAACGCTCTTACGAAGGGCTAACGCTCGAAACGTCAGCCTTTCAACTCTTTACGGTGGCCAATTTACGTTTTCAACTCAGTTGTTAACACTAAATCATCTGTAAATAATTAGTTTGATAGTTTAATCACGTGTATATCATAATTGAGCAGTTTTAAATTGAGCGTGGAAAAAAACCAAAACCAACATAATGCCAGTGACCTATCAGAATTAAGGTTTAGACTATCAGTAGCCAATAAGTACTCAAAGTAAGAGCAAGCAAACTATTTGAAGCGCGAGAAAACGCAAATAATCTTGTCGCGATTGTTTTTAGTTTTGAATCTGATTGGTAAAGAAGATGGCGGTAGTCTTCTTGGCCAATCACAGAGCAAAGCTAAGTAAAACCAAAGCAAACCCGCGTTAGTTTCGACACTCAATAGCTACAACAGTGCTATCACTTGCTCTCGGGTGTCACCTTTTCTTCACAAGTGTGAATTCTGTACGTCTTATACTAAAAATAACAATCACACTGTTTATTAATCCATTTCCCACATTGAAAGTTCGTGGCTTCTCTTTCAGTCACACTTACTTCTTTTAATTCATAAATGAAGTTTGTCCAAGTCTTTCCACTGCATATCCTGTGAGGGCCCATCTTTTGACACGTTCGGAATTTTAAGTCTATACAACTTCTTTTCTCTTTAAGCGGACGAACAAAGTAGTCTCCTGCCCAGCATTCTCCATAATATTGAATTCCAATGTACTTGTAGCCCATCTCTTTGGCTTTTGTCGCACAATTACAAATTAAACTAATAACAAAAATAGAAAATAAAAACAACAGGTATAACCAAACAAAAAAAGAAAACGAACATACGAACGAGTATAAGAAACTAGGGTCCCAATCACTTAGCAAAATAAACAACAACTGTGCATTTAGAGACTAATGCTTTTTCGACTGGTCACGAGAGTGGGACAAAGGAAGTCTTCATTAGGAATTGAGGCTTACTCACTCTCAAAGGGGAAAATACAAAACGAGATATGGTAACATTTGAGCTCTGTCATAAAATTAAAAAATGCTTTCCACCTTGTCATAAGCGGCATACGAAGAAAAAATTCTAAAATTCTTCCTTCCCACGAGGAATCGAAAATATATATGTTTTTCAACTATTACAGGACTTGCACAGTTGTCCGAGACATAGTACCGCTGATTAACTAAATTGACTGAAAAATATTGTACTCTCCCAATGCATTCAAGATTTTGCCTGTGAATAAAAATGCCCGACTTCCTGTTTCAGTGTCCTAAAGTACACGCCCAAATGGAGCCCACTTTCAAAGTGAACTTTAATGGGGCACTCTCTGGAAGTATTGCATTGTTGCCAGGATACATAAAAGAGGTATTATCACTTTGAAACATAAGTGACATGTGACTACCTCGAGAAATTCTCAGCTTAATAATCGTTAAAATAATTCATATCATTTTTACCAACTGAAGATAGCTTTACTGCTCAAAATTTCTTTGTACTTCACCATCTGAGAGAAATGAAGCTTACTTAACTCAAGTTGTTGCAATTACCTGGGAAGGTATCTCGTATAGTTTGCCCAGAAGCCATCTGTGCCACGTTGGTTCATGATGAGATTTGGAAGAACTCTCTCTACTCCATAGTCTTTATAACAGCCCATGGCTGTAGGACAACCTCGACCACGTGCTAAATAAAAAAAAAAAGAACGTCCTTACATTGAGACATATCTTCCATGTCTTCCCCTTTTCTCAATCTTACTTTTACGTTCAAATTATACTTCCAACCGTTTCAAATATAAAAATATTAGTGCCATGACCGAACGCTTTTTTTTACTATAATGGTTTTTTTCCTTGTATCGACTTTATCTAGAAATCAAGTTAAAAGCTAAACATTACACCTCTCATTCTTTTTAGTGTCAGCAAGATACTAGAACCTGATTTTTAGAGTTAGGAGGGTAAAAATATACGGCGTATTTTTAATTTTTTAATGCTCAGAAGCCGCCATGATCACACTGGAGAGATACTTCAGTGAAATAAGGCATATTATTGAAGAGAGATATCCGTAATTTTAAACTTTAGTTATCATAACTTAATACTCACCCTCGTGTGTAAAAGATGCGAATACGAAAACTATAACCCAGACCGGAATTGTGCCCATGATTTACAGTTCTATGCTAAAAGTGATGGTGCGCTACCAGTTGGTTTTCTAATGGTTGTTTGATTGAAAACTGTTAATAAATCCACTTAACGAATCGTCCATTAAGTGCTGGGTTTTATTATATAAAGGCCAAGAACAATGACGTGAATCATCACTAAGAAACCATGGGTTGTTTTTGAAACTCTCGCTCTTGATAACAAGGGTGGAAAGCCTTAAAATCATGGGCGAATCGTAATGGTAGCGGGGGAGTTTATATTGTAGCAAGCTTACTTCAGATTTACCCTTGAGTTTTGACGTAAATGGTTGTGGCCTAAAAATTATCAGTATACCCAGTTAAACGATGCAGAAGATAAATCTCATCTCAAGCTATTTGAGTTCAGGTTTCAAAGTATGGTAGCATTTTTTCTAGCGGCCGTACATAGCATGTTTGGAAAAAGTCTAAATGTTTTATTTCCATCTATTTCTTCTGTAAAACGTAATTTAGGTTCCTAATAGTTCACCAAAAAATATATTGGGTAAAAATGAGATTGTTGTATCATAAAACTCTATTTATAGCAGCTCTAATGGTGCTAATAGACTTGTTACACATTTTTATCTTTCGGAGATTTCCAAAAACTGTTGACTAGTTTCCAAACATTTTTCTACACAAGTTAGTAGTGTTTATTGGAATAAACATTTGAAAAGCTCTAATCTGATGTACATATACCCAACAGTGATGGTGAAGAAAAATTGAAAAAGAATTTGGGTTTGATGATAGGGCATTGCATTACCTTCAGAAATAATTGGGGGAAAAGGTCACAAGAAATTGAAAAATAAGTGAAAAGAAACAGTTAAACTGAGAGATAAACGAAAGGTAAGTTTTTTTGCGAAAATATTTCTTGAACAACAAATTTACGTTCACTCAGGTATAATGATGCATACACGTGCAGTCCTTTGAAGTCACAATACACATGAACCTATCAAATGGTTTATTAACCCTTTAACTCCCATGAGTGACCAAGACAGAATTTCTCCTTACAATATCAATACAATATCAACCAGATAAGTGAGGAGAATAAGGAAAAATATCAATTTGGGGATAATTAGTTGATCCAATACTAAATTCTCTGAACTAGTATTAAAAAAATTGTATGGTCGATAATAAGGAGAATTACAAATTTGATCTGGGAGTTAAAGGGTTAACTCCCTATAATCGAATTTCCATTATCTAAGAGGTAATTCTCCTAACAGGCAAACATTGCTGAACAGAGCTGAGAATTTGACATTACTTCCCAACAGAATCTCTTGGTGAAAATTTTCTCAACACCTGCCTGCTTGACTATGTGTATGAAAATTGAATTGTGAACTTTCTTGGGCTTCAAAGAATCAAATCTTGACTGCTGATGTTAACAGCGATTGTTGCACGTGCGTACGCCAACGTTTTTTCTTCTTCGATGAGATGTTTATTTCTTTAGTAGATTTAACAGCTTTACTTTGCTTGTTAAGTTTTAATGAAGCCATTGAAATGCTTAATAATGATTTTAGTTTCCCTAGAAATCAATGATGAAATATTAACATATTGAAGAACGTTCCTGACGTAACCACATAATTAACCAAATTCATCTCACGACTAGGATAAGATAGGCTAAACTCAATCGTTTTATCTGGTTTCTCTTTTTTTGTTTGTTTAATTAGGTTTTTGCATTTTAAATTTGGGAGACTTTGAAGCAAACCTGTTAAAGATGTGGTCTCACCTGAGAAATTTTACCAAGTCATTATACTTTAAGAGACCATATATACAGGCTACTTAGCTAATTTCATTCTGCCGAAACAGAACTGACATATTTCTTCCAAGAACAAAGACTCTTTGTTGTCATCACTCACGGATATTACGATTAGTTTAGAAATATTCCAATTACCGTACAATGTAGAATGTTGCGACCATAATCAAATCTTTTTTGCATAATATTGGGTTTATCCGGAGTACTAACTTTACGATACATGCGCTTGTGTGTTAGCGAGAACGCACACATTCACTTCAAGGGCAGTGTTAACTCGAACACTGACTCAGCCTTGTGCTTGTTGTCTTTGCAGCGTTAAAATTTAATAAGACGAATGAGTTAGACCTCCATCATAATTTTGTCTTTGTAATTTATTCATTCATTTCATGCAGTAAATTTTGTTGTTTACACTGACCCCGGTGATTGTGTTTACTTTTACCTACTGACTAATGAGTTCTTTTCTACCCTGAGCAGATTAAATTAAACCATTTTGTTTTCATTTCTGAATAAACTGGATCGTCCTCTACGTGAGTATAATTTTACAACAGCTATTGTCCTCAACTTGTGTTTAAATGACCGAAATTCCTTTTTGAAAATTCATAATTATCGTGAAGGTTCAGCGGTCATGGCAAGGAATCACTCAAAAGTTGTTTTAGTATTTATTAAAACAGTGAGATAATATAGCACAAAAATATGATTTCAACTCATTTATTCCTGCAAAGATTATAATATTTTCGGGCGTAAATCCCGCGCGAGCGGCACGGAGGTGAAAAGCAAAGGTTATTCGGTTCTTGAATAACCAATCAGAGCGAGCATCTACCACTATTCACTGTTTTATTGTATACTTTACAAAAATATTACTTGCAAATGAAATGAGTCGCTGTCAAATGGGGTCAACTATTGATTAAATCAATCGAGAGATGAAACTAGTTCCTCTTGGGCTCATTTTTCGTATAACCTTCTTCTCGGTCACTGCTGTCACCCGTTTACCTTTTCTCCTTTCTAATAGCGTATAAAAGGTGTGTTTTTATTTTTTTTGACTTAACATATATTTCGTTCGTGTCAATAAAACCATTTTCTATTTGGTACTAACTAACTTGTTAATTCCAGAATCAGGGACTCGTGAATAGTTATGACAATAAAATTCTGAATTACCTAATGCTTTTTCGGCGCTGGCAGGTACCCTTGTGTTACTTTAATATGGGGAATACTTGCGCACAAAGACTACATATTTTCAGCTACATGCATTTTACTTTTCTGTTTTCGGTTTAAGAGCAGATCACCTTATTTTTGTGTTATTTATAAACGCTTTCAAAAGTCAACGAGTTCTGACAAAAACTTTTTCTTGGTCGTTTTGTCTGCTTTGTTCTCAATTTTTAATAGGGCTTTATTTGATATATATGAGAATAATTTCATACCTTAGGTGCGTCTGTTCACTTCAAGACTCACCTCCAGGTTAGAATAAAGCAGCCGCTTTCTGGAAAAGCGTTAAAACGGCTGAGTTACTGTTCAACTTTGTCTAGACTTATTCAAGTGTCGAACATCTGCTTATCGCCGATATCTTCAACGTAGGATTTGCATTAGAGCGCTCAATAGCTCATGAATATAGAAATGGCTATAAAAACAAATAGGTGTAAAAGCCGCCTGCGGGACTAAGGGTGACTTACCATACTTTACAGGTCAGAGTTGGCACCAGTCAAAAGTTTCTCAAATGAGGATTTCCATTTTAAGTATTAGGATTAGAAATTGTCAATGCTGATTCCATTTGCCATGGCATTCCAGGAACACGCTATAGCAAATGAGTCTGCGGTTGTCACCTTCAACGTCACAAAAAGCCGCAGCTTTTCAACGGAGAGCTTCTCGTTTAAAGTTTTTAAACTGTTTTGTTATTCGCTTGTCTTTGTCTTGGGCGTCTTGGGAAATGTTCTGGTTTTCCGAATGGTCATGAAAAGAAGAAAACTGCGAACTGTTAGTAACCTTTTCATTTGTAATCTTGCCGCAGCCGACATCGCTGTCCTCACTGTGAATCTTCCATTTCGCTTGGCATATCAAGAAAATTCTTACATTTGGCCTTTTGGTGCCGTGTTATGTAAGACAATACCGACGTTAGCTTACGTTTTTATTACCGCTTCATCGATGACTTTGGTTCTTATGACTATAGACCAATATCGAGCTATAGTCAAACCTCTGGGTAGAAGATTTACCGTAAAAACCACCAAATTTGCCATTATGTTAATCTGGACTTTTTCTGTCCTCGTTGCTCTTCCGTTCAATTTTGCGCTTAGGGTGGTGAAACGACGGGACAGTCAGCCGGTTTGCACAGACGCCTGGCCCAGCGACAAGTTTGAGCAATTCTACTTTTTGAGCCTATTTGTGGTGCAGTTTGTTATACCCATGACAATAATTGTGTGCTGCTATACTCTCATATGCGGCCATCTTAACTCGAAAACGAGACTAGACCACCTTACATGCACGTCAACTAGGCAACGCTCAGATCGAAACAAAAAGGTAAGACCAGCCATTTTGAAAGACTTTTTAAAATATTCTGATTTATCTTTGCAATTGTAGGAGATTTGTAAAAATTTTGTTAACCACCATCTCGATCATTCTCAGCCAGTTATCTTATGAAAGAGAAATGGGTCATCAAAGTTAGCTTTTATTTCCAGCATTTCAAACAAAGATGTCGAAGTAACCGTGATACGTACCCTTAATTGACTGCAAATGTATTGTTTCGTTTTTCGACTTATTTGACCTTAAAGGCACTGGTTATTCTATTGATAAAGCTGGCAAGTCTACTCCAATATTGGTGTTGAAATAAAGAGTAGGCTTTAATGAGCCGACATCTGGATCAAGAGAGTTACTATTAATAGTCACTCAAACCGATAGAGCACGGTGCCCGAATCGCAGAACATTTAGGACTGAGAGCTAATATTCTACAGATTTTCCATAAAAAAAAATACACAGACGTTGCGTTTAAAATAATAACCTCGTGAAAAACTATTACACTAAACATTATTTTTTTTTCTATAGGTGATTAAAATGTTGGTCGTAATAGCAGCTGTGTATGCTCTTTTCACCTTGCCGTATCACATAACGTGGCTGTTAAGTGTGTTTGGTTATCCGAACTCCGTTGCAAAGAAACTTTGCGTTCTGTTAGTAATAGCAACCAGTGCCGCTCATCCAATCATTTACGGAACGCTGAACCAAGAATTCAACAAAGGATTCAAAGCGTTTTTCAGATGTTTGAGGCAAAAAGAGAATGACGAGTATCGGCTGGACAGTACAATAGCCACCAGGAGATTGATTGGAACAACCATACGCATTGATCACGTGAAATGGCGAGATATTCACAAAAGAAAACAAACAGAGGAGGATGAAGAAGTTGAGAAACAACTTGTAACTTGCGTATGAGAGTTGTGGGAAACAGAGAAAGGACGCAGTAAAATAATCCCTACCGTCCGAGGAGAGAGATAGAGGAAAATCAATAAAACGAACAAAAAATAGGTGCGCTCCCTAAAAAAACTCTCAAGTACGTAGGGGAGTATTTAACAAACGATGAGATATGAACTGTCCTGAAAGAACCCACTGGCATACAGTCTTTTGCGCGCGGAGGCCATTGTAACATTGAATTAAACTGCAACCTATAGTGTCCATAGTTTGACGATCATGATCATATTCAATATGATAAGAAAGGAAATTGTAAACAAACGACTAAAAGAAAAAGATAAGAGCTGAGTTTTGCTACGAAACGAGAAATTTAAATCAAAAACAGTTTTTACCATAAGAAGACGCTGTCGAAAGCATTAACTCGAGCCCGCTTGAGGAGTATACAAGGAATGAGGACTGGGGCTAGTTCTTTTCTTGAGAGCGTGCGCGTAGGTATTGGCGCCATTTGAGGGGTAAAGGGAGTGCCAGTTACTGACTGCCTTTGCACTGGTAGATGAAATGACAAATGATAGGGATTATGGGACCTAATTAAAAAAACTAAAAATAATAATGTACTCAATTTGAGAAAAAGCCTGATATGTTTTATAATCATAAGTTCACATAAATGCAAAAATTATGTGTATCTTTACTTTGAGGAGAGCCACTTATTGGGAGCTAATTGCTTGGAACCTCTATACGTGCTGTACGCTTGAGTATGTCAATGAATCAAAAGCTTTTTTTAAGCCAACACAGTATTCATATCTCTCGATGGCAGCCTCGAGCTCACCATGAACAATTACCACTATACCTTGTACTGTATCCCAGCTGGTTATTAAGTTTTGATATTGTGAGCATTGTTGGTAATTCAGTTAGGAGTACACTGTAAAGAAGATTGTCTTGCTAGTTGTAACAAACTACTCTAAAATTCATTTCCAGTATGCAATACTAGTTTTGAGTCACCAAAATTAATCAATATTCCTTTCATATTGTGTTATGATGTTTTTTTGTTCTGATCACAAAAACACGTTTCACCTCCTATTTCACTATCCAAATCAATTTCGCAAAATAGTAATTTGAAAGCAATTACTCCGGCTTTTCACCCAGCGGTAATGATGAAGCCATTCTCTTGTCACTCAATAGCTTTGGTAATATATGTGATATATTTAAATTTATTTTTGTGGCATGAACAAGGTCACATTGTCACCGCAGGGTGAAAATAGTCGATTTCGCAGAATAGAAACTCTTCTTAAATGACTACTTTGCGAAACGAATTAAAATCCTCCTTAACGATTAAGATTTACTCCAAAATCCTTATGAAAGTTATCTTTACTTTAGTAGATAATATGCCGCATTATTCCTTTAGTTTCGCCATATTTCGCTTGGTTTCTTTTCGTTTCGCAAAATAGAATTTGCCTTCCCTTTCGACATCGTGGAAACAGGATTCTACTTCGAGAAACGAGGACGACGGTATGATCTCGTCCCCAGTTTCCACGGTCTACGCAAGGAACGCCTGGGACCATGACCCCACTTTTGGCGACGAAACACGAAAAAAAAAAAAACAGCCTGCAGCTTAAGACTCTCGCCGCTTGCGGCAAGACTCGAGTCTTGGCTCATTGAACTTCTTGACTTGTCATGTCCTTAGCTCCATGATCGTTTCCCGTCTCTGTTCACGGCACATTAGAATTATAAGATGCTATTTGTAAGATGAGTACGAGGAATCCATTAAATGGTGTCTCCCAAACTGTTTTTTATAAACCCTAGGTCCTTCATTAAGCTGAGTTTTGATGTAAATTTGCGACAGTTACTCCTGATATATTTGATGATGCCGATGTAACACTTGAGATTACAAAGCCTACAGTTGAAAATTGCATTTTTGGCCTAGATAGTTAGATGTCAATAGCTTTACTTTTAGCTAATATGCCTTAATTTGACTTATCTATCACATACTGAAAGCTGATGTACATCTAGGAGTCAAGTCTATGACTTAGAGTAATGTCATACAGCGTCGTCCCGTCCGCCGCATCGCAAGTATCTACAGTCAGACATGTCCCACGCTAATTTGCTTAAAACCTGTTCTTTCAAGGCTTTTTCTTTGTCGATTTTAGAAGTCTCCTTCGCAGCTTTCCCGAGCAATTTTGGATTATCTTTGTGCCTTCTCACTATTCCTGCTCTTTGGTTTCCTTCACTATTGTTATTCGCATCGTTATGTGAACTCTCCGATCCAGCTCGTTGCAGGTATGGCGAAATGACACCAGAACTCTGTCGACGCGGGACTTTCAATGAGTCCTTTGCATCACCGAAGTGTTGCAAAGAGAGCCTCCTCATTTTGTCAGCTGCAGTTTTTATTTCAAGCTGCCTTATCATAACTTGCTCGGCTACTTTCTCTTCTTTCTCTGAGAGAGTAGAATCTTCGTTGCCCGAAGTTAAGCCTGTGGTTAAAGAAGCACTCCGATTTTTCCTTATGCAACTCGTGACACTTTTCGATGTGTTTTCGTTTTCGAATGCATTCCGCTTCGGCTTGGACTCAGCATCAAGTCGAAGAGCACTAGGACTGTCCGCTTGTAAATACTTCCTCGAGGAGCCAAGCACTGGCGTTCTGCACTTTCTTAAATCAATTTGAAGTCCATGAATACTGCTATCGCTACAACTTCTACTACTGTGCGGTCGCTGAGGAAGAAGAAGAACAGGACTCGTGACACCGTGTGTGGTGGTGGTTTTCGTTTCAGACGAGTCAGGCACAGATAAGTTGGATTCCAAACCGCTAGATTCTCCAGGCTCTGGTTTTGAAACGTTTAAAGGGGAATCAGTAAAACACCTTCCTATTTCATTATGGTGGAAGTCATTGTCAGTGCAACTATATCGTCTTCTAGACAAACCCATAGATTTAGTTTGCAAGTCTAAGATAGCAGGTTTCTCTAAGTAAGTTGTTAGTTTGGCGTTTTCTTGGCCACTTGCGTCCACTTTCCCTTGGAGTAACTGGTCAGTGGTCGTCTCTGAATCTTTCTCCTGACACTTTCTCAGGGCAAAGTCCAAAGAAATGCCTTCTTCAGCCCCTGAAACTGACTGCACATAATTTTCTCCTAACGTAAAAAGATCTGCTGCCTTGTGTTCGGCAATATTTGTGACAATTGCCACAGAATGTCTTCTCTTCCTCGCCTTCTGAATCGCTGGTAAAGCACTAAGTGAAGTGCTCTCATCTCTTGCAACTTTGTCTTCGAGTTTTGACGAGACGCAAACACGAACTACTTGTCCTGGGTTGAACTCTTCCACTGCGATAGATTTTCGTCTCAAAGCGGTTATGGTTCGTTCCACGCCAGATGCTGTTATCTTGTTTTTCTCTCCCTCGTTGGTCTCGCAAACATTAACATCTACAAACTTTGACTTGTCTTCGCTTTTGTAAAACGATCGTGAATATTTCTCTCGTCGTATCTCGTACAGTTTCTGGCGAATGATTCGCTCTTCTTTCTCCATAACTTTCAATTTTGTGCCCAACATTTTGTCTTCGACGTCGTTCTTTCGTCTGGCAAAATTTGACGATTTTTCAAGCTTCAGAAAACGAAATGTCTTTCGGTTATAACTCATGATCTTAACTCTCCCTCAGGATTCTGAACGGGAAACGATAAACAAAGTAATTAAAATCGTGACAATGCGGCTTCTGAAGCTTATATCCATAACTTTGTTAATCTTTAAATCGATGAAATTGTCCTCAATGGATCTTACGCTTGTCTCAAGGGTCTTAACAAATAAAACTTTGTTTGTTTAAGGGTGCAATAATAGAAACCAACGTGATTACCCTTTCCTTTATCATCAAAAAGTCATCAGAAATTTTAGCACTTCCATAAACGACGTTTTGTATTTCTGCGTCTCAATCGAAGCCGAGAAACAATTGATTTGCCACATCGAGTACATTTTGCTTTTCACTTGTTCAAATAATCAAATATGACTTTTCGTGAAGATCTATTGAACACAAGTGTTTTAAGAGCATTTGTTTCATTCTTAATGACTTGTGCAATTGCTTTTGGTCAGGTGAAATGGAGTTCTAGTGTTTCATGAAATAGAAAAACATCTGAACAAACGAGTTAGCGGCATCTTTTTTAGTCTTTAGATATGAACAATAAAACTATTGCTTGAATTAAGATATCGAATACGGCAACACCCACCATGGATGATGGCCAATTCTTCCATAAACAAAGTTCTTTACTGCTCAAGCTATTGTAGTCTACTCTTTCTGTCCAGTCTTCACATCCTAGCTAGGACTTTGATCCCATCTATTCGTGGTTCTTTTCGAACTTTGATCTTTTCATTGCATTGTTATGGATAACAGAAAGATTCAGTTACAATGAATTTGCAAGAGAGCCGGTCACGAGCGAACAGCAAACTGAGCCAGCCATCTCTGTCGGCTGAGTTTGAGAAAGATTTGAACTAAGTTTAACACACATGTTTTTCAGATGACACGTTATTGCGTGATAGAGGAGGTTGTGTGACGTTATTGAGATGTACAGCAAGTTCATAATTTAAGTTTCTATAATTGAGCGACTTTAATTGCCTATTGTCTTCAACAAATTATAAAGCATCGCATGCTGGCTTTGCCGGCTGAGTACTTTGGTACGTACAGTCGATGTTAATCGAGCAGTACATAGATTCACGGATATGGAAACTGCTGAAAGGACCTCTGGCTATCAAAGCTTTTATACGGAAAATGTTAGGTCGGTCGTCGCGCTCGACTGGTGAAGGACAACTTTAAATTATTTTGAGAGACATACCAGAAAGAAACTAAAAATTCGGGTTTAGCGCCGGAATTCCAAGAGAAGTTTTTAGCTTCGTTTCACCAAATAACCCTCGTTACGCACTCTACCGTTCGAACCTATCGGCTGAATGATGTGCAGGATTTATTCATGGTCTAATCAGTTAATAGATTCTCGGCTATTTCTTTGTGCCTTGCAAGTGGAAGGGAGAGTCCACTTTTCAGGTTCAGGCCATGTTATGTATAATACATGCTGTGTATTAGTTAAAAGTTTACTTTATCAGGGTAATTTTAGACTGAACGAAAGATTGAAGGAATATCTTTTTCTAAAATTGATGCAAAGAAGTAGTTATAGCTATTTCAAATGGAGTCTCGTTATATGTTTCGTTCGACGACGAATTTCCACGAGAATCGAAACTGCCAAAGGGAGACCGGAGGTAAAATGAAGGCTATCATGTTTATGCGTCAGTGGAAGAGTAAGCGTCGGAGGTGCACATGCTTTGCTCTAATTTGCGTTCGCCCCTACATCGGTTTACGCATGCTTTTGTTTCGCTAGATGAAGGAATAGATAAAGCAGAGAATAGGAATGCGATAGAACTATCTTGTAACATTGAAATTTCGCAACTCATTAATTTCTCAGCCTGTTTGGTAAAACGGAGCGAAATAATACACGGCTGAGATAGTAGTGGAGGAGAAAAAAAGCGAGGGAGGAGAAGAAGGCGCGCAAACGCCTTGAGCAGACTAAGACTTTGTTTGTCTTCTTTTATTTTATTGTTGGTTTCATTTTCTTTTCCTCTCTTATTTTGTTTTGAAAATTACGAAATCAAATTATTTAAATGTCTATGAGTTACCTGAACACACAGGCTAACTGACATAAAAGTTAACGACATTTTAGATTGCCTCTAAATGTGTGAAATTTAGCTTAACGAACTATACGAACAGAGATTTGTGTAACAAGCCTTTAAATTTACCATTCTGAACCGTCACTACACTGCAGGAGAAAGGGGCCTTTAAGCTGCTTTTGTTTTTATTATTGATAACGGTTCTTGGAACTGAAATCACGAGATTCAGGGCGCAAGGCGTAAGCCAATATCCTGGATTAGCGAAAATTTAATAACTAGATATAGTGGAGGAAAGTATTAACAGTATTACTCAAAACCATACTTTGTATAATTACCCCCTCAAAGATTTTTATGATTCAAAGTTCTTTGCGACAAACATTTTATTAACCGCGTTATTTTGGTTGTCATATACTCGCCTCTCCTACCTCTCGGCTCTAAACTCCTCTTTTCAAATTAGTTAGTGAAATTTTGGAAAAATAAGGAAGTTAATGACGAGCTTTTGAGACAGGCTATATATACCATACGATAGCCGCCATGCAATGGGAGTTTTGAGACGGTTGCATGAACAGCCCAAAAAAGCCTCCGCAATCAAAAAAGCCTCTTAATACGATTTAAGAAAAGTGGCTTAGTGGACAAGTGGTGTGAAAATAAAAAAAATAAATTAAAAAAAAACTGGGCCGGATTTTTATCTTGTTGTTCTTAGCCCACGAGAATTTGACCCCAATGGATTATAAATCTCTGAGGCTAACCGAGCGAAAATTAACAAAAAATTGATGAAAACAGGAAAATAAGAGAAGAAAAGTTATCAGACGAACTGAACAAACAACTAAATCAATTATTAATCAATTAATCATTGAGTCATAATTTAATTTATTAATACAATAATCCCACTTTAATACAATAAACACCGACCTCCTCAGTCACTCGTCACGACAGAATTAGAGCTCTGAAGAATGTTGAAAACAAGGTCTCATGATGACTTGTGCACGACCTCCTGATTGACGTCATAAAACTGCACAAAACATCACGTGGGGAGCACGGACGGGAAGAGTAGGTAAAGAGCAACAGAGAGCTCGAGACAGTGGGCATGGCGGTTGCTGAGCGGGAATATTCCACCTTTTTAAGCTGTATAGGTATCTGCAAGGAAAAAAATTGGTAGATCTCACTACAAAGCGTATGGTCTGGGAGCGGTTTTAACGGGTCTATAAATGGATGTAAATTTTGACCATTTATGGTCGTGTGATGCTAATTGGGGTGTGGTTTCAAGGGAACAAGATAATAATGCGTAAAAGAATGTCTTTCCAAATCCAAATGAATGATGGCAAAAGAGAAGCGAGGTTATACAATTCGCGCTGAGTTTAAAAAAGGAGGAAGAAACCCATCTCGTTGTAATGGAAAAGAAAAACTCAGGTATTTTCCCTAATAAAACAACTTTTATGTCACAAAATGGCGTCGGAAAACTATCACGGAAGAATCCCTCGAGGAATATTCAATCGATCCCTCTTAATGAGGCAATGAAACTGATAAAATGTTAGGCTACGAAGGGGCTAGCGTTAGCGGAATTCGAAAAGAAAACGAAAGATGGACAAAACTTTGAAAATGCCAGCCCATCAACGTCCCATGGAGTAATTAATATTTGTCTTTCTTGCGACGTAAAGCTGTTTTTAATCCTTACCTAAGAATCACGATAAATCCCATGAGCTACTGACACGGTCATTCTTGGGGAATTTCATCTATTGATCTACTCACACACACGCAACAATCATAACCAACTTCAGGGGCTCCTTCCAAAACAGAGTTAAAACTAAAGTATTTGTGCTCTAGGTGGCAGCTCCTTCATATCGCGTCCTGGCTTTTACATGTACTCCGTTCCAAATAAGATCGGATTTATTTTTAAAAAAAGTTGATTAACCCATTAGTGTGAGCTTGTGAGATTCTTAAATCTTCTTCTGGCCCCCTCTGCGCAGTCAATAAGAAAGTAATCAATAATAGACCATAAAATGCCGAAAGGTCTAACGACGTCGGGAAAATCTATTAGAAGTATTTATAGACTAATTAGAACAAAAAATGCTATCTTTGTGCTGAAATAATCCGTCAGTTGACCGTTTTACAAGCTTGGTGAAAACAAAATGGACAAGACAGCATGAAGCAAGCTCGGGGAAGGTATTACCGTAGTGCAGATTAAAGCCAGCTTAAGGCCCTTATGAGCCGGAAGCTAAGATTACAGTTACAGTTGCTTTTATAAATATAAATTACTGAACAGATTGTCAGTGAGTTTAGCCTAAGATGATCGAAATATAAATTCTTAACACAGCATTGTAATGATATAAGTTAAGGGAAGTTTGGGATCAAATCAAAAGATTCAAATGCAGGTGCGATTTAACGAGGCTCATCGAGGATTCATCGAAATCTTAATACTGTTGTGCCGAAAAATTTTGATTGCCATCTCAGTTCACAGAACCGTAATGTTTACCGGGTCTGTACTCAAAGGAGTGCTCGCTAAACGAATTGTTCGACTAAAGCTTTCTAAGCAGACCCAGCCTTCATGGCACCGAGTAATGCAAAGAATTGTAACTCTGAAATCAAGGATATCTGACGTAGAAAAAGGAGCTTTCACAGCGACAAAGGAAAATATTCTTTAGCCATTAATCGAGTGTGTTGTTCACCGCAGACTAATCCATGTCTCGAAGGAAATGATTACTCTCAGAAAAGGAACATTTGAACATAAAAGACTCATTCAATAACTTCTGACCATTGTCAACAACATTTTCTGCGTTGTTAATGATATAAAAAGGTGTAAATTAAAAATAAGTAATAATTCTTATGGCTAAAGTAAACTTTACTTTACACGATTTCTCCCAGAAGGTAAATTTGCCACTTTCATAATTATGTTACAGTTAAGATCAAGGGAACGATTTTGTCATCAAGTTTGGGGTCGGCATCAGTTCTATAACCCTATATTATCCTACGAGAACTAATCTTGTGACGTTATGCCGATCACAAGTTACATTCTACTTAAGCACCTAATCCAACCCCTTAGGAAATTCAGATTATTTCTAAATGTTTACTTTGTATAAGATTTATTTCAGGAAACATTTAATCGACTGTCTACGAAGCGAAGGAGTTTGCCGAAGAACGAATCGAAAAACGGTAGGTTACAACCAATTCACAAAGAAGGGTATTGTGCTCTTGCAACATACTGAGATACTAAAAATTTTGAGAATCTGTAATTTTCCGTTTATCAAGGTCCCATTTACCTGTGAGAAAAGGGTTTTTGTTTTCTCTGCATTGTTCAAACAAATGACAAGAAACATCTGCTTGTTTCATCGTATTTACCAGTACTGACCAACCGCACAAGTTTACTCATGGAGCACGCAATGTTATCTAAGCCACTTGTGCTCTGCAATAATATTTTGAAAGCGGACTAAATGGAGCGTGTTGAAAAGAGGTTTTTGCAAGGGTAAATCGACCCCGTCAACAATTTGGCACTTTATTTTACACGCGCCAGACCATTACATTGTCTATTATCACTCGAAAGGACAGCGTATAACCCCAAAATTAATAACCTCAATCGTTACTTTCGCCGACAACAACAATACCGCCGGAGGCAATCACGACAGACCAGGACTAATTGAGCACAAAATTTGAACCACATCAGTAAGTTTTGGATTCATTTTCCTGTAAAAAAAATAATCACAGGTGGCTCTGAACGTGAACAAAGGTCTAAGCAAGTGAGATGTTTGATCAAAGATCTTCTGTAAAGGGACTGTACCTTCGCGCCAAAGATCACATGGAAAAACGTTTAGAAAAACTGTACCCGCTAAATAGCGCAGCCTAGCGGGTAATCAGGAAAAAATGACTAGAATAGCAAAGAAATGATTTCATTTCTGTTTGCTGCAATAAGCGTCTAGAATAATAAAATCCAATACTTACAGGAAAAGACTCTGTAGGTGAATAACAAATTTGGGGTTTCCAGCGGTTATTTTAGCGGGATAACAGCTTGTTCACAAGTGTTGTTTTCAAATTATCGCTTAGCCGGCTGTCTGACATCGCGGGACAGTATTTCGTCAATTTTCGTGGAAGGTTCTGGTTAGTCGATATTTTTTAGCTAATTACACTAAACACCGGAAACTTCACGCTGAAGGACTTGCTCGATGATTGGATAAAAGCCGTGCGATAACAAGCTCATATTCCCACGCTCCCGTGGTGGATAAGTCGGCGCGTTTGATGGCGGCTATGTGGCTCGTCACAGGAGCATACTCTGGTATTTCCGAGGAGAGTGATGACTGTGGTATATAATAAATCTAATTATCACTGTTAATTGATATAATCGACAGATAGCCTCCATCATAAATTACACATCTTGTAAAGTCGTTTTCACTCCAGACTCAACTATCTGTGCAGCTTTACAAGACAAATCACAGTTTTAAACTGTCATGCACCAAACAGTATCACACGCTAATGGAAATCTCTCCTCACGAGCGAACGCCTTCTCTGTCGAATCGTTGATGTCCTCAGAACACACAAACCAACAGACATCGATTACAAGAATGGCTGCTTCCACAGGACGCAGATCACCCGAGAGCGGAGAGCACGGTGAGTTTCTCCACCGCAATCGGGTGGTCGAACTCACACACATTTCCATTTGCTCCTCCATCACTTTATTTCTTACCTTCCCTTTCTCAGATCCAGCGACTGAAGCGTTAGGATCAATGCAGGCCATGCAGAGCCGAGTGGGTTCTACAGAAACACTGGAATGCGAAGATATCGTTATTGAACTCCAGATGCGTGATTTATGGCAGCGTTTCTTTGAGTTGGGAACTGAAATGATAATTACCAAAGCAGGCAGGTAGGATAATAACCACTATTTAAGTTTCTTCTATCTCTATGAAGTGAACCTAAAAATGCATCGACACAAGGCTCCTTTTACGTTACAAATATCGTGCAGTATTTGTGATGAAGTCCCTCAGTCAGACAATGCGTCTAGAAGAAATGATTCAACGGTGAATGAATTTCTCATGTCTTGCTGTTGTGCGTTTTCCGCGTTGCCGTTCTAAAGTTTCGAATGCTTTGGCAACGCCAGGTCGCTAACAGGAAAGATTCACAGTAACTCCTAAAGGAGGTACAGATTCCTCTAAAATTTACCGTTTTTTGTCTTCATTCATTTAAATAAACAACCATGCAGCAGCTTTTGATATTGACGGAAACGACTGAGACAAGGAAGACCACTGAAATCCGGGCGTAAAATTCCATGCCCTTGGCATTCCAATGTGGGCGTTCTTTGAGAAAAACCTATGATTTACATTGTCACACTAAATGATAATAGAAAAGCTAGTGACAGGATTCTACATGGACACTGCCCGGAACTCCGTTGGTAGAAAATTAAAGATATCAGTATTTGTTGATCGCTTAAGACTCGAAAATCAGAGGAAAATTCTCAGGGTTATAAACAACTGATAAGTGAGCTAAGCTCTTCCGTTGTTCACACTTCTGGTTTCTGTATCTTTGCGCTGTCACTTGAGCTATGAAATTAAGCTTTTAAAATTTAATGGTACAAAATTGTCATAAAAAGTCAGTTCCACCCTATAGAGCCTTGGCCTGTATCTTTGCGTGATCGACCTACGTTGTTTTTCGGATAGCCAAAGCAGAGACGAGATTGAAATAAAACGCATGCAGCGAGCATGTATTATTTTCCATTATTCCCTGGCTTACGAGTTGATTGAAAGTCATCAACAGAGGTCGTGGTTTTGAAATGTTATCCAAACTATGGGAGGTTCTGCTCACAAGACGAACGTATCGCCCTGTGTCCGATTGAGCAAAAGATCCATCGAAATGTAACAAATGTGTTACCAGGAGAAAGGAATGAATAATCGCGAAATGTGAAACCGAACATCTTTAATCGAAATATTTGGGTTTTTTTGTCCCGATTTTTCCTTTCTTTTAGCCGTTTTCTGCAGTTTAGTGTCATTTTTTTTAGTATTTGCTCGTTTCCTAGAATAAAATCTTGTGATGTGCTCTGATCAAGTCTGTTAAATTTCAAATAGGTATCGTATTTTAAGCGTCCAGTCAAAATTTTTCCCTAAATTGTCAGATTGAAAACTGACGCGCTAATATCTGTTGTGGTCTTTTTTTAGCCTTATCAGTGGCAATTTAACTTGATGAAAACATCGCTCTGACGATTGGAGTACTTAACTCTTCAAAGAAGCTGTTACACCTCAAATTTAGGAATGATAACCTCAAATTCATTAGAACAGATCTGGTGTAGAAAATTTCTCATCCAGTGGAATGAACTCTTACGATGTTTGAAATGCCACTCATCTAAGTTCCTTAGCGTCCTACCGAAAATTTTTTTTGCACCCGTCTTGCATCAAATGCGATCTGGCTTTCAAGGCACTTGGCACGGATTATCCAAATTAATTAAAAGGGTGGCCACGGCGAAGGTTATCCAGAATGATTGAAGTACTAAACATCCTACAAAACAGGAAAAAAGCTGTTCTAATTAAATTCGGTTGAAGGGTCGTTTAGCTGTCCAAGGAAGGAACGTCACGTCAAATAAAATTACCCAGATGTTTTGAGAAGGTAGAGCGAAACATCTGCATGAGGAATGTTTTGAGTCACATCTATGTTAGATGTCGAACCCGTTTTGGGCATGAAGTCAGTTTTGATACTTTGCTTCATCACCGATTTCAGATTTTCTCCACGGTCGCGAATTAAATCGTATACGTATACACGTTCCCATTTCAACGAATAAATGAATGAATAGATAAGAGATTGAGTGAATCAGTGAATGACGAACGAGAAAATGATTGAACGAGTGAAGAAATAAAGACCGAGAAAATAATAAAAGACCTTTAGACTTGAATAGTTAATATGATATTCATCCAAAAAGACTTTGAAATGAAAAATTACTGAATTTTCTCTTAATATATCTAGCTCAAATGAATGTTAATTGCTGTTGTAATTTTCTGTGCAAGGCGCATGTTTCCCGCCATCCGAGTCAAAGTTTCCGGACTGGATCCCAAAAGCTACTACATGCTCATGATGGACATAGTACCGCTGGACAACAAACGTTACAGGTGAGGACGATGATAAGCGTAAGACTCGAATCCAAGAACATGATCTAACAAAGTACTCACAGGATCCTTGATTGAACGATGCTACAATTAGAAATAAGAGAGATGGTAAGATCCGAGAAGCAGGACGCGTGTCATATGAACTTCGTAATAAACCACGCTCACCGTGGAGTCTCTGTGGCTCAGTGGTAGAGCATCGAAACGCGGAATCCGAAGGTCTGAGGTTCGATTCCTCATGGGGACTCAGAATTTTTTCTTTGTCCCACGCTCGTGACAAAACGAAAAAAACTTCTTTCTTTATGCTACAATTGTTCAAAGATTTCCCTCGTGACATTGTTTTTGGGTCCGTTGGTTTTCTGCGACATAGAAAATTACCCTACAAAGAAACTGTGTGACAATAATTCGCCACAATGGGCAAATATTATGGCGGTAAAGCTCACTAAAGGATGGTGTAGAATGAATTTCATTTACGAGGAGGAAATTGTCAACTTGAAAAGTTGAGGCTGAATTTTCGAGACGCAGTAACCTTTACGGAGCCTTTTTAATCTGTTCAAAGACAAATTGATCTAATCACCATTTATCGCTGATATAAGCCGTGAGCAAACTTAACAGCAAAGCACACTACAACAGGAATGACACAAACAATATTTATCAGTAATTTTGTCGCGAGTTCCTTCATTGAGGGTTACGTTATATGATTCATTTAACTCACAGGTATGCATACCACAGTTCCAAATGGGTTGTAGCGGGAAATGCGGACGCGCCGATGCCAGGCCGGGTGTATATTCACCCGGATTCTCCCGCGCTTGGCGAGGAGTGGATGAGACAAGTAGTGTCATTTGATAAAGTCAAACTGACCAATAACGAGCTGGATCAACAAGGACATGTGAGTGGATTTATGCAGTTTGTCGGTACTGTCGCTGTATCATTTGATGATACTTTATTAAACTGTTCGGATCAGTGTTAAAATGGTGAACGGTTAAAATGTAAACTCTTCCCGCCTGCGTACAACCGTTTGTGTGCTCACATAACAATAATTGTGTTAGCTTTCATCAGGAGGAAAGAAGACCCTTAAAGTTCGAGTTTAAACTTAACAATGCCTTTCTCCATTTTAAGATCATACTTCACTCCATGCACAAATATCAACCAAGAATTCACATAATAAAGAAGAAAGATACCTCAGACACGGTTGCTGTGGACGTAGAGAAGCCGTCTTCCTTGAGGAAGACGTTCGTCTTTCCTGATACCGTTTTTACGACGGTTACCGCGTATCAGAATCAACAGGTACCGTATATCAAGCATTGTTCCCAACACCCATTAGTTTGTATAAAGCTTATACAGTTTACCGAGTGTGGGTTTCGTGCTTTACGCCAGTCAATGATTAGTGTCTTCAAATTGGAAAGTAGTTTGATTCCCGCTGGTGGCTTTGGCAGTGGCTATACCTAAAAATGGGACCTTTCGTACAGCTGATAGATACAAACAGCACAAATACAGCATTGACAGATAACATTCTCGGCAAAATTCTATCATTTACCAGTTTTTTTCTTTTTTTGAGGCAATGCAAGCAATCGAGAATGCTATAATTTATAAATGTGTATTTGATTCTTGTTTTAATCATTTATTTCGGTCATGTCGTTTTCGCGAAAGCATTTTTATATTGTTTAGGAAAGTTAAACAATGTTTTTAGAACGATGTATTTTGTGGTGGTAGCACCAAAAAGGTGTCAAAATCCATCAGGGTGTAAATTTAACATCTACAACAACAACAACGTGTTTATCGCTTCATCGTTTTGGTCGATTTTCAAAGGCAACATTGGCTAAAATAAAATAGCGACGGCTGACGTCCCAAAGTAGGCTGTATTGAGTTTGTTAGTCTTCATTAGCTTTTTCTTCAAGCTTTTAATCTAATATCCTTGTACACCATCAATTTGGAACTGAACAGAAATTGTCTGAAAATAAGATTTAAATGATTTTCTGAAGGATTATCTTATTCTCCTGACGAACAAACAAAATCAGTTTCATCGGAAAGGCGATTTGACAGGTCAAAGACTTGAAAGTCCGCATTTGTCCCTATCGGTTTCGTCTCGTCAAAACTTCTGTTTTTCTCATTAGAAGGTTAATTCGTGTGTGTGGGCAGATGTTCTAAGAACAAGACTCCTTCATCGTTTTCCTTTGAGACGTACCGTGTTATTTCATTCATAACTTTGATTCTGGTTGCCAATCGCTTTCCTATATGTTATGATGTCTTTTTGCGATATTAGAGTGGTGGCATTATTAACCGTTGCACTTGGGGCGACTATCAATAGTATTAAACGTGGTGAAAGCATCAAAACAACACTCCAGTAAAGACTTAAAGGGTGTTTTCCTTTGATCAGGCGCTAACAGTATGTTTTTATAATTCACTTTCGGTAAATATATCCCGGCTGGAGTAATTTCAATTCTCGTCCGGTCGCTTAAGCGTTGATTACTCCATCGATGTAACGATAATGCGCACGGCTCCTTTGATCTGGGGAAGTATTTTACATTAATTTTGTTAATGGCCTCAATTAGGACTTATTTTTCCTCTTGCCGCCGTATTTAAGAGACAATAGAAGTATTTTTATGATGTTGTTTGGTGAATAAACGACATGTTATTTGCTTAATTCACGAACCCTAAAACGACAATCATTTTTATACTCGATATTTTCCTAAAAACAGTCTTTTTCTCGAAGGCATCAAGAAGAAGCCGTTTGAATTAAAAATACTAATTTCTCACATTTTTCATTGGTCCATGGTGCTTCCTTTTTTATATATATTTCTTTGCGGATAAAAATAGGAAAAAATACAAGGAAAAAACTCGGAAAGAACCCTTTACTCAGAAAAACACAGGTAGCATATTGGGAAAGATACAGTATGAGTAGTCTTTCAGCTCTACAAAAATTCACTTCCATTTTATTATATATATATATATATCACTTTTTTCATCCATGAACTGAAACAAGATACGGGTTATGACGGCTTTGACTTAGAATTTCTTTTATTTTCTTTTTAGCCAAAGAACTCTAAATTTGCTAAACTTTACCTCGTCTGTCTGTAGGACTGTTTCGGTAAATGGATTAATTAAAGAGATTTGTGACAAATAACATTACATTAAATTGCATTTTTTTAGGTTTACTTTGTGCGTAAATCTGACTGGAGATTTCGTTCTATTCCAGATAACTCGATTGAAGATTGACAGTAATCCTTTTGCAAAAGGATTTAGAGACTCGGGCCGAGTCAGGTGAGTAACAAGACTTGTACTTAAATTTGCCACAAATATTTCAGTTGGGTATAAGAATAGGTTACCTAAAAATTTCGTGTTGACAAGATCAGCCACAAACCTGTATGAAGCGGTCTCCAACGGGGAATAGCGGGATGACCTCTTAATAAAAAAAAACGATACACAACGCTCCTTCATGTCAAAATTGATTACTCAATGTACAGAATGTCGCTTAAAAATACTACTTACTTTGATTTTGGGGAAGAAACATGGATTTAAAATTACTTTAGAGATTATTTTTATAGTTCCGCTATAAGTGACCGTTGGATACAAGTGGAAAATAATGCAAAAAGGCTGGGCGACCACTTAATTGAAGGTCCATTTACCAACTTGGATATGCTTTGATATTGTGCAAAATCGATTAAAAAGAAGTTTTTATTTATTGTGTTTTTATATAAACAGGGATCCAATGGAAGAGATAATGCAAGCTTATTCATACTTTAGACCAACCGCAGGAAGAACTTTACATTATTCAAACTTCAGGGGAAGAGATGAACAGCTTAGTTCCGGTGAGTCGACAGTATTTGGATCTCTTCTCCTTATATCGATCTGGTGGTTGCGTTTTTAAAACTGACCAATTCACAGTTTATTCCTTCCCATGACAAAAAACTCAGATCCCGATTGAAAAAAATGCCTCTTTAAAAGGTGTTTCTTTTACCTCCATTAAAGGCACGACTACAATCAGGAGATAACGGCAAGGAGTGTGTCTTCCGATTGCCCTTTCGGACACAATCAGAGCCGCATTGATATGCTCTCGTTATGTTTATCTCTTCATTTTTATTATTTTTCCTTTTGGGCAGATCAAGGTTCTTGTTCCCCGCATGCATCAGTCCCTGTACCATCTCCTTATCAGAGTGTTCCTCTAAGTCCTACGATGCCGCCTCAGACACCAACATGTCATTCAAATACTGCTTTCTCTGCCTTCAATGCGTGCTTATCGTCATTACCGCACGGCGCCATGTTACCTACTCAGTATCATGTGACACCCTACTGTTCCGCCACAGAAACGTACGGCCACATGCTCCACACAGCGGTGTCACCGTTTTCCACCCGCGAACCCAATGCTGTGGTCAGCCAATCAGATACGGGCATCCCACTTAGCCCAATTGTTACTCATCAGGCGAGTGGCTTTCAAGGAAATACGTATGCTTCTCCACATGCGTTCACGACACATACAATGTGAATTTCACGAGTCCTTATTTTCGTTGTGTACTTTTGATTTAAAAAGGTATTTTAGAAATCATCAGTTAGTTCGCTTGATATTGAACAAGCATCGATAATTCGAAATATTTTTTATGAGACAGTTGGAATAGTTCACCAGACTGATATCAGGTGTAAATATTGTAAGTTAAATCATTATAACAAGAAATTGTTACAGTTTCTTAGGTTACCGGCAGAACCTTTTAAAAATTCAAAGACAATTATTTGTGAATATGAATATCAGAATAAACCATATGTTGATTTTTGTAGTTTGGAATATCAATAAGGATTATTTTTGATGCTGGGTGGAAGAGAGGAACCCAAAAAATTTTGCCCTTTTATTTGTTCAGTCAGCGAGCTTACTAAAACTTGGAAAATGATATTTATCTAGAAATATTCTTCTTGAAATGGACCGGTCCCACATCTTACTTCAGACAAATTCTTCCGAGTATCTCCTTATCTTCGATGTCCGTTTTCTTTCAGAATTCAGACAACTCGAAATGTCATATGCCCGTGGTTGTTTTTGTTCTTTCAGCGGCGTGGTGCGTTCCTTGTTGGTTCTCATGCCACGGTCTTACATGACATTGTGAACAACTGCTGGGCCGGGTTTTCGCGCGGCAACAACAACCTTTAAACTGGCAGATCATTCTAAAAATTTCAGCTCTAAACTCGCTGTTAAGCGCAATATGACAAATGGGGTTAATAAGAGAATATGACATCATCATGCAAAAAATGAACGTCCCTTTTACTGACAAAGGACTAACGATATCATCAGATCCCAAAATCCACGCCAAGCTGTGCTGATAAAAAGGATACAGAAAACAAAGGAATAATAGAACCTCTATGACTAAGATGCGAGCCGCTCTTTTATTCCTCCGATGGCGATTTTGCGAGCTTTGGGAAACATCCGATGGGTTTATTACGGAGTCTCTGCGCAACTTCAGAATGATCTTTATGTACGCTACCGTGAAAAATACCCCAGGAAGCCATTGTGTTCCTATGATAAGCAGCAGGAGCGTTACCTTTATCCAGAAATCTGTAGCCACAACACCACAACTACGTTTATCATCTATTTTCGTGTCAATCGATAAGGCAAACCAGACACTAGTGAGTAACCCTAAGACCCACGAAAGGACCACAGCGCCCTTGGCAATATTTATAGTCATCTGTAAGAGAAAAATGAAACCAAGGATTGACTAAGAATTGAAACTACCGTCACCATTTTAATAAGCCCCCCTCCACTCTAATACCCTCCCCCTCTGTGAAAAACCCCTCTTTGATTAATCCCTCTCTAATAAGCCACCTCCTTCCAGCACAAAAAGTCGGAAGGTAATTGATGTAATGTTCTTCATCCGTGATCTCGGTAGCGTCTCACTAAAAAATATGCTTGTATGCGAGTATGTTTTATTAATTACTACATCTAGACGACGAGAGATTATAGGCGACAACTCAAAATAACGATAATTAATCGCATTTTGAGTAAATTGTTAATAGGCCCCTCTCCCCTCTCTGACAATTTTCCCCTCTAGGTGGGGGGGAGGGGGGTCTTATCGTTAACGATATTAGGCGTCAGTTTCAATCGCAGCCTAGTGGCTGAGAAAGATAGAACATGGAATCGTGATACTCATTAGAATAAACGCTAATAAACGAGGTAGCCGTTTTGAGATCATGTACTGTGCGCAAAAATGTCAATTCTTTTAATTTTTTAAGCCCTTTATGAATGTTTAATTTGATGGCAATTTTTTAATAAAGATTCTCACAATATTTCTCTTTCATCAAATGAAGATGTCAAATCATCACTTTGAGAACTTTGACACACATTTTTAATAATTAATTTTATTTTAATTTACCTGTTTTTTCAGCGGGTGTACTACAGCCTGAAATCGTTCCAAGCTCATAAGCATTAAAGTTATTATGGAAACCGTTAAACTGCTCTGGACAATCATGAATATCCCTTTACAACCAGCACTTCCTAATAACCTCGGCCATTCGCCTTGCGAGGAATAATCCAAATAAACAGGTACAAACACGATGATGCGTAACACGTCACCCACAGCTAAGTTCAGGTTGAACAGATTGGCAACGTTGGCGATTCTCCCCTTTCGCAAAATCACCGCAAATAAAAGGAGATTTCCAAGGGCCCCGAACACAAAGACGTTAGATAGCCACGTTACTCGTATGATATGGCCAGTTGAGGAATTCATTTCGCCGAAAACTGAAGGTCTGCTCTTTTTTTACACCTGCAATGTAATTTTGAAATTTTAGAAGTCTTGGCTTGACTTGGTAAATATCAATATTCCTCTGAATAATACTCTTTTGCTTTCACAATACTAGCTTTTTCGCGTTAGTAAGTCTTCCTTTTTTTGAACCAACCCAAAATGCAAAAGACGTCCTTATAAGCCTTGAAGACTAAAGGTCGGAGATTTCAGTTCACGTCGTTTCAGTCACGTAGCAGAAGATGACTTTGTTACGAAATCGCTCTTCAGTACTCGTTTGTTAAAAGGTTCTCGGTGAACTTTGTATTGTATCTCTAGGCTTTCTTCTAATTTCCTTGAAAATAACGTCCTCGCTCATAACAAGACTTTCAGCGTAGTTTGGTAACTCACCTTGACGCGAATCTCAGATAAAAAACCACGAACGAAATCTTTAGTCACAAGATGAGTTCGCTCCTTCTCTCACGTTCACAGGCTTGTTATCTTTTTGTATTTCAACTCGGAAATGGAAATTTTGTGTTCTAACAACACTCCCTACAATTCTAATTGCTACAGCGGCGAATGATGATTGTTTGTAATCAATTTTTCCTGATCTCTGTTCCAATGCAAAGAGGCTCGTGATTGTGTTTGACTGCAAATGCATCACAGTTTAATTTCATTCGTTTTATAATGAGGTCTAAATCAAACAGATTGGTGGTCGAGTTTCTACGTGTGGCAGATATGTCAATATTGTTTTCACTACTGAACTTACCTGAAGAAAATTATACGCTCGTCATTGGTTCCTGTTGCATTGAGATAATTTGACAAATAAAACAATGGAGAACAAACAGAACCTGGTGTGAATTTAAAGTCAGTCGCGTCATCAAAAAATTGGCCATAATTAACAAAAAACCTTCCCACGTAACTGTATTTTCAAATTTGTTTCAGTTTTATGATCTAGTTCATTTTTTATGAAGGTATTAGTGCTCTGCATATCGAAGGTTGCATTTTATAAATAGCAGTGCCATTATATATTTCACCGAGCAATAAACATTAATTCATAATTACATTTTTGGTCCCTTTATGATCTACCTGCCGAGGAAATAATTAAAGGAACTGTTGGTCACCACGTGAATAATCATTGCCAAAACGAGACACCATTTATCCCAAGTTGTAATCACATTTCTTAATTTATTTTTCGAGTAAGTATGATTTATTTTTTTCTTAATTACAACTGAAGAAAGAGAAGAGGTGTAGAAAATATAATTGTAAAGCGTAAAAAAAAAAAGAACTTGATGAGGAGCCTTGTTATAAATAACGAGCGTCCCTTAGGGCAGGTCTTTTATTTTGATGGGAATATCTCTTGTTTTCCCAAGGCTTCCTCTCAATCTTACAATTTCAATATCAAACGCAAAGCCTGATAAACATCTATTACTTTATGTACGTAAGAGCCACTCCGTAAAATGTTGACTTTCCTACGTATATTTATTGTGCGCGATAATAACTACGACCACAGTACCGGTTCTAGATTTAATTTAAACATTCATAAAGGCCAGATAAGAAAATAAAATGCCTTTAGTTGATATTTGACATCTCTGGAATCCATATACAGCTATATTTACAGTATGAATATCAACCATTATTTTTTCAGGTCACCGACAGATTTCTATATATATTGCATTATGTATTTGCGTTTGCAGTTAATTTTTCAGCGTAGAAAAATACCGCAGATAATAACAGCATCTGAAAACAAGAATTAAGGGATAAAACTGTCTCAAAGATAATGGTATCACATTGGACCGAGAGCTGTTTTAACTATTAAGTTTACTGCAGCATACATGTTCCTGTATTCCTTTTTTGGTATTCCAGTTCCAATATCCCAACCACAAAGCAAAATTTTTCATGTGAAGGTGCTATGTATGAGCTGTTCTCCTTTATGGAGTGTGTCATACGAACTGCTTTCATCCTTTCAATCATCTTGTGAGATGTCTTCTTTCGTAGCAGTCCAGCAGGTTTTCTGCCTTCTCGTGTCTGTTGGGCTGTAATCAGGAGGCGGGATCAAATTAATATGAGCGAGAGTTCCTCTTCTCCTTGGGCTATAACGTCCAAGTTCTCCTACTTTTTCATCCAAATCCTGCTCGCCGGTAGAGGTCTTGGCACTCAGTCGGCTTATGACTGCCAAACCCAGAGAAACGTGACCAACTGCTTTAAATTTACCCGACAGCTTGGTGCTTTGCATTAAATCCACGTTGGTCTTCGATGACTGTGAGTTGTAGGGATTACCACGCTTCGGCTTTGGTGATAATGGAGCTGTAGGAACATACTGCGTTGGACTCAAAAGCGATCCTGAGTCACCGTGACTAAAACTATTAGGAAAAAGAAGATTTGCAAGGCTATCCTGACTAAAATCACTCAGAGATCTCCCCCTAGTTTTAGGAATTATATCATCAGCATCGACAGCTGCATCATCGTCTTCAAGGGACGTTTCCTTGTCATTTTCTTCTGTCTGAATTTTTATTTCCTGGTTAAATCCCTCGTGTAAAGGATCGTTCTCATTCAAGACTTGTGGGGTACAAGATTTTAAGTTTTCATCTGTTTTCCTACGACTATTTTCATTAGGGCTGCTGTGGGTTCTTCGAAAGAGCACTTTCTCCGGCACCGAAAGAAAACATGTTTTGCTTTCCTTCACAGAGATGTCGTGACTATTTTGAGAGCCAACACTAACATCATTTGATATGGCCGTGTTGGCCCACTGCGAAATAGTTTCTGGCGATTTTGCTCTTCTTAAGGGAATGGGACTTTTGGACACAATGGGAGGAAGTTTAGAGGTGAATTGTGACGAGCAACCAGAATTGCGTCGAGGAAAATCTGAGGGAATTCCACGCGCGTGCTCTGATCCTCTGCGCCTGCAGGATCTTGGAGACAAAAATAACTTGAAACCGGCATCGAGAGTCTCTCTTGTTCTCCTTAAGTCGAGCAGTTCCCGCTGAAGTTGTTTTTCCTCTTTTTCATACCTTGATAGCTGCTGACAGAGCGTGCGATCTGCCGCCTGGTTTAACTTCTGTGCACGATTGTCGCTCTCAGTTATTGTTAAGGAGCCACTTCTCTTCTTTCGGTTTGACTCACTCATTTTTTTAACCTGTGGATTTGACAATAAGTTTCAATTTAAAAACAACTTCACCTAGATAGATGGAAATCAAAGAGAAATTTGAATGAAAACAAGATATTCCGCTCAAATAAAAGAAGAGAGAGGTAGGTCAAGAACTTAGGAGGTGGTTTTCGGCTTCATTTACTTTATCAACTTATTATTATTATTATTATTATTAGTAGTAGTAGTATTATTATTAACGAATAATACACCACATATTTACAAGACTACCCTTTAATTGTAACTTGACGAGAAAGAAAAAAAAAGGAACGAACTAAGTGACCCTTACGACGAAGAAAACTGATTTAACCAGAACATGAGCAAATTTGAAAAAAAGATAACGTAAAGTAGAGCAAGTTTTTACAACGTTTTATTATATTTTTTGTGCATCTGCGTATTCACGCACACGTCGGTATTTTAACACTTGTTGATTAGTCTTTTCGTCCATCTTCCGTGTCCTTTTCAGCTTTGCCAAATCTGTATCCTTGCCTTCTCTAAGGATAACATGTTATTTCATATTTGCATGTTATGTAATATTTTAAAAAGCCCACTCAGATTTATGAATATTTCTTCTCTAAATGATCCGTACAGTTCGACTGTGCACACTTTACTCGAGACTTTTTGTTGAACACCAAAGCAGACCGCGACCGCTGTCTACATCTCAGTTTGATTTTCATGATCAGAAAGAGGCTGATGAAAGTGCAAACATTAGGTTGGTATCTCGGTGAAGTCAATTCATTACAGAGTCTGTTGGTAGATTCAAACGAATGAATGACTAATTACAAAAGGAATTAATCTGACCAGAATAAATAAAGAACCACGTTGCAATGCATAGTACCCTTTGCAAATCTCAATTGACAAACAGACGTCCCCAGTACACTAATCTCCCTTAACGTTTTCGCCCTGTACGTGTACAGTTGTACAGCTAAATAGCTAAAAGAATCGTCAGGCATTCAAACAATTCTTAAACAGTGTTGACCACTTTAGCGATGGATAACAATATCAAGCTTTTAACCAAGGTGAAGAAATTAAAACATAAAGGAAACGATCCATCTTCATGAATCAAGTAATACACAAGTTAATTACTTAGTAATTTCAGCCGTCAGTGCAGAACATTGATCCTAGATTCCATCATTTTGGGTTTCTATCAAAGTTTCCTTGTTCGTTAAGTTGATATTGCGAGTCAACTTTCGGAAGCGAGCAGCAGCCGCAGTCAGTACTTTAATCACGTTATGATTGATATGAATGGCACAGTACTTAAAACCATTCAATCAAGGCATATGAACCATGGATTTAGATTATTAAAAACAATTCTTTCTACATTCACCTGTAAATACTTGACTAAGGCGTCAACGACATTTGGTTCTCCAACTGAAGTCGATATGAACAGTATCTCGCGGTTTTAAATGGTCTTATATGCTACATGGTACATAACAAAGATAATTACTAACTATACGACGAAACTATTTGTGTCGTCAGATTCTGGGACAAAAGAAGCTCTCAGTCTGGGTCTGTTGTTTACAAAGAATTGTTATTTAAATAAGGTTTTGGTGCATTTGTAAATGCTCTAAATTTTCTTCTTTTTCGTTAACCAAGTTTTCACGAGTCGTCCGCTTTGCCATTTTGGGATTCTGTCACCTGACGCCTTGTGACATCAACCCTAGCTATCTGTACACAGGTTAAACATTTTAATTGATTTAAAGTTCAGTCAGCATCATTACGTTCTACGTAAATAATCATTTTAAAACTTTCTTTTGAAAAAATTGCACTAAAATTATTAGACCTCTGGAGGCGTCTTATTACTCAGAGGCAATTAAGATCAGCCTACTAAAAAGAAAGCATTCAAGTCTTCCAATATAATTGTACGGGTGTGACGGCAATTAGAAAAGACTGGTAATCGCTGTTCCTGGGAATGAATGAAGACAAAACGAGCGCTTTCTTTGATGGGGCCAACGCAATGTCAATTTAGCTGAATTAGAACTGAAGTGATATATTCAATGGATTCTCGACTTTAATTGTCACATAGCTGCTAAAATAAAGTACTTTAGATAAATGGGAATTTGTCGAACTCAATTTTAACTTAATAAGCTAAGCGAAAAAATATTTTTTTTGCACAAGAAAACAACAAAATAGTTGAAGAGGTTGTTAAGTCGCCCATACATGCTACTTCTTCTTTCTCCAGATAGACTAATTAAAAATGATAAAGCCGCATTTCCTGTAGTCCTCTTTGAATGATTTCATCTTAAAAATATTCTTTACGTGCTCCACCGACTTTGATTAACATCAGAGACATATTGTCACGAAAGCTAAAGAGGTTACAAATGGTTTTGATATCAGCCTGTGGACACCGCATCAAAGCTCCTCTTGTCAGTGCTTATTGACTTCTTTTTTTACACAGGAGAAAAATATTCCATACTGAACTCTAACGAACGGTACGTAATGCATTAGGGAAGGATTAAGTTTTAAATCGACCTCACCTGGTTTTCTTTGCACTCTACTATTGAGTAAATTTTTTTAAATCAAGTAAGTATAATTTTTTATTGCATAGCGGTGACATTTCAGACCATTGGCCCATAAAAATAAACCATCAAATTATCAAATGGCGGTATACACAGTTAGACTCGCCAGTGAGAGGGTTAATTACTTGTTATTTGGTCCAGCTCAGATTTACCATCCTGTATACTTACTTTTTTATTGCATGGCGGTGGGGAATCAGGATAAGGCTTACAAATTGGAAATTGCATACGAGCGACGAAATGCAGTTTTATCAGTAAACAAGAACACTCGGTACAATGATGGATATTCCCTTTGATGGAAACAACACAGATGATTACGTTATTTTCCTTACTGAAACTTTGTAAAAGATTTTAAATTGTTCGTTTCTTGGTTTTGTTTTGTTTTTGTTTGTTTTTGGTTTCTGGAGGTGACGATGAAAGTTCTTACGATTTTGGATTATAGAATGTTACGTAACCACGTAAACTTGCAGAGAATTCATTGTCAAAGGCCGGGAACTTGAAGACCTTTGGTGGTTGGAGACCTTATCGCCTCCAAAATGCTAGCAGCACACGTGGCGTTGAAATCTTAGTCAGGAGATATATCAAGTGCTCAATGCTGGCCACCCACACTATGTAAAGTCGTGCAAAATTGGAGAGGAAAGACGAACTTTCACCATAACCAGTGGAAAAATACAAAATTAGGAAAAAGGAAGCGTTGATTTCAAAATGGTCTGCATGGGATTGCTGTGGTAATCTTTCATGCCATAAAAGTGTACAAAGATAATCGTAAATTGAATTAAAGTTTAATAATGTTTTGGTGTTTTAGATAAGTGTAATAAACAGTCTTATCACCGTCACCCGATGTAGCAGCAAAGCCTAGTTAGAGGTAATATCCATCTATCATTCGCGACAGAACAGATACAGATGAAGTGGTGGCACTGATAAAATTATATTTAGCCTCTTCTTCCGGCCCATTATCACCGCTAGTGATAATCTCTTCCAGGGCTACACCTTCGCACTTGTCTAAAGCAACATACGCGTTCGGAGCGAGCCAATAAGTCTCGGACCAATCGAAATTAATAACTGCCGGGGGATTATTGATGCCAATATGTTATGTTGCGCATTTGCGCGCTCGTATTAGGAAACGTATTCTTAACCTAAATTCACGACAAACTCGATAATCTGCAGCAGGTATTTGAATATAACATTATCGATGACGTCCCTTCAAATTAGAACGCTCAATTACTACACAGAGGCAAAACTAAACAAGAGTTTAAAAAAGAAAACATCAACAGATCTAACACCCGTAGTGATCTCTCTGGGTGTTCCTACATTAGAAATAAGGCGCTCTTTGATTAGTTGCAGATCAATTACCACTTTACCTGTGCAAATCTGTTCTCACTAAGGCTTCCGAGTCAAAATTAAATGATGTAATAACGGTGAACTTCAAATAAGTTTTTTTGGGCGGCTGGGTATGTTTTTCGAAGTCTTCTGCAACGTAAGATTTCAGACCACTGGTTCCAAAAAATAAAGCATCAAATTATCAAATGGCGGCATGCACAGTTAGACTCGCCAGTGAGAGGGTTAATTACTTGTTATTTAGTCCAGCTATTTGCCATCCTGTATACTTACTTGATTTTTTAGTACTTGAACTCGTCCAAGGGTGATGTGATTAACTCGAGAAGAGCTACATCATTCCTTAGAAAGAAATGACCGGCACAGTTCATTCGAGGAAAGCAAAACCTATTACATAGTAATCAGTCTTCGTTTACGATAATTGTATGCCTTCTGTTTGTTTCTAAAGATGGTTTATCCTTGACGAACTGGCCGGATTCTCTAAAGATGTCTTTGTTCTATAAAGTTATTATTATAGCCTCGCGGGAACCAATACCCGATCGATCATGCTTCAGTTTTGACATCCAGGCACTCCCAGTTTAGGAAAATGACATCAAAAATCCTTTAATTGATCTCAATATTGAAATTGAAATGGAAAACAACCGATTTGCACATTCATTTAGATAATTATTTGTCTCCTGTCTCTCTTTCTACTAAAATTAAAACGATCTCTCTTTTAATTTCACAATTGCGTGATTTTTTAGTTAAAATCCCATCAACTGACCAAAACTAATAACGAAATAATAATTTGTTTTCCAGGGTAGGCCAACAAAGCAGGGAAAGCTTTTCGCGGCCGACAGCTTAAACCCGTAGTTTTTAACAAAATTACCGCCTTGATCGAATCGCTAAGTGTTCAAGAGAAAATATTGCATTTCCACTTGCTGTACCTTATCAACCAAGGGAAAGTTTTAAGAATACAGGTAACGATTTTTGAAAGCGCATCACCCGCTTAACACTAATAAACAAAAGAGTTGACTGACTCAAATAATTCATGTTGATGCCTTATTTGAACAAGGCTTATTCGCCGAATGCCCTTGGTAAATGCACATGTAGGTTCAAATGATAAACAACTGTTTTTGTAAGATTTTTCTGAGTAAACTTCACTTAAATAAGAAACCTGCGATAGGCTTAAGGAAAGTGTGCTGGCGAAATGATATCAAACGCGAGGGAAATCTTTGCGTTGGAGAATTGATGCAAAGGAAGAGGTGAAACAAAAACTACGTACGATAAGAAGTCGGAACATTAAAATAGAATTAGAAATTGGATGGGGAAGAGGAAGTAGTAAACGTGAACGGTCTTATTACTCAATCAGCCTGGTGTTTTCTCTTCTCAAATTACGACCTAGCCGGACTATATGCCAGTTTCATATTTTGGATCCAATTAGGAAAAGTCAGCAGATGTGCAACTGGTTAATCAACGTTTTGACTTCCTCGAAGATGAATTATTGAATGCAAAATCTTGCAGAAGAAATCTCTATGACGCTGATTCGTTAATGAGGCGAAATTGAATTCTTGACCTATGATAGTCAGACGGCTGTTGAACCCACAGTTTCCGCTCCAAACATCTCGAAGAATCTACAGTTTAACCTGAACTGATAAAGGAAAGCACTCTTTTTTGCTTGCTGGCCGCCGCTGACACGAACTTCAAAGAGGGTTAAGCAAGACGCGGCTGTCGCTCTCTTGTTTCCCTATAAACCCGAAGTTACGTTGGGATGTAATTTAGAACCCAGCAAGTGGGTCGTTATCAGATTTTGTCGTTATCTTAAATATTAAAATCAATTGTTGGAAGCTGTGGACAGCTTTTCAGATGATAGAGTTAACATACCATTAGTCTGTATTGTGAGATTCATTGTTAATTGCATTTTGGTAAATTGTTAGTTATGTATCTAACCAAACCCTCTGACCTCGCACGAACTCATAATCAGAGACGCTACAGTATCCCTAATGGCATGGCATTCGTATTATGCTATAAGCGATTGGCCATATGTACTAGAGATTTATAGCACAATAAAACAACCTACGTTCCCTCAATGA